AGGAGAACACTCGCTCGCCATGGCCCCCTCCTTTTTACCATTCAGCACCCCCGTGTCGACAGCTCTGATATATACAGAGAAGCAAGCTGCGAGAGCAGCGCACCCCGCCATGTTGTCAGGTGTTTTTCGAAACGGCGTTGGCAGGAGGAAAGAGGTCACGCTCGGGCCTGTGCATTCAGAATCTCACTTTGCTGTGCACACACGAACACCAACACACCCTGGGCCAGCCCCCAACCAGGACATCAAGTGATTGCACGCATCTCAACCTTCCTGCATGTACGGTATGCCATGTATAAGATGTACCCTGTCGTACACGGGCCGTACACGGGCGTATCGTACCGGGACGGGCTGCGACACATACGAGTATGTGCCTGTACTGGTATAGCAGTTTCTAGGACCCCAGCTCCAGCCACAGCCGAGCCAATACCATTGCTGCCGCCCCCCCCTCGCCATCAGCATCGCCATCACCACTACCACCCACTAACCGCGACAACCCCTCATCAACAGCAGCAACGGAAGCAGCCCCCCGGATGTCCAGTATGTTGGAGGGCCCGGGGGAAAGCCTGCCGTACCTGCACGTGAGCGCGTGCCGCAGCTCATCACTGACAGACCCACGGGTCGCCCACAGCTCCTCAGCCGCGGCGGCGCGTGCCGCCCAGTCCTCCACCGCAGCGTCCACGTGGAATGCCGTACCGCCCACCACTGCCGCCGCCAGCTTCACCAGCCGCAACCTCCGTGCCGCGAGCTGCTGTTTCTGCCGCTGCAACCCCGAGTGGGGCCCCCGGGGGCTAAGGTCCGCGAGCTTCCCATGCCCACGGCTACCACTTTCCCCGCATCCCTCCTGCCGACTTCGCACCACCCCTTCCGTTTCCGCCGCCTCGGCCGCCTCCGTCTCCGCAGCCATGACGACCACCCGGCGGCAGCCGACCTCCAGGTCCAGAGCCCCGCTCAGACAGAACATCGCCCAGCCCTGGGCGGCATCGCTGCCGCTACCGTTCCTGTCTAGCAGCGCGCCTTTGAAGGGGGCCCCACCTAGTGCAGCCGCCACCTCCGCCTCCGCAGCCGTCCACAGCTCCGAGAGGGCCCCGGCCAGGCGGCCCAGCTGCGTCAGCGCCGTACTCCCCTCGCCCCAGCCGTCCGCCGCCTCCAGACGGGGCCCCAACCCATCAGCCGAGGGCAGGGCACCACCGAGAATGCCCTCCGCCCAAATCCGAGCATCTGCCGCACCTTCTTCCTCTCCCTCTTCCTCTTCCTCGCCTGCCCCGTCTGCTAACCCCTCGTCCGCTGCGGCGTCCTCATCTTCATCTTCCTCGCCCCTCGCTCCCATATCAGCTTCTCCGCCCTCATCACCGCCTCCTCGCTCCTGACCCCATCCCAGCCCTCCGCCCAACCCGTCCCGACCGGCCATTTCACTCATTACAGACAACTGCCCACGATCACCCGCACCCGCCAGCGCCCCGCCTCGCTGCCGGGCCCTGCGCTCCGCCTCCGCCGCAACCCGCCGCATCAGCCGTACCGCCAGCGGCTCTATTCGCGTCTCCACCAACTTCCACGCCGCCGCCAGCCTGGCGCCCGCCCCTGACTTGGCCAGCAACTCTTCCTCCAGGCGGCAGCGAGGGCAACAGCACGTGAAGCCGTACTGGTCGTACAGGGCCTTGCGGCGTACCTGACAAGAAGGGCCGCGTGGTGGACGGTTGCACGAAAAGGGGGGTTCAGGCAGGGCCGTTAGGCAAAGGGGAAGTTCGGGGCCCTCCCGGGGCTGTGACACACAGACACACACACAGACGCACGCACACAGACACACACACAGACGCACACGCAGAGGTGTTCTGAGGTCTGTACGGGAAAGGGGCTGCCCCCTAGGGGGGGGGTGGACCAGATCAGCTCGGAGGCATGTGCGCCCGTTGAATATGCTGGTCCTGCCCTGGGGCCGGAGGACTCCACCCCTGGCTTCCCCCAACATCCCGCCCGCCCCCCCGCATACGCATACACACACACGCGCGCCGGTAAAGTTATTCTCCGGTGTAACATCACTCTCGGCGTTTCCCTTATCGCGGATCCGAACATCATTAAGACACACAGCGTTCACGCCCTTCTTTGGGAACCCACGCGTCAATACACACACGTAATCATCCCCGCGTCCCCTCCATTCCCCTCCACACCCTCAAGGGCGCTGCCAGTGGGGCCCCCAGATAGCTGTTGCACACCTCCTCCCCCCCCTGGACGGGCCGAGACACTCGGACCTGCGGGTGGGGGGTTAGGCGGGTGGGGGGTTAGGCGGGTGGGGGGTTAGGCGGGTGGGCGGGCGGCGGGGGTTTGTGGGGACAAGGCAGAAGTTGGTGTCGGGTTGGGAAGAGTGAGGGGAGAGGAGAGGGGCCCAGGCGAGGAACGCGGGTTGGCGGGCCTTGCGAAGATGTGGTCACCACGCATGTGGTCACCACGCATAGCACGCATCACAAGTGTTACTTTCACTTCTCAGCGACAGAAACGAACCCCGGAGGTGAACTGGTGGCAAGCTGGTCCTCCCTGACTTCCCTCCTAGGCCCATACTCCGCTCCACACCATGTGCCCTCCCCCCACTCCTGGACCTCCCCAACCCCCGACTCACCAACATGGCCTCCCCCAGCACGTAGGTGCACACATTCGGCACACAGCTGTGGTTCATCAGCGCGTGCTCCGTCCACAACCCCGTGTGGCCTGGGCGGTGGCGCCAACGACTACCGGAAACAGCGCCGACACCGAACTCGACGCAACCGCCGCCACTACCTTTGCCACCACCGGCAACTTGAAGACAACCGGTGATGGGAGGGCCGACTCCTTGGGCCGAGGTGAGGGGGTGGTCAGCGGGCGACCTGGTGCCCGGGCCCCGACCCTCGTCAGACCCCTGGCACCTCGAGGGGGCCTCGGGGCGGTGTGCTGCCACCCCACCAGCCGCATCGCGGGCCCTCGACACCTCCGCCTCCGGACCCAGCTGCAGCAGCCGCAGGAACGGCAGAGCGGACAGCTCAGCCACCGAGCCGTCCATGTGTCCCAAGTGATGCTGCTGCTGCTGTTGGTGGTAATCCCCTGCGTTTGAGGGCTGTCGCGCAACCGGTTGCTGTGGCTGTAGCTGTGGCTGTAACGCCGCTGCGGGGTCCATGGTGGATTCCGAGAAGCAGTTCAGCAGCAACAGTCGCATCACCCGTTCCGGCGACATGTCCTCCTCCCCACCGCACCGACCATCAGCCGCACCGGCCGAACCCGAATTCATCTCCCTGCCCGTGTTGGCACCACCGACAGCATCACCATCAGCAGTAACAGTAGCCCGAGCGGGGACGCCTTCCCGAAGTGCAACGGGCTGTAGCCCCTCCAAGCGCTGTAGTGCTGCATGGAGATCGGCTGTAGCAGGGAACAGAGGCCCCGGGGTGTGGGAGAGAGGGAAGGAGGAGAGGGATAGGGGGAGGAGGGTTTCACGTTTGAGCCACTTGCAGGTGAGGGGCTGGTGGCGGTGTGGGGGGCCCGCTGCCCTTGCTGAGGGGCTGTCATTGCGTTGTGTTGTGATGCGGCCGCCACGTCGGGGTGGGTCCCCTCGGCACGCGCCGTCGCATAGGGCCTCTGTGACCGCACATATTGGCATGACGCGCTGTGGAGTGCGACGCAACACTGCTCCACCATCCGTATCCAGTACCCGCATCTCAAGCCCGACGGCCCCATCTTCGCATTAATTTTTCGCCAGGATTGTACCCCAGCAAGTCCACTTTGTGCGTGACCTTTTAGGTCAAAGTCTAAAAACTCGCATGCTTTCAAGGATCCATGTTTCAGATCTTGGGATTCCAGTTTGGCGAGAAACGGAAAAAGCCCTCTTCACCGGCGCGACCTGGAAACTGGAAACTGAAGCTCATTGTGGTCCACTCAGCAGCAGTCTGCCGCCCTCCTACCTAACCCACCCCCTCCACCCACCCCCTCCACCCACCCCCTCCACCCACCCAGACTGGGACAGGCCTCCAAGCTGTCAGAGGTCCCATCAAACGACAGCTGGAGCAGCAGACGCTGTGACGGCGTCAACGGGCCCCCTATGATGGCCTCCGCAAGGCTCTCCAGGGAGGGAGGCTCCCCCGGGCCCCTACCATCACCACCATCACCATCACCACTTTCCCCCTCCCCGCTGCTGCCGCTGTCGGAGAACACCACCGCTACGGGCAGTGACACCATCACCAGTTCCCCGGGGACGAGATCCCTCAGCGCCACCAGGCCCCGACCCTTGCCTGGGAGAGGACAGGACAGGACAGGACAGGACGGTACAGGACAAGGCCGGCGGTAAGGGGGGGTCCGCCCCGGAGGTGGGAAGGCCGCCAGGCAGCAGGTGCGCGGGCAGGCAAGCAGGCACTGGAGATAGAGGAGGGGAAGGGAGGCGGAACAGGCTCGCAGGTCGTGTCCAGGGTAGGCCTTATAGGTGGTGGGTGGCAGACAGGGGGTGACTGTGGCTGTTTGTGGATACCTCGTTCGTGGTACAGGAACCGCCTTGTTACCCTTTCGGGGTATTGCCATTCCGCACTGAGGCGTTACAACCATGGCGGGGGCCGGGTACACGACGATGGTGAGTGGGGGGAGAGTTAGATGCTGCAGCCGCTGCGTCCCCATCCCCACCTGGAAGGGGCCTCAGAGCGATAGGACCATAGTAGCGGGGCAGGGAGCAAGAGAGATGACGCTGCAGCCTTTTATAATGCTGCTGCTGCAGGGCCGGCAGGTGGGCATGAGGGTTGGGGCGGCGGCCATTGGTGTGTTGGCTGCGCGCCGCGGACCTGTACCCGTCAGGTGCCCGGGGGAGGGAGGGATGTGGCGCCGGCCGTTGGAGACGCCCCAGTGGCGTCGGCACCAGCATCATCAGGGACTGTGGAAGACCACCGGTGGCTCGTCCAGGATATGGCACAGTCGAGTTACCCAACGGCCGGGGTGCATGGACGTACGCTGTATAAAGAAGCACCCATAAAGGGTGATTACAGGTCAAGTCATATGTATGGTGCGCGTTTCACTTATGATTGCGATCAAGCTGGACTATATTTGCTCGTCCGAATTTCAAACGTTGCATCAAAACTAGAAATAAGTGGAAACTTGAATAAGACGAGCCTAGCAGAACTTTGCTGTCCTGTACTTTAATGTTTTAGCTGTAACGATGAGTCAGAAATGGCGAAATGGCGAACGGCGCTTGTTGGCGTACTGTTGCGTTCATTCAGCATCAAAAGCGTTGTCATGAAGAACTAAGACAGGCTCATCGAATGGGAGTCGTGGACTGTGGGGCCCAGGCTACCAAGGCACTGAGCCCATAATGTGCATAATGTGCGGTGACTGGACTGGGTGGAGCCGTAAATCTGGCTTCATGCAAACCTTAGGTAGCTGAGGGTTTGATGCTGTTCACAAACCCCCGGCGGCAACATCCCATAGCCAACCCAAAGGTCTCTGAGGACCACCATAGGCCCCCAGGGCACCCAAGGCCCCCTAGGGCCTGCCAGGGCCCCCAGAGACCCAACGGCCCCCAAAGACCCAGAGGGCCCCTAGAACCCCCCGGGACCCTGATGGCCCCCAAGGCCCCCCAAGGCCCCAACGGCCCTGACGGCCCTACCCAGCCGCGGGAGCCACAGCCGTTATGTGGCCAACACATGCTAAGGTTTTCGTTCCTCGTTTAGACATCGTAAGCTAATGCAGTTTCGTTCATGTTGCTAGGCTTTGGAGGCAAACAGGGCGCGAAGGGGCAAGCACCATGTCCCCAGGGAGCAGCGGTTTTGCCGCTGTTGTGGCACCAATAGCCAAGTCGAGGATGAAAAAACATGTTATTGGAATGTCCACCCTATAATAATATTCGTGCGGAAGAGGGATTCGATCATCAACAGAGCATGTTGGAGGCCATGAAATGGGAGCCAGCCCGTCTGGCGAGGGCTTACCGCAACCCAGTTATTCCCTTAGGGTGCTAGCGTGGGCCGATAGTGCGTTGTTTCCTTTTCTCCGTGGCTTTTAGGCGTTTAGGTATTGCCCTTGGGCCTGCGGCTCGTATGGGTATGGGTCACGCACCCCCAATCATGTAACACACACACAAGTTTCCAAGATGTTTACCGTACACATACATCTCAGCAATGCTCTCAGCTCTCGAAGGTAGCCACCTCCCGCAGTAGCAGCAACAGCAGTAGCAGCACGCGGACTGCAACATCTCCTTACGTTGCAGCCACCTTGGGGTTAATGCGGGCAAATAACGAGAAACAAGCAGGAATGCCGTGTGTGTGCGGGTGCGGGTGCTTGGACAAGTCGGCGTGTGATGTGTCAAGTATTGTGTCCAGCCGTGCAACTATGCCTCGACGGTACGACACGGTAGAGCAGTCGTGCACGGTATATCAAGCATCCGACTAAGGACCCAGGAACGGACACTAAACCCTACATGAGGTATTTCCTCTGAAGGTCGCAGCCCCAGGGCCCCCCCCAAGGGCCCTAAGGGCCGTAGAGCCCCCGGGGGCCACCCCCTATCCACGAGAGGGAGGCATATTGCCAGGACCCCAGCAATCATTAGTATACAAGAGCGGGGCCTTTTTGAATGCTCCAATAAGTCGGTCAGCAGCACCTCTGGCACCCTTGGGCGGCCGCTTAATCAGGGCCGCCTGCCCGTTTCTGCCAGGTCAGCGCACTGCTGGTGCGTTGACAACTGAGGGCACAACGCAGCTGGGACGTGCCAGTTTCGCGCATACCGTTGTCATGAATATGAGTAACCTCCTCTGGACGTGGAAATAGATTGCGAGGTGTTTGCGTTGGCGGCTGCAAAACATTGCTTGTCGGAAATGCTCTTTAAGATTGCACAGAGCGCACGGTATCAGTAGACCATAACAGTAGCGGCAAAACTGACCATACCAATTTGACTTACAAAACACATAGCCAGGACACAAACGCCGTTCCTCCGCTTGCGCTGCACCTTCCGGCGCATAGGCATGACATGCATCCTCACGGCCATCGCAACCCGCGTGCCATTATGTTGCTACACCACCACCACCATGCACTCCCATCACCTAAGCTGATCGTGAACATCATATGCGCAAATTGGCCCGACATGGCACACGCCGCTAGCCCCAACCAGTCCCTGACCCCGACTGGCCCAGCCTCGATAGGGTACCGCGGATTAATTACGGACACAATACATTTCATGGACCACTGCCACACACACTCCCACCTCCAGTAAATCGCACAAATCGCGACCAGAAATTAAACTTCGTAGCTCGCTTCCACTCGTCGCGTCATATGCAAGCACCCAAGGCCACCGTCGCCATGTTGCCGAACGACCGCTCAACCTCTGCGGCTCTCGCCCTCCGTCCTGCGACTCGCCGTCTCACGTAACTCACTTCTGGTACAACATCTGGCATCGCCTTCACGTCCAGCCGTTTACTTTCTAGGCAGGAGATACCGCACCAAATCCCAAAACGCAAACCAATCAGAAAGGTCTTTTGCATGCGGCCCTCCTTAAACGTCACCCGAAAGGCTGCTGCCGCTGCTCCGCCGGTTGCCCAGGCTGATGCGACGGAGGCTTAGTGACGCCGCGCCAGCCAACGCTGCGGCCGTGCCGCCTCCCCACGCCCCAGCCTGCGGGTGATGCCGCACAAAGGACGGCAGAGGTGGCGGCTCCGGAACCGCTACTGGCTCCACGTTCTGCCCGGCCAGCTGCTGTCGCAGCGCCGAAACCACCTCCTCATAGTAAGAGAAGTAGCGTGCCGTTTCCTCTTGTGCCTGCGCACGGCCGACAACAGCACGGGGTCAGATCCGTAACCCGATTCAGCTCCCTGCCATACGCGCTACTTGCTATTCATCACGCGAGCGCTACGTTGCACTTGCAGGCTCTAGTCCGTGCAAAGAGCCTTCGCGCATTTCGCGACGATTTCGCAATCACTCCCTGCCAAACCAGTGGCAACAGGATCTGCAAAGCTTGGGAGGCCCCTACCCTTGTTGCGGGCTGTCGTTAGCCCATATCATACAATAAGGCCCTACCCTGCCCATGCGCGTCGCCCCTTTTCCGAGTGAGCCCTGCCCGCGAGCTCAACACGCACTTGCATCCAGGATGCAAACAGGACGTGTCAAGGATAGATCACGGGGAACAAAAGGACACAAGAGGACAAAGTATGGAGCCCAGCTCACCTTAACCATCTTGCCGCTCATCTCGGCGTGCTCCGCACGCGACTTGGCGTGCTCGAACACCATGCGACTGCACGCAACAAAACGCAAGCAATGGGACGTTAATCACAACAGCTCTCGATCGCGGACTGCCCACTCGATGCTTACCAGCTCAGCTACCTCATATATTGGACAAGTCCATATGCCCCACAAGTCACGGTACCTCAACGAGCACCAGTGCCGTCCGGCATTGCCATCCAACACACAGGTCCGACATGCAATCCTCTACCGGGTTTCAGCACATGATGTAGTATATAACACCCAGCAACCAGGAGAGTAAAGGAGCCAGACATCAGGCAAAACGCGGGACCGCAGTTGCTTCCAATCCCTGGGTACTTGCCCAGTGTTCACGCACACCTGTATTGCGCCTGCAGATCAGAGAGCTCGGACTCCGCAGCCGCCAGCTTGGTCTTCAGCGTCGCGGCAGATGAAACCGACTGCTTGAGCTCCTCCAGCTCTGCAGCCGTAGCCGCAGCTCGCTGCTGCGCCGCAGCCTCCGCGGCCTCTGCCGCAGCCTGCGCGGCAGAAACCGCCGATAGGCGCTGCTGCGCCGCATTGAGCTCGCAACTCCTCGCCTCTGCTTCGCCACGCGCCTGCGCCGTCTCGCGCACCGCCACCTCCAACTTTCCCTGAACCGTCCGCAGCTCGACACGCGCCTGAGTGAGCTCGGCCGATGTCTCTTGCTGCGTCTCCGTCAGATTTGCGACCTGCTGCCGCAGCCCCTCCGCCTCCGCCACGGCCGATTGCGCTGACGCCTCCGCTGCTGCCAGCTTTGCATTTCGCGCTTCACTCTCCGCCTGCATTGCGCGCAGCTCCTTGACGGCCGCCGCCGCTGCGCGCTGCGCCTCAGCCACCTCCGTACCGGCCTGCACTGCAACCTTCCGCGCAGCCTCGAGTTCTCCCCGCAGTCGCTCGTTCTCCGCTCGCGAGCCGTCCTTCCGTGCTGCCTCCGCCCGCGCGCGCGCCTCTGCAGCCTCCGCCTGTGCCGCAGCCACCTCCTGGCGGGCCGCCTCCAGCTGCACCTTTAGACCAGCAATTTCTTCGTCGGCCTCGGCACGGCGGCGACGACTGACCTCCAGCTCGGTCTTCAGATGTTCCGACTCCTGCCGCAAGGAAGGAGACAGGGTATTAACAAAGGCGTCTAAAGATTTCCCTGGGAACAACAAGCCAGGCGGACGATAGCAACAGCCAGTAGCATATGAGCTGATTCACGGTGTTTGGATCATGTGTGAGTTGCAGGGAAGGCAAATGGAGGAGGACGAAAAGGAAACTTACACAGCGGTGTAAGAAATTCATTTTGGGGCCCCTACATTTCCCCCACAGTTTAGTGCTAAAGTGCCCGGAGCCTACCGCGATGATGTCAAAAGGTGGATATAACAGGAGTGCACGAGGCAGCGAATGGCTGAGATGTGCAGTCCAAGCTAGGATTCATGCACGTGGAGAACTGGATGCAGGCAAGACCGGAGCAATGGCCAGGTACACATGTACGGCTGGAGAAGGGGAACCCCCTAACGCTCCCCACCCATGTGTGCCCATAACTGCATTCCGATAACAATTATGCGTGCACGCACCTTCTGCAGCCAGCGTAGCTCATCCTTGTACTGCCGATCGACTTCAGCCTAATGCGACGGATACAGCAACGGACAAAACAGGCCAATACCATGTTGCCGCAATGGATAAACGCGGATAGTGAATTGGACATGGAGGTATGAAGGCATCGGCACCACCGTCATAAGCACCTTCCACACAGCCGCATAGTGCCAGAGCTCGTGATGTCATGCGCCTACAAGCAGCAGTAATGGCTCCCAAAGGCTATAATAGCTGAGCCGAAGCTCCCCTGCCCTGGCATACGAGTCGCGGACAAACAAGCTCCAGCCAATACACGTTGAAGTTCGCCATTCTCTGGCGGCATATGCATCACGCTGAGCTCCCCGTACCCCAAGGCCTAAGACACCCGCAGAGTGAATGCACCTCCGGACGAGACAGCGCAAAGCCAGTCTAGGCTTAGGCCAGCAGATTCCCCTGTGGCGGTAAAGGGAAGGACCCTTAATGGGCGTGTATCCTACCGCCAGGTGCGGGACTGTGAATCGGCCCGCCCGCAGCGTCTATTCCGCATGGAGTACCAGCGAGTACCCACATGACTGCGTAGCACTTCCGCGCTTCAGCTAAACCGCCAGGCCACTGGGCCCGGATCGTGCCTAGTGCTTGAGACCTGGAACTGAGCACTCTGGATAATCTAGGGGGTGCATACCTGATGCAAGGTGGTCCGAGCCATACGGGCCTGGATACCCTCAATGGTTGCTGCACGTTGAGCCGCTGGGGAGAATGGCTGCTGATCAGTTACCGGTATCTGCCGTTGCGACTTCGTAGCCGCAGGCGTGGCGGTAGGCGTGGCAGTAGGCGTAGCGGTTGGCGTGGCATTAGGGCCGGCAGGCTGCGGGCCCATGCAACAAGGAGCGACGGTTAATTATAAATAATATATTTCATTTCGTAAACGGACATGGTAGTTGTCATAGCCCCCAAAAGAGCGGAGAGCAGCGGGCTACCGATGTTGACGGGACAGGTGCCCTTCAACTTAATTGTGTGCTGTGATCAGGAGCTGTGATCAGGAGCTGTGATCAGGAGCTGTGATCAGGAGCTGGGCCCTTGCTACCGCAACGCATTTATTGAGGAAAAGTTGCAGGAGGCAAAACCCCGCCATCACTGCAGAAGCTGATGGGGCGCGACACATAGCGGGTCCGAGCTGAAAATTGATCGCTATATTTGAAGGTAAGGATAACCATGTAGGCACGCGGCTAAAGAGCACCCAAGAGCGAGGGCTGCCACGTTGCAAAGCAACCCGCACACCTCCGTGGCTTCGTCTGCTGCATTTATTACGCCATTTGAACCTGGCGCCATCGTAAGAAACGTCTGGACTTCACCGTCACTTTATGAGCAGCTCAAGTCGACACGGGATGCTAAACTCAAGGCGATATGAACTTCCTAGGTGCTAACGGAGATGAATGATGTGATATGATAAAGCCTATTCTGTTTAAGCAACAGCAGTGACTGACGCGTGGAAACTGCTGGTTATAACAGCAAAGCTGTCATCGCTCGTCAGCACACAGTCCCGAGGCCGATGGGTGCGCTTGTATTACAGTAAGCAGGTAAAGCAAGGTTGACTTTCGTGAAAATATATACAACATAACAGGCAACCGGGTTTCTTAACGGGTGGTTTAGCGCCCACATGTGTTACCAGTACCGCTGCAACTGTCGCGTCCTGTGGCAATCGGCAATTGCAAACAATTTCTGACTTAAACTATTTCATTACAAATGTGATCCTTAACAAAAGGTTGCCCTGGATAGGGGCCCATAGCGACCCGGGGGCCGCCATGCAGCTGCCCAGCACGCGAAAGCTGTGTCCAAAACGAGAATGCATCAAGAGCGAGCCTTGCAGTATGGCCGTATGGCACAGATTTTCAAGGATATGCATGTATAAGGTATCCAGCATACATTTAGGTGAAATCCTGGTTTAGGCTGACAGCTTTCACAATTTCCTGAACGCTTTTGCAGCTCAGGCGTGAAACGCTATGAACCCAACCCGGGTAGATGTACCATCTTTTGTTCAGTGGGTCAGCGGGGGGCGAGCTGCCGCAGGGGTGGCGACTTAATCGCAGGCAGGCGCTTCAACCATTTGCCATGCATGACAGCATCCGAGGGTGCTAGGATACGTACATAGCATGTTATAGGGCTCTTGATGCGGCAGACACGAAACCCATCCTAGGAATGCAGGTTGCAGACGGTACTGGTGGGTTGCAGCCACGGTTTTGATTAGCGGACCAGAAGCAGCACGAGACGTAGAACTGTTGGACATTGTCCAGGGTTGAGTTGTATTCAAGGGCACTTACAGAAATAACAACTTTCCAAAGACATATCGCTGCAGTGCGAACCATGGTCATTATGCTCAACGCCACAGGGCCAGAAGGCATATGGGTACCATCGCATCGATTACTACAACGTCGATAACGTAAGAAAACGTGTCCCGTGGGAAAGCTTTCCTGGACACGGGCTTACATAGCAATGAAGTTCATACCTGCAATCAAAAGAGGAGCGTGGAGCAAGCACCCACCTTATACGGCCTACTGTATGCAGCCTATGGTTTCTATGCCCCAGCCTGCAGTCCTAGGCATGCATGCGAGCAGCATCGTGGGAGCGTGCCTAGCGGCAGGTCGCCGACAATTCGACATCCGGGGCAGGTATGATTTGCCCTGCAGCACACTTTGCCGCGCGAGACAAGTGGAACGATGCCAGTTCCAAAACTCCTGCTGCACTGCGGCCAATGGCATAAGCAACTCAACTTCACTGTGATGGCATAACGGCGTCCTCGGTTGCAGTCCAGCCACTTCCCCAGCGCCAGCTCCCAGTTTTACGACACCCCACAGCGCTCGCAAAGGTGCCGTCTGCTCCCAACAGCTGACCTTGCTTCACAAGGCGAGAGAAGCCCACGATGTGTGGTGCTAAAGCAACGCCACTTCCGTTCAATTCCCAATCACAGCTTCTGAGCTCATGTCCTGCCGAGGCCTCCTCTCCCTTCGGCTCAGTCTTATGCGGCCCCCAACAGCGCGCCCGCCAATCAATATTTGTGGACATATTAAGGCGGCAGTCCTAGGCGCCATGCCACGCTGCGACTGCGCCATCACTCCAAAATGGCAGAACGCTCCCCGACCTCGACCACAAAGTCCTAGGCCACTGCGGCCACACCACACACGCAATTGCTGCGCTGCATGCCTACGCCACCGACACAGACCATCACCAAGGAAAGGCAGACCAGACGTAACCACGCGCCCCAGTTTCCGGGACCCAGCCGCGCCAAAAGCACATTGTAACGATCCGACGCGCATGACCCCCTGCGTGCCAGGCCTTTCATTCCATCCCAGGAGGCCCTCTTCCTTGCTTAAAGCACTGACTTTTACGAAACTCAGCTGGGACCCTCGTGCGGTCCCATGGCAACTACATCCGCTCCTGATCCCAGTTCTGCCATATAACCCCCAGATATTATTCCCAATACACGCGGCCCAAACTAAAGCACATAAACAAGCGCCACTAAACCAAGCCACATGAACAAGCGCCTTTTCCCGAGCGTCCGTACATTCCAAGTTCCCCACAAGGTAGTTAAATACTGGTCCGGCGCAGCATGTTGAGCGCCTCCGCCACGCCTCGCAGCTTCTGCATGGCCTCTGCGCTGCTTGCCAGCTGCTCCCTCAGGTTTTCAATATTGGACCTCAACTCCATATTCTCCTCCTCCAGCTCTTGCTTGGCTGACTCGAGCGACTTGATCTTTGTGAACACTGCTGCTAGCGACGACTCCACCTCCGCCGACGGGGTGTGCCCAACAACACCTCCGAGGGAGCCGCTGACACCATCCCCCGCCGGCGTCACCGCCATGGCCTCGGGGGTGCTCGGCTCGGCGCCCGGCCTGCTCTCACCGTCAGGTGTTGCAGCTTCGTCCTGTTGATCTTCTTCATGCTCATCGTCGTCCTCCACGTCGTAAGCGCCTGCAGGCGCAGCCAGGTGCGGGTCGACGGTGCCCTTAATGACCTGCGCCATCGGCGCTGCTGGCGACGCCGCCTCTCGCAGCGCCCGCATAAGGTCCAGCTGCAGAGTCATGGTCTCCACACCACTATGCAGGCGCTTCGCCTCCCCCACTGCGTCCCGTAGCCGCTCATGCTCCGCCCGCAGCGCCGGCAGCAACTCGACATAAGGCGCCAGCAGAGGAATCTCGTCCGACAGGGCCATCACCTCTGCCTCCAGCTCCCGCAGCGAATCGCGCTCTTGCCGCAGCGCCCCAATCTCCGACACCTGCGCTCGCAGCGCCTCCACCTCCGCAGTGAGCGCACCGCGCTGCTGTGCCAACGCGGCGATGGCGTCTGCTTCATACGTTGCCGACGCCAGGTCCGACGGCAACGGTGCCTGAGGCTCAAGCCGCGCCCCCACGCCGGCGCCATCCTCCGGCAGCATCGGCAGTGCACCCCGGCCCAGCGGGCCATACAAGGATGAAGAACCACCGCCGCTAGACGAATACGGCACCTGAGGCAAGCGCTCCGGCGGCGTTGGTATGAGCGAATCGCCGCCGGAGGAGCTGCCGACGGAGGCCGGTGCTGTCGGCGCCGAAGCCTCCCCTGACAGCCCCGAGCTGGTGAGCCCGGCGGCGGTGATTGCCGCCTGGCGTTGCAACTCCTCCAGCTCCGCTTGCAGAGCCGTGCGCTGCTCCACCAGGGGTGACAGTGCGCGTATGGCGGCTTCCAGGCGTGTTACTTCTGCCTCCACGGTCTGCGGACGGGCCGTGGCGTTGGAGCGCCGTGAGTCATGTGCCAGGGGCCAGGGGGAACCAAGCCAAGGGCATCAGCACGCGCCCGCACAGGATGACGTTTGAATTGTACTAGTCCAGGTAAGAACCCTACGCCCTCGGGTATGGCCAGAGCCAACCCCTATTGCAAACGGCTGGCTTGGGCATCGCGGTGCAGACAGCACGTGCACGCTCGAGCCCATCAATTGCGGAGCAGCACCTGGGCAGTACACAACACAGACCGCGACTGTCCTTGCCTGGCCGAGTTATCCCGAGCCGTAGGACAAGCCGTGGGATGCACGAAACGTGCGTCACCCTGATGCGTGACCTTCTTTACCTTCCTCTGCCAAACACCACCGCAGCCACACACACAAAAAAAACCGCTCGCTTTAATTTGTTGCCCAATCTCTCACCTTTAGGTCCCGCAATTCCTGCTGTAGTGACAGTCGCTTATCCATCAGTTGCTGCTGCCGAGCAATGTGGCTCTGCCGGGGCGCAATGCCGCCCTCGACCAGCCCCATTTCGCGCGCTTCCCCGTTCTCCCCGAGCATATTGACCACCAACACCTGCTCCGGTTCCTCGTCCTCATCCTCGCCCTCCTCGTCGCCGGTTTCACCGCCCTCCAATGGCACGGCGTGCAAGTCACGTCGCCCCCTCCCCTGCCCTTCCGTCTGGCGCTGATGCCGCAGCTCTGCTTCCAGCTCCGCCACCCGTGCGCGTGCTTCGTCGCGCTCAGCCCGCAGCTGCGACTCCTCCGCGTCCTGCAGACGGTCGGCTGTGTCGCTGAGTTTGGCAAGCTCCGACTGTAGCACAGGGCCCTTACTGATATCTGCCCGTAAGCGGTTGGCGATGATCTCCAGCGTGCGGATCTGCATTGCCAGTGATGTGCACCACACAAGGTGGATGAGCCAGCCTAATGGGAAATGAGAGAGGCCTTCCGTAGAGTACAGTGGCATACCAACTTTCAAATGCACACGCAAACATGCAGTAAGAAACAAAGCAGGGACGCGCATGCTTGCTGGGTAAATTGTGGGTCCTGAGGGGTTACGGTCCGGGAATTCGGTTATACACGTAGAAACGCAAAACTTGGCGCTCGATGTGACGACTGTTGGGACTGAGAACCGGAAGCTCGTACAGTTGCGTTGCCGGCAGGCGCTCTCACCCGAGCGACTTCCATTTCGGCGGCTTCAATCTCGGCCTCGAGCTCTGCGTGCCGCTCCGACAGTGCGCGCTGCTCCTCCAGCTTCGCTTGAAGTGCAGTCACCTCCGCTGCGGGCCCGGACACCACCGCCAGCTGGGCCAAAAGCTCGGGCTGAATGGCCACCTGCGGAACGGGGGGATCACAAGTCCCAATAGATCCGGATATCAAACCATGAACATCACGCGCGAAGGCATCACTCATGAAGGCCCAGCGGAGCGGATAAGGACCCACAAAGCCAGGGCTTCCCACAACAAAAATAGGTACCCAGCCACCGCACTTACCAGGGCCCGAGCCTGCGCCAGCTGTTCCTCCAGTTGCGCTGTCTCGGCCGCCTGGGACTGAAGCTCGGAAAGCCGGGCTTCGAGGGCTGGGCGCTCCGCAATAATCATGTCCAGTGTCGAAACCTGACCATGGGCACGCAGGGGAAACCCGGGCACAGGGAGAAGGGTAAAGATGTGGTTAAGAGGCAGCGAATCAAGACACGCATGTGGTAGTGTAACTATACAACGAGGGGGCAGGAATGCAAAAGCTACTTTGTACACGGCAGCTGCACTGCCCCACCCCGTCATTTCCCCTGCTCCCCTTGGCGCAGCCGCGGCTGTCGTCAACTTCTGTGCCAAGAAGTGGAGGGTGACAGCCCCATAGTCGCAGGTTCCCTGCGCACCTGCTCCCTAAGCGCCTCCACTGTCTTCTCTACCGGACCCAGCTCCGCCAGCCGCAGCTCCAGCTCAGATCGTTCCGCCAGCGCTGCATGCGCCCGCTCCACCCGCTGTCGGAGCTCGTCTACCACGTCAACTTCCGGCTGAGAGAGGGAGATACCCACACACATGAGCACATTCAACGGAACAGACGGTTTAGCCAACGACAGGGGCACTGATACTCAACGATTCCTTGTAGAGTCACGCTCCGGGGTTGCAAGCCCAACATCACCGTCTTCCAGGTTCCCAAACCACTTCGGCGCCACGGGCATGAGTGCGCTACATCATTCCCCCACCTGGGACCCACCCGGGAGACATTTACAGGTCCAGTAGTTGATGGAATCTACGCTCCTTCCCCCCACCCCCCCACCCCACAATACAATGCAAAGGCCGGCAGCTCTGAACTCCGGCTCTTACCGTGCCCTGATCCCTTCCCTACCTGTAGCCGCTGCAGCTCGGCCTCTAGCTCCGGCTTTCTAGCCACTGTCTCCTTCCGTCCCGCAACCAAGCGGTCCAGCAGGTAGATCTGTGTCGCAGAGCAGCAATTACGCGAGCAGCGAGCTCACCGTACGCAGCCCGAACACGCAACAATCGATTAACATGGGAGGATGACACCTTTACACCAGCAAAGAAGACCGGCCCGAAAGCTTCCAAGAATATTTTCCTGTGTAAACTCCCACCCGCCGTGCATGTAATATGCCAGGGCGCCAGTACCGGGCCACCAATGGCCACGTCCTCCATTCACACCCAATCCCGGGTCCGAGTCCCCACATCCACCTACCGAACTCCTGAACCTAATTCCTACACACACGCCCTACCTCCGCTGCGGTTGCCTCCAGTTCCGTTAGCTGCAGCTCCAGCTCGTGCTTCCTAGCCACCACGTTGCTCTGTTGCTGCACCTGCCTCTCCAGAATCTCCGCCTCTCGAGCCTGCTCCTCCAGCAGTGCCAGCTGGGACTGCGGCAGGAGGGAGGGATGGTAACGAAAAGGGAAGTGAAAGAAAGCGGGAAACGCAACGGGTTCCGACTGTTCACTGCAGTGTCAAGAAGAGTTCAGGACGTCGACTCATGGCCGAAAAATGGGAATGCAGGGAACGGTAAAGGAAAGGACAGGTCGTGCGAAGGGAGCGCTCGAGTTTGTATGTACACCAAAGGCATCTCCTGATCACCAATTCGCCCATGTTATAAACACGAGTCAAATCCAATTCCAAATCCCCGAACCGCCAGCATCCATTCAACGATATCACCACCACAACGCACAGAGGTGGTGCTACTGGTCACGGTATCCTGCCCGAAATTTGGCATGCCTTCCATAGAACGCTTTCATTCCCCTTCCCGCACCTTCAGGCTCTTTTCCATGTCCCGCTGAAGCTCCTGACGCTGTCCAGCCAGCAGCCGCATCTCAGCCACCTGGCCCTGGAGCTCCAGCGCCTCTTTTGCAGCCGCCTCGAGCGTGACCACCTCCACACGCAGCGCCGCCAGCTCCTCGGGAGGCGGCAACCCCGCAGCAAGCTCCGACGCTCTCGCGCGCAGCTGCTCAAGCTCTACCCGCTGCGAGTCCCCTGAGGCGGCGCGCAGCTGTTGCTCCAGTTCCGCCAGCCTGTCCTTGTACTCGTGCTCCATATGCCGCCACGACTGCTGCGTATGATCTAGCCCCACTGGCCCCGGGCTGGAGCGGTTTGAGGCCGGGGTGGCCGTGGCTGTGGAATGTGCCGCAGCTGCGGCGGCGGCGAGCAGCGGTGCCAGGCCCGTCCGTGGTGTGACATGGCCGCTGGACGGCGATGTCAGTGGCGCAGGCGCAGAGGGCGCCAGCACCGGCCCCGCCATGCTGCGCTGCACCTCCAGCCCCAGACTGGTCACTGCCTCCACGAACTGGCTGCCGTCGCGAATGGCACCAGCCGTCGAAATTGCCGAGGCGTTGCGCGATGGCTGCGGCTGCGGCGCCGGGAACGCGAGGCCGCCGGCTGGCACCAGCGGCCTGTCCAAGGAAGCGGGAGCTCCGCCGCCACTGGACACGCTTGGCGCCAGCGCTCCGTCCTCTGCAGTGGCCGCCTCCGCGTTCGCTGCGCCGCCAGCGGAGGCACGAAGCTCGTGCTGCTGCTGGTCCACTGCTGGCACCAAGCCCAAGTTGGACACGGCCTCCACGAACTGGCTGGCGCCCTCGCGGCGGCGTTCCATGGCCATGGAGCGCATGAGCACCAGCTGCCGCTCCAAGTCCTCGCTGGACGCCAGCTGAGCTTCCACCTCGCGTAGGGCGGCGCGCAGGGCCTCAGTGCCGGCTGCCTTGGGCGCAAGAATGTTAATCTGCTGCTGCAGGGAGTTGCGTAGGGCCACCTGCGATGCAAAGTAACCAAAAGAGAGACGGGAGACGGGGTAGCGTGCTCAGCTTGAGCTGCAGTGCGGGAGCACATTACGTGTATGAACGGCGTTAGGCTGTGCCCGATCTACAATGAATTAAGCTCCTACATACATCTTACGCTTCACCGAAGACCCCAAACCACCCCAACCCCGCGCACGGCGCAGGCCCCCACTCATAAGCCGGTAAAGCCCTCACCATACGTCGCCTGCTATAGTTGCACCCCTCCCTAGTTGCACCCCACCCCTATTCCCCGTCGTGCCTGCTGTTCTTCCTAAGTAGTTGCCACACCTGCTGCTTGAGGTTCGCCAGTTCGCCCTCCAGGTCTGCCACCTCCGCACACTGTGCCTCCAGCTTCTCGTGTTGCGCGCGCAGAACCGGCAGGCGGGCCGCCACGGACTGCAGCTGCGCAAACCGCGTCTCTAGCTGCATCACCTCGCCCGCCGCCAGCTGTGCAGATTCCACCTGGCGCTTCAGGTCCTCAATGCCTGCGACCTTGACATGCAGCTCCTCAAGCTGCCCATGCAGCTGAAGCCTCAGCGCCTCCATCTTATCGCGCTGCTCCAGCTGTTTCTCCAGCTGCCGCACCTCCGCCGTGCTTGCCTGCAGCTTGGCGTACAGGGCCTTGAGCGCCGGCAGCTGCTCCGCCACCGGGCTCAGCGCGGACACCTGCTCTTGAAGGGCCTCCGCGGCGGCAGCGTCAGCCCGCAGCGCAGCCAGCTGCTTGCGCAGGCGCTCCGTCACGACAGCCGCGGGCTGCAGCCCCGCAACCTCAGCCTGGTGGCATGTGAGGAAGGCGCAGGGAATACAGAGAGGTCATGGCAAAACCCGCCCCGAGCGGGATCAAGCGGGGAATGCGACCTTCTCCTTGCCAAGGTCATGGAGGAGGAGAAAGGGACCATGTGCCAACATGGATCTATACGGCAGTGCAGGCAACAAAAGTCCCGCCCAGACCTCCTCCCATCGTCCTTGCCTGCAGCGCATTGCGTGTGGCCTCCAGCTGCCGCAGCTCTTTGAGCTGCTCCTCCAGCGCCGTAAGCTCCCCTTGCAGAGGCTCCAGCCGGGCCCTTTCCGCCTTCAGGGCGTCCAGCCGGTGCACAGAGGCCGCCATGGAGGATACGTCCGAGGCCAGCCGCTCAGCCTCAGCAGCCTGATGGGTGTGGGAAGGAAGGATAAGGATCAAGGCGACAGGTGATCGGCGGAGAGGCGACGATGCGCAGGAGGGTGCAACTGTGCAGGGCACTGCATCTCCCCCGAGACGTGATGGATCCCGGTCAATAATTTGTCGCAAAGGATGGACACGACAGGGTGTGCGATTGCTCCTGCTGGCCTCTTTTAACAGCTACGAGCCTCCCACAGTGGAGGCTTCAAGCGCTCCGACAGCAAGCTGCAGCAGGCCCCAATCAATCCATCACACGTAGGCCGCCAGCCCATGCCCAGCCTTCCTGTTTATAGCCTGAGGAAATATCCCCAGCCCTTCCTTTCAGTATGCCCTTCATGGTAGGATGTTCACTCATGATTGATCGCCGGCCCTCCTTCCCCCTTTCTCCCCTTAGGATTGAGGTTGAGTAGCAGCCGTGCCGCAAGCCGTGCCCCACACCTTCGCCGCCAGTGCCTCCTTCTGCTCCCTCAGCTTCTTGATGTCAATCCGTGCGAGCATCTTTTTGAGCTCCACGTTGGTGCGCTCAGTCTCCATGTACTCCTTGCGAATGGCCGCCAAACGCCGCTGCTCCTCCTTGAGGATGGTCAATGCGCCCTGCCGCTCAAGACTCTGGTCACGCGTCAGCTTGATGATCTTGTCCTGAACGCCCAGCAGCGCTGGGTCCGTGGTCGGTGGCAGCACACCAAACGCGCCGCGAGGCGACGGCTCCGCTGACGCCATGGCCGCGGCTGCCACTCGCGCCTGCAGCACCGCGTTCTCCGCCTCTGCAGCTTCCAAAGAAGATGTCAATCGTATATTGGTGGTGTGCGCTTCCGCCAGACGTGCTTCCAGTTCCGCGAGCCGGGCCTCCTTGGCGGCCAGCTCCGCCAGGTGGGCTACCGGCCCACTGTCAGGCCCCGAGTCCGACATGGTGCTGACGGAGGCACCTCCAACTGCGCCCGCCGCGTGCTACAACCTGGTGCTCTGTAAGCTAGTCAAGGCTTTAACTAATGGACGCCGCTGCGTTACGTGACGCGGCTGAGATGTACAGCCGACGAGGTAAGTAGTGATCCTGCCACTAGGAGCTATATGTTTGGCCGGCGACGGGAAGCCAGAGAAGGGTTTCCGGCCCCTCTCGATTTGGCCCCTAGTGCTACACTGGAAGTGCAGGCCACGGGTGATGATGTGGTTTTGCTACTAGTAGTGCTGCTGCTGAGTGGTCCACTGTGCAAGTGAGCCAAAACCGGAGGCAACGGTTGGAGTTGGCGCGGGGAGGTTGCAAAGCTGAAGTGGGACTAAGCTAGGTGGAAGCAATCGCCGTAGATTCTCCGCGGCTGCTGGTCCAGAAGCGTTGCTAAGCTGTTGCCAGAGGCTCCGGTTCCTAGCGGGCTGGACCGGCCTTGCTGAAGGGTGCTGATGTCCACCAGAGGGGAATTTTCTGTAGTTGGGCTGTCCCTGAGCTGCGGCGTATACTTGCGAAGCCGGTCAAACAGCTCTTCCCTCGACGTACTCCGGTCCTGGGAAAGCCAAACAAAAAGCAAGGAAGTATCCTGACATCGAAAGTATTTTGATGGTATTGAAGAGCCGTTATGTGTTTTGATGGCATAGTGCTCCCGTCAAGGCCCATGGGAAGTTACTCCAGCATGGGCTTGCGAACGGCTACCCAGAAGCAGGAATGCTCGCAAGATGTCCCCACTTCAATGATCTAGATTAAAGCAAATTGCGCCCTATGTCCACGTCCGTTGGGACCCCGTCCAGGTCACGCATCGGACGAATTGCGAAAACCACCGCTCTCTCGAAAATGGAAAATACTTGCACGACTTCATCATAGCTCAACCTCGTTTAAGTTCGGAAACCCTGTCATGATCAGGCAGCAAAAGCCTGTGCGCACCTCCAAATGCGTGCGCCGCAGGGTTTGCTCTTGATGAAAAAGCTAATGCTTAAGCGTCCTTCAGATCGAGCAGTCCCCTAAATATTACAACCTAAGAGCTTGGCATTCTGCGCAACATTCCGTGCCAGAGGGTACGGCTAGGAGCTATTAGGCAGCGCTGTGTAAACTGAAAAGTCTATAGCAGCTGTCCATTATCACATCAAACGAATGAAAGGGTATATAATTTGACATGCTTGGGAAGTAGCATCACCCTGCCGTTCATCATCCTTACTATACTTGGTGTTCATGCTAGGTTTACAAAACATGCGTGATACCATAACTCATCCTGATGTTTCCGAGCATCATGCTAACCAGTTTGTTTAGCAGCATGCTTCTGCGAACTGTCCGACGGTTCATCTACCGCCGACCCACGGGTTGTCGACGCGTGTTCAAGGACTGCAGAGACTCAACAGAAGCCTTAACCAATTCAGCTACAGTTGTATCGAATGGATGCCTTGGGTGCAAAATATGGCGCAAGCCCGCTGCTCGTTCCTGAGTTTCTCCTTACAAGTTTTGCCGTTGCACGAAACCCGATGGGTACCTGTCTGAAGCTGCTGCCATCGTGGTACATGTTAAGATTCAGCATTCTATATGAACGCACCGTTTCAGGCTGTTGCCCAAGAACCGTTTGTTCAGTAACAGTGGAGTACTTAGTTGCAGGACGCGCAGAGCAGCCGGCACCGATGAACAGCTGGTGAAGCTGGTACCATCCAGTACACTCACACACACTCACACACAGCTTAGCTGTCTCTACCACTGGCTCTAACCTTCCCTGGCCGCTGCAAACTGCTGTAAACACCGCATTCTCGCCAAGCTCTGCAAACATCTACTGTTGCAGGCTCCCTGGGTACACACACACCACACTTCAACCAGCGAAATGAAGGCCATTGCCTCACCGCACCAGAAACTTTTCAATATGGCTGGGCTCACGTTGACGTTATATTGCAACACAGTGCTTGAAGCGACCCCATGCAGCGACCCCATCATGACCGCGTTAATCCATCACCCGCCCAGCGCGCTGTGTTGTGTGTCCTCCTAGCCCACTAGCCCACTGTGAGCAGCGGCGGGCCCTCCCCGAGCAACCCCCGCCCCTCGGCCGCCTGCTGTCCAGCCCGCGCCGCATGGCCATCCATGCAGTCAGCCAGCCCTTCCATCAGCCAGCCTCTACTTCTCGCGCCCCTGTAGCTCAGTCGTCCAGCCTCAAGGGCAGCACCTCGAAGCCCGCCACCTCCAGACTCAGCTGGGCAACCTCCCGGTCCCCGACCACCACCACCGCCTGCCGCTCAGGGTGCAGGTGCGCTGCAGCCGCCCTCGCCACGCTCTCAAGCTCCACCCCTTCGATGCCCTGTTTGTACTTGAACAAAAAATTCTGCACTCACACATACACACACACGGGAAACAAATTACGCAGGGTTGCCGAAACTGTCTGCGGTGGGCACTATTCTTGATTTAAGCCTGCTCTCAGGCCATTATCTTAAACCCTAAGAATGAACCGGATGCAATGGGCCACCACCGCTGGCCCCGCCTGGCAGTGCACGGGCGAATCTATCAGCTTAGGTCCGTTGTACAACGGGTAAAGTGCACGGCATCGTCTACTGTACCTGTGGCAGGCCGAGCAGTTCGTACACAAGAATACGCTGCAGCTGGCTGGCAGTGGATGCAAAGTTGAAGACGAATGAATTGAGGGTCTCAGCCTTGGCGGCCTCCAGCTCCTGGGCAGTGGGTGCCTCCGTAGCGGCTCGGCCAAGTATCTGTCGGAGCGCTCTGAGGAACTCGCCCGGGGAGGAGGTCTGGCCGCCTGGAGCCCCCAGGCGGTGGGGGAAAGGGGAGGGTGGATGGTCGCGGGAGCAGCAACAGAGGCTCAAACAGACGAGGATGCTTGAGCCCAACGAGTGAGGCAGGATGGCGCCTGCCATGGGCGCTGGGCAGATGGCTGGAACCGGGCAAGGAGAAGCGACAATGCAGCGGCCAGCATGCGTGAATCTGCGTTGCGTGGCCCAACCCCTCTTCCCCACAAAGTTTATATGAGCGGTCTTTAAAGCGACACCTATCGGCCCCTCCCACACAACGAGGCGACGACCCTGGGCCAGCAGCAGCTGCGGTCGTTAGCCTGGCCCCGCACAACTACCCTCCACCCTGGGGCCCCCAGCCCCATCCTCCCCCCCTCCCCGTCTCCTTCTCTCTCCATCACTGCGCACACTCTCCACAAGGTGATAGTACCCTCCCCATCTCTCCCTGCGCGCACCTCATACCCTCCCCATCTTTCACACCCATTTTCGCCCCTACCCGCTGCCCCGCTGATTCCCTCTCCCACCATGCAACCCCCTGGCCCTTTCCTCTCAGCTCCCCCGCCCACCTCGTTTGCCCATCCACACTTTCACCCGCACCCGCGCCACACCCAACTCGCACCTGCCACGAACAGACCCTGGTGATAGGCGGGGCTGTCCCAGCCGCCCGACACCGAGTAAGCCAGCCCCTCCCGGCTCCGCAGTGTGTCGAACAGCTGGCCCCCGAAAGAGTTGAAGATGCCGCCCAACACATCCAGTGCGAATAGGTCTGGGTCGGAAAGAGATATGCCCGGTTCAGCGGTCAACACGTACGCCTGTAGCCTCGGCGAAAGGGGCCCCGGGGGAAAGGGTCAAAAGATGGTTTCGGAGGTCTTCCAGGAGACATGTTGGATGATTTGCAGTGGGGGATGCTCCGGGTCGGCAATTAGGACCTCACAAGTGTTTGATTACGGAGAGACGACTGAGGATCTAAAAAACCCCTCTGACTGCTAGTTGACTGTAGTGACTTGACTGACAGAGGGAAAGAGGTTTACTCAGGGTTTTAGGGTGGCAGGGTGCGAGGCGCGAGGGGGGAAAGACACATCATGGTGGCGACACCAGCTGGCACTTCCTCGCCCATCGCCAGCTGCCTTCACGTTGTGCGCGCGTGTTGTTTGGTTGGTTAGCCGCGGGCGGATATCCACGGGGAGTTTTGTTGTGTGGGAGGTACACTTACACCAGTGGTGGATGCGGATCCAGATGCGGCGCTACCCTTATACCTGCGTAAGACCCGGTCGGTCCACCAGGTACACCACCGGCCGCCGACCCGATGGCGCCGCCGTCGTTGCCGGTGTTGCTCCCTTAGACCCCTCCGACAAAAAGGTGGATGTGGGAGGGGCCGCAGCTGGGGCGAACGAGGAAATAGGTGGGGATGACTCGGGCTGTGCTGACGAGGCGGTAGTTGCGGCTGCGGCTGCGGCTGCGGCAGGCGTAGAGTTCAGGGCAGGTACGGCTGGCGGTGCACCGCGGGGCACCGCCGGCGGCTCATCCGGCTGGCCCAGCGCGGGCGCCCAGTCACCGAACTCCCGGTCCAACAGCGCCAGCATTTCACGCGGTTCGAAGGCACCCACCACACCCAGCACCGCCGCATCCGGGCGCTCCCAGCGGGCCACGTAGGCGCGCAGGTCGTCAGGCGAGATGGAGGACACGCCTGCCTTGGTAGGGGTGCGCGCATAGATGGAGTCCGGACCGTACAGCAGCTTGGTAATCTTCCGGCGCCCGATGGCTGCTGGGGAGTCGTTCTGATGCTCCAGGGCGTTGAGTATCTGAGCCTGGTATAGCGCCAGCTTATCGCCGGGAAGGGCTGGTGTCCTACAAGGGACGTCGGCGGGAAACTGATGATGTGCAAGTAGCTTCGTAAGCAGAGTCCAGGTCGGGAGCCCGGGGGCACGAGGCGCCCTAGAGGCGTTGTTTCCGACACCTCGGCAGTTGATCTCTTAATTCCCTCCCTCCCCTCCCTCCCCTCCCTCCCTGCCCAACAGCCATCCAACAGCCATCCGCACCTAAGCAACCAAGCACAGCGCCAAGGCGCAAGTACCCGACCTGAGCCAAAGCAACCCACTGCTTCCACTGCATCCTACCTGACCACCTCAGCCATAAGCCCCATAACCTCCTCCACGTCCTCAGCCAGACACTGCATGTCCGCACTGACCGCCTGGGGCCCAGCGCCCATCTCAATACTGGCAGCCAGCTCCTCCAGGCGATAGTCAAGGGAGGGAGCGGGGTGTGCCACGCTGCCGCCTGCCCGCTGCACATAGGCCGTCAGCGTTGCAACCCCCACCTGGCGCCAGACAAGGGAGAGATAAATCGTCAGGGAGGCGGCAACTATCTAACGCAGTGACTGAAACGCGGACACCCGCGCCAACCCTTCTCCGCCCGAAGGGTGATAACGGCCCCTCCCGCTCCCCCTCTTCGAGTACTGGGGCTCCAGAACCAGCGGTAACCGGACGCACACACGCACACACCTTGCCTGGCGGGCTGCCGTACTGACCTCCGCGCATGAGCAACGTGGCTCTTACCAAGGGCACCTCCTCATCCCGAAGCAGAAACACACGCAGCCCATTCCGCAGTTTAGCCTGGAGGGTGGGGTTTGGTCGGGGAAGGCAATAAGACACACGGACATCATTCTCATCCGAATGCGAACGCGAATAGCAACGGGGAAGGGAGCGGAGGGCAGGGCAGGGCAGGGGAGAGGGGGGAGTGAAAGAGGAGGGACTGGAGGGAAGGGCAATCGTCTGCTTGGCTGCTCTCCCAGCGGTGCCGGGGGCAGGGCCTTAGGACCACCCGGCGCAGATCTCAACTGAGCCTCCACTGCACCCCCGACAGGTCCACCGCACTCAGACGGTACATCCCAACGACCATCCTAACATGGCAGACCTGCACCCAGTCAACCCAGTCATACCCACCCACCGTGGTGTACGACGGCAATTGGAGCTCAGGCAGTGGAGGGAACTCTGTGGGCAGGGGCGGGAGCGATTCCAGGGCCTCGAGGCCAGTGAACCGAATGGTGGGTGCAACCAGGGTGTCAGGGGGGGATATAGCGCTTGGCTGAGCTGCAACACCAGCACTGCCAACGGGTACGGTTGGGGGCGGCTGCTGCGGCGGCAACGGTCCTAGGATACCTGCCGATGGAGGCGGCGCGGCGGCCACTGCAGCTGCATCAGCGGGCAGCCCCGAGGTGGCGGACAGGACTAGAGTGGCGGTCAGCAGGATTGCGGCAGTGGAACGTGCCGCGACTTCCAGCAACGAAATGAGAGGAGGTGGCGGGGTCAGGCACGCAGGGCTTCGCGGGGGATGGGTGGGTGGCGGCCATGGCACTCCGGACGAGATGGGACCCGAGGGCCATGTTGCCCGTTGTCTGCCGATGCCAGATACGCATTCATTGCGGTCGTTTTGAGCTCTGGGCTGGGTGGGATTGCAACCGGCGCTGTACACACTGGCCCGGGGACGGAGGCAGGAGCAGGCTACCCTAAGCTGGTGAGCGACAGGCTGATTACACCGATACCAGTGCCACGAATGATGATTTGACGAGAGGGGACTTAGGAGTGAGAGCTGCTGTATTACCGGGTGGTGTGGCCATAAGTCCCTGTGCGGGGCCGGGCGCGAATACATTGCGCTTGACATAGGACAACGTGGCCTGGTGATGGCTTTACCATAAGAAGTCTGGTGACGTTGCATGCTGCTGCATCACGCCTGTGATAGTGTTCAAGGCTTGGATGAGTGGACGTAAACGCGTACGACGGCAAGCAGCTACGAGTTCGGATGTACTGAAGTGGTATAATCGCCTAAACCCTATTGTTACTTGAGAAATGTGCTGACAAATATTACAGCACCTTACATTCTTTCCGACTGACCACTTACTTTGAAGTAGGGAACTGCCTAGGTTTTTAACCCCCAAGCGACATCGCAGTTTACCACGTTGACCTTGCCGCTGTTTGCCTACATAAAATGTCTCCACATCCACCCTACAATCCGTCTCCACATGATTTTGAAGAGCTTAGAAAACTCTTGCCTCACGATGCCCACGACGTCCTTACGAGCGCCTTTGAGGAAGGACTGACTGACAGGCTTCTTGCCAGGTGGCTAGTAGCACGCAAAGGTGATATAAAGGCAAGTCGTGCGTTTTGGCGGTCGGACTTCACGCGGCTCATCACACAAGTGTGGCATCATCATCAGCCCCTTACGCCGACATCCGCATCCGACTGTGCGCATAGTTCAATCACACTGGTAGACAAGTGGCTACACCCCTGTGACACCACACGTGGGTCGTCGAAATACAGCTGGGAGGGGCGGTTTAGGCGCCGCCGGGTTTCGTGGAGTGCGCTACGCGTCCTCGTCGCGCCTTATTTGCCCAACACAGCCTACTGACCCATGCCGCATTTAGTATATGAATATAATTATCTATTAAATCGCAATGCGCCTGCTTATCCCACCCGACACGTATCCCGCCAGGCGGCAGCTGCCATGTTGGAGAAGCACATCACCTGGCGGCGAGGCCCAGGGCGCCCGGTGCAGGAGGAGCATCACGGAGTGCAGGTCAACCTGCGGCACAAGAAGGTAGGCTGCATGGCATTGTATGGTGCCATCCAGAGAGAGGTCTACCGTTTGCGGGGAATGTGGCCTCTGAGGTTTTGTCGATACTGCCGCGCACGTGACACGGTACAGCGGGAAATTGCGCCTGGTGCCGCTGCTGCATTTACGCCTTCGACTGCACAACCCAAACAGCACTAAGTTTGGACGGACCCGGGCGCCTTGTTGGGGAGCTGCCCGCAGGGATTATGTGACAGCAGGGCGGCCTTCCCCTAACGCTGCGTTTCTGCGTCGATGATTACCTTCGTCCCTTGCGTTTTGCGAGGAGTCCATCCGTCCCAAGGCTGCAGCGTCCGGCTTCAGTTGCCGCTGGGGGAGCCCTCTGAGCAGGAATGATCAGCACCACAAGGGACGACCCTGTATCTGCTGCAATCTGTCTCTCCGATACCCCCATATCCCCTCCCGCAGGTGTTCTTGCAAGGTCTGGACAAGACCGGGCGCCCCATCGTGTTGGGGGTGGGGGCACGACACCGCAAGTTTGAAAGCAAGGAGGATGCGATGGCGTTTTGCATCTATGCCCTGGATACCGCCGTGGCCATAGGGTGCGCGAGCAGCCATGAGGGTGAAGGACTATCGTGCAGGTTGACGTAACACCTACACGTGTGCATTGCGGGTTTGCAGCGTCCTGTCCGAGCTGATGGACAAAGTGGGCGCCTTACGGTGTATCCCGTCGTCCAGCTCCCCAGCCGGTGCCTAGTGCAACTAAGCCTAGTGCAACTAATGGTTCTCTGGCCTCTGGGAGCTGTGTCCCGCGTCATACCGTTGAACTGTGCATGTGTGCGAGCAATGGTATGTTGAGTGCATCTGCTTTGTTGTGCAAACGACTAGTCCCCCGTGTTTCTGTCCTGCAGGAACTCGCATGACGACTGGGACGGGAAGTTCACAGGCGTGTTCGACTTGCGGGGTGAGTGCTGCTGTTGTGTTGGTGGTGGCGGAGATGGTAGTGGTGGCGGTGGCGGGAAAATGGGGACATGGAGGGGACGGGTTCACGTGGTCGGAGGACAGCGGTACTGGCGGCGAACAGCTATGCCGCAGAATTGGTTAGGCAGGCGCTTCATAAGGCGCTGCGAGGTTTGCTGGCCAGTCAGGGCTTTTGACCTCATGTCGATAGCCGCGTTTGCCATTGCTGTGTACATTGGCGCCCCTGAGGTGACACCCTCCTGAACCAACCACCAAGGTGACAATGCCGGTGGCGACGACCTTAACCTCCCACACATCTGAAGATGTTGTGCTCCGCATATATACCAGGAATTCCCCGTGCTTTATAGCACTTATGTGTGTGTGTGTGAGAGTGTGTTACACCAGGGGTTGCGTTACCCAGAGAGGCACTTGTGCAGTCCTCTCGCCCATGCCGCCCAGGATCCCCAGTGTGTTTCATGTTTTGTCCCCCCGGCAGATCTGGGCATGAAGAACGCCGACCTGACGGCGCTGCAGGTCATGTTCGAGCTCCTTCAGAACCACTGTAGGTGATTGGGAATAAGGAGGGGTCCGCAGCCGCCTATTGGTCTTTTTTGCGGCGCGTCACAGTCGGGTTGTTGTGAGCTCTCCTGTTGCTCCACTGGTTCGCGTCGTTGGGTGTTTGCTTGACTAGTCCGAAAGGTTTTCTACTTTTGCATGGGAGGCGCGACTGACACCGTTGCGTTGTGTAACCATACGTTTATTTGATGGGTGCACTGTTTCTGGAGGCTGATGCCCGTTGGCGGTTCCAGCTTTCCTAGCCGTTTTCGCTCGCGGGACCTCTGTGATTATACGATGCCTGGGATTCCTTCGTCTCGTGGATGGGTAGATGGATGCACTCAACCCGTTCCCATGGGCATGTAGCTGGTTTGTTGAACCCTGCTTCTTGAGTCAAAATGCACTTCGTGCAACGTCCGGGACCACATATGCCGCTTACCTCCCCCGCCCCCTCCGAATGCCTCTTCACTTTTGATGTTGGCCTTAGATCCGGAACGCCTCGGCCAGTTGTTCTTGTACGAGGCCCCTATGGCCTTCTACGCGTTGTGGCGAGCGCTGGGCCCCTTCGTAAGTGACGCGTAGACTGACCGGGTGCACGTGTCAATGTGGATTTGGGATTTTTAGTTGGCTGTTAACAATTTGCAGTGGTTTACGTGGATTGCGGCTTGCATGGATAGTACTTGCAATCACAGGGGGGTGCACGACTCCCCGTGGCTTGCTGTCCGCTTTTCGGCCTTACTGCGTTATGGCCTTGGCAGCCGGGGTGGAGCTTTATGGACTGCCATGGAGTGGACACTTGGCACTGTACCATAGCGAGGGGGCGTTCTATTGTTGCATCAGAGCCCTGCAGCTTTGTCGCCGGTAGCAGCAGCAACAGCAGCGACCACGATGGGATGTGATGAACTTGCATGCGGCTGCTGCCAAGGCTTTTCGCGGCCGGTGACGCCAGCGCGTTGTCTCGATTGCCTCTCCAAGAAGCCTTTGCATAAATAATTGCACTCCAACACCTTTAAGCATATTCCTTGAGCTCTCATTGTGACTCTCCTGCTCTTGCATCTCCGTTAACACATACGCTTTTGAGCATAAGCCGCCATCGGTCTCCCCTTCGGGAGCCCAGCCGCTTATCAATGCGTTGACGACGATGTCCTGCTGCCGCCCAATCCCCCGTTGGTGTCAGATTGACCCCGTCACGAAAACCAAGATCCATTTTGTGTTCGCCAAGAATGCCCATGTGGAGTTTGAGAAGGTCTTTGACTTGCAGGTATGCGAGTTTGGATTCCTACGAGACCTAGGACCGGGGCTTCTCAACTTGATATTGGTGTTTATGGCGAAATGAAACCGGGAAAGGCCGTGTCACATTGTCACTCTCCAGGGAGGGTGCTGCTCTCTGGTGAAATGCCCTCGCCGCTTCCTGGGGGAAAGTGCAAAGTGGCGTTCCTTATTTTGGACCCGCCGTTGACTGGCCAGATGGTCGATTGCCTTTCGCTGCCGCCTACAGTTGCTACCGAAGGATCTTGGGGGGGAGGGTGACTGGCATCCTATCGAGGAGGCGCACCGCAAGGCAGTGGAGCGGATGACGAAGCGCGTTGGCGAGCAGCCGGCACCCGGCGGGAGCCCGGCCGGAGGCGACGAAACGGTGGCGCCGGTGCCTTCGCAGGCCATCTTGGCCTCGACATAGCCAGGAGCGCCCTCGCAATTTGCGGCGGCATGAGATAACTTGCCGGTAAGGACGCAACCTTGCGGTGCCCTGCCCTAACCCGCTCATATCCGGTCGGAATGCCGATGGGTACGCCAGTGGCAGTTCGGGTATAGGTAGAGGCAGCGCAGAGCAGGGGCTCCTGCCCATTTATGCTCGTTTCTGTCGCCAGATGCTCGTCGTCACTGTGTGCTGGCTGGTGACGATGTGCTTGGCGCTTGGCGCAAATGTGTGGTCAAAAGTTGAGCATCGCTTGCTTTGTGGGTGTTATTTATTCATGGGGGGTTCCGTGTGTCCAAGGCCGGGTGGTGCGGGATGTGGCACGGGAGAACTTGGACGGGAGGATTGCATCGAGGTATGCAGGGGTGCTTAGATGGGCGTGAATCGCCGGGAGTGCTTGCGGCAGCATCCCTTGGCGGATACGTTGCTGTTTCCTGTTGCAAAGACAGCCGTACGGTCTGTGGTCTAACGTTGCGTGAATTCGGCACCCAGTGAACATCGAGGCAGATGTTGAACGGGGGCAGGCTGGGCCGCTGGAGGTGAAGGCTTTTGTATTTGATGGTTAAGGAGGGCGACATGTTTTACGGTGCGGACGCGGTGACAAGACACTCATTTGAGAGAGCCGTGTGCTTACGTGGCTTGGAGTTCATTTTGGTTCGATTAGACATCACGCCGATCCGGGCACATTTGAATTTCACAGGTTTTGTACAGATGTTTACGTCCGTCCGCACTTCCTTTTGGTGTCCGCACTTGGCTCGGGCAAGCGCGCCATTGTTGCGTGCGGGGGGAGGGATGAGAGTGTACATGTATTTGCCCCGTCTGGGCCTCTTTCATCCTGTTAGTATTGGCCTTCACCTACGGTAGCAAGGCCCGTATGAAACCGGAATCCAATGGAACTCGAATATTCCGCCGTAATCTCCCTGAAGGAGTTGCGCCTTGGGGTGCTCCCTCCCCATGTGCAGCGGTCACGTCGTGGAAAACGTCATGGCGTGCGATTTGCGGGTTCGGTGATGTGAAGCAACCTTGTTTGGATTTCAAATGATTGCGATATTGGTTTCCAGGTGGATAATCCGTTAGTTTTGCTTACGGTGCCTACTGGTGGTTGCACCTTGATGGTATGGTATCGACGTGGCTCCTTAGGCGGTTAGCCGTTTTTATTCGGTTGGAGAAACCGTTAGGTTTATTTAGTTGGCTTCTGCGTATCTTATGTTACTGCCTACGTACATGGTAAGGAGAGGCGAGGGTACGTGCAGGGTATTGCGCGCTATGAGCGTGGAAGGAGCTGCATGTGTCAAGCGTTAACTCACGGGCATATTGTGGCGGACGATGAAATGAAAAAGTACTCGGCAGAATGAAGGAAAAAGTGTCTTGCGAAGGCAACTCTTAAGGGCTTTCGCCTGCAAGCGGAGCACAGGTAGTGTTTGCTATATGCTAATGGGATAATGAAGCGGACAACAGAGGGGATTATCCAATTAGCATGTAACCGCCTACGTCCTGAAGGGAAAAAGGCCGCAAAGAACCGGTCGTGTCGTACAAACGGCTGGTTACAGTACATCGAAACTTTTTTGACCAGTACAGCAGCACCGTTATTTTCTGTCAACAGGAAGTCATGAACTTGATGCAACTGGATAACGCGACACAGGTGGTTTCTTGCCGGTTCCCCATCCCAAAACTTTATTGTTGCGGAGGCTGTATAGCAGACCAACTTGAATTATTTCCTTCTTAGAGTTTGTAAGGATGCCTACCGCTACAAGCAAATTGACATCTGTCGCTGAGGTAGCGGGTATCCTTAAGCAAGTCGATCAAGCTTTTACAGCTTACCAAGTCGCAAGGAATACATTTGTCACGGCTCTTCAGGTTGCCATCACACACCGGTGTGCAGACAGCCTTATATGGCGACGCATGTCCTCACCGAGCCTCGAATGCCTTTTGTAGGGTTTCCTTGAGAGGCTGGACTCGCAAAGTGTTATGCTGGAGGCGTTGATGAAGAATGATGTGCTTGCCACGCTTTGCTGTCCGCTTGCACAAGACCCTGTTCCAGGCAAGGAACCCCTTCTCAGCTCACCACTTCCCGATCTGTTCCCTTGCATATAAGCGTAAGCCTACGGGCAGCGTTTGGTAAACAGTTTCCAGAGCGGTTCGCCAGCGCAGCTAATTCGTCAGTTGGGTGGTCGTAGCTGGTAGGGCAGCGTAGGCCTGCCCCACATGATCCGCAAACACCTTCTACTATGCTGTCCGAATTCCCAAACAAAATCCTTTGACTGACTCCGTCATGTCACCCCGGGATGCAGGCATCCAGGCGCTCGCGCTGCGGAACGTCTCCAAGTTGGCAGCGTGCGACCCCTTGCTTTCACAGGCTGTAATTTCGTGCGGCGTGCTTGACAGGTACGTACGGAAACCTAGCACTGAGAAGGCGCGTCTGTTTAGGATTGGCCATGGTGTGTTCCTCTATGGAACCGCGTGGAGCCGCGTGGAGTAGGTAAGAGAGCTCTTCTGCCAACACCATCACAAGTATCACCTTCCAGGCCCATGGCCCCCATATATTCTCCTCATTCGCGCCCCAAGGTCCCATATGCAAGTCGGACCCACTTTCCTGGGTCCGCACGCAGCTCCCTCCTTTCCGCAGTCCTTCCTTTCGTCACTGCTTACTTACCGCCCCTTTTCCTCCCTGTTGTGGCGCAGTGTGGTGCTGTCCATGCGCCATGAGAGCGCCCCCGTGCAGTCGGGAGCTAACATGGTGCTCGCGTCTGTGGCGGGGAGCTCAGTGGACTTTGCGAGGAGAGTCCTGGAGGCGGGTGCGGCGGGGCGGAGTTTGGGGTGCGGGGTCAGGAGGCCAGGAGAAGGAAAAGATGAGGAGGAAGAGGAGAGCCATGGTGATAAGGCTAGGGTACTGAATTACTTCGTTGCTGCTGGACCAGCAAGGCAGCAGAAGGGACGAAGGCTGGGAGCCAGCAAAGCCCGGGATGGGTCGTGTGGAATCAGGCACCGGGAGGTGGAGGCGGGAAGGCTGATCAAGTTTTGCTGCCACAGCTCACATAGCCGGTCCGGTCCCGGAGCCCCTTTTTGCCTGGCAGAGGTTGCGGTGACTAACGCAGGGCGACAGTCCAACCTCTGGACTGAGACATGACGCTTCCGTCAGAACGGAGGGCGAGTGAAGCGCAAGTGCATGTATGCATCACGTGGCTCTTTACCGCGCCAGCACCAGCAGCCTCTGGAACGTTCACGTTGGGGTGTGGTGGGATACAGCTGATCCTTTCTTAGCCCCCCGGGGGCCCTCCCCTACCGGGTCCTCACGCATACCCCGGCGGCTCCCTCGCTGCACTCCCAACACCAACCCCCGCAGGTGCCATGCCGGGCATTCTGACGCAGCTACGCACCGGCACAGCGGCCGTCAAGGAGAGCGCCGTGCGCAACCTCAACTCGCTTATCGGCTCGCACCGCGACCACGCGGGCCTGATCGCGGACGAGGGCCTGCTGTCGCTGCTGGTGGCGCTTCTGAACGCGCAAGACTCGCCGCACTCGCTGTGCAAGGCGGTGGTGCACACGCTAGCCACCACGGCTCACTACGGGCCGGACATGGCGGCGGCGGTGATCAAGTGGGTTGGCGAATGGGGAGCGGGAATGGCGCCGGGGGCATTGTTGGCCACCGGGGGGAAGCACACCGGACAACGCTGTGTAGGCAAACTGTTTTGGCGGGCAGGAGCCCTCTACGCTGGCTGCGCACTGCTGGGTTCGTACAGGAAGTAGTCTTCAGTGGCACCCATTTGATCTGGGGCTACTGTTGTGTGGACCGAGGCGTTCCTGGCCCCAATCCATGGCCCGCAATCCATGACTCGCCGCGTTGCTGCAACCCATCATACTACTTGGACCCACCTTTTTTCCTAAACTCCCATCGCCACATGGTCCTAACGCTGGTCGGCCTGTCCAGGGCGGAGGCATTACCGCCGGTGATGATGTTGGTCCGCGGGGCCATCACAACCCCAGATCTGCGTGCCGCTGCCATCAACTGCCTGGCGCACATCGCGGCCCACAACGAGGACCTGGCGACGCAGGTGGCGGAGCCGTCTCTGGTGGAGTCCGTGGTGGCGCATTTGGCGGATAAGATGGTGCGGATGCGGGAAAGAGGCGCGGGAGGGTATATTGAGTTTGGGGCTTGTGCAGCAAGGGACTTATTTTCCTCTGGCCTTTGCCCTCTTCCTCCCTCTGTCATTTGGTACCCCGCCGTCTCACATCGCGTTGCATATCGTTGCTCCTGTCCCGTGACGAACGTGCGCTACAGGTGCCGCCTGTCAGGCGTGCTGCCGCGGCCTTGCTGTTGCAGCTGGGGCGCAAGACGCCCGCGCTGGCAGCACATGTCTGCGCGGGCGGCTGTCCCACTGCGTTGACCAAGTTCTTGCAGATGGAAAAGGAGGGTGATGGCTGTAGCACAGGTGTGACGCTGGGGGGCACCCTGGCTAGCTACAGCCCAACCACGGCCAAGGCGGTGGTTGACGCGGCTGTGGGGGCGGAGGTGGTACAGGCGCTGCGCCGCGGAGACGGTGCAGGTACCAGCACCAGCATTAGCCCGGCCGCCAACCCCAAAGGCGGCGCAACGCTTAAGGGAACGTTGACAAATCGCGGCGCTTCTACGGCCAAGGGCATGGCAGCCGTAGGCGACGCCACCGGCAACATTGCTACGGGGCCGCCATTGAGCATTCGAGTGGCAGCTGCATGGGCCCTGGAACAAATGGCGCAACACGGGGAGGAGACGACGATGCCACTGATAGCGCAGGGTGCACTGGCGGCGGTGCTAGAGGGTTACAAGGCCTCGGCGGCCGGCGCAGTGGACGGCTCCGATGATACCGTATTTATACGCTGCAAGGCGGCTCTCAAGTCGCTCATCCGCAACTGCAACAGCACGGCGCCCCTGGAGCCTCTGGTGGTGAACGGCACGCCGCCGGCAGTGCTGAAGCATGTGTTGCGGCGCGCAGAGCCCCTGCTGGCGCGCGATGCCAAGAGCCGGCAACAGTTTGTGACGAGCGGGGGCCTGATGCGTTTGCAAGAGCTTGAGGGACAGCTGTGCGGCAAGGGGCAGGCGTACCTGCATGCCATTAATGCGCTGTTCCCGGCGGACGTGGTAACATACTACCGCCAGGGCGGCCACGGGAAATAAGCTCCATGTACCTTTCTAATTGGTTGGCAGTCTAGCGTGGATGCACGTTCCTCGGAAAGAGGAGTTGCCGCGTCGGAGGACCTATGTAGTGGTCGTGGCTGGCGCTGGGGACCGCGGAGTCTAGTACTCTCGTCGTGCATCAACCAAATGGGGGCGTGGTCCTGGACGGAAACCCGTTTGAAAGGACATAGCGCAGCGACGCGTGCGTGTACTTGCGACGGTGTGCTGCTTGTGTAGTGGGGCTGTGGCGTCTGATGACCTGGCGTGTGACTGCGCACCAGCGGTGGGACGCCGAATGGGTGGGTGGGTACGTGGGTGAGTACGTGGGAAGGGGGTTGACGGAGAAGCTATGAGAGGCTACGTGCGATAGTACAGTCAGCACAAGACGCTGCAGAGGATATGTAGAATCGGAAGCGGGCTTCTGATTACCTTTCGGATGAGATGCTTCAGTGGTATGCTGGACGAAGCATTGCACTTGAGTCACTCCAGGCTATGTTTAAAACGCTGTCAGGGCAATGCTTCGGCCCTGGCCCTAGCCAGGAAGCGAGGTTACAAACCTTTGCCCAGTGCTTAGACTGTGGAGTCATCGTGTGCAGCTGGCGCACAGAGTTTTCTAGGTCTTCTGTACCGCCCGGCTGCGTACACCTCGTTCCGGGTTCCTGTCCAAACTCCCAGATGCGCAACGTGATGCACACACGAATGCAGCGCACACGCTCAGCGTGCAGGTTATCCTATTGTTCATGCACACGCACATCCATTCTCTGAAGATGCATAGTGCACAGCAACCGCGGCGCAAAGCGGCTGCATTCAAAAGCTCGACAGTTGCAGTCGGCGAACAGTTTCACGCCCGCTCAGTGGCCCCGCCGAGCAGAGGAAGGCCTCACATCCCCTCAAGCAAGTCGCGAATTTGCAGCCCCGCAACCGTATGATGATAATATACTTCGCCCTGGCCGCTAGAGACGCTGCCCCAAGCTGACCCGCCTGTCAGGTGATGCCGCGTGCAAGTGTCCAATCGAGCCGGCAGCCCCTTCCAAGCTTCCGTCCAAGCGGTCAAAACAAAATCAGCTGCCTCGACAGCCCAGTCGCATTTCGGTTTTTAAAAGAATGATACGCCACCCGGCCCTGCCCGGCATCAGGGCCCTCCTGACCCTCGCTGACTAGCTGCACTCCCCGTACGGCGAGCCCCCGCCAGCATGGGTGAGCGAGGAATTTGAAACGGCGGTATCCCCGAGTCCCCGGTGCCCAACTGCTGGTTGCTACCCTTCCCCACTGGAGTCCCAGGCAGGGAGCTGTGCGGCCCTGCTGACGGCGGTGTCGGCGGCGCAGCCGCCGCTGCGCCCAAGCCCTTGCGCATCTCCACATCTAATGTGTCCTCCGGCGGCGGCGGCAGCGGCAGCGGCTCGGGGCGCCGGGGCTCCTCCTCGTGCTCGCGCTGGGAGGTAGACACGGGCGCAGAATCCTTCCCCGGGCGGATTTCTCCCTGTGCTGAAAGCGATCGGGAGCGGGACATCCGCGTGCCGCCTGCAGAGGACTCACGGGAGGGGTTGTAGCTGGGCCAGGCACTGGTGGCCGGAGCTGAGCCGTCCTCTGACCCGCGGGTCGCCGTCCTCGTCGGTCGCGACGGCGGCAACGCCGCGGAGGTCGCACCCGACGCTGGCCGGGATGCACACGACGGCACGTACCCGGACGTCGCCCCCGCCGCCGGGGTGCCTACTCTACTGCCATTGTTACTGTACCGATTATTGGGTAGCATGGGTGGCCGGCCGGCCATGGGGCTGGGCGCGCGGACGCCGCTGGCGCTTCCCGCCTCCGGACCGGTCTTAGGCCGAGATGCCGGCTCTAGCAGCTGCGACAGCACGCCTTCTTGCGGTGAGCGCTCCCCCGTGAAGGAGTTCCGCCGGGACACACGCCCCGTGCCCAGCGCGCCCGGCGGACTGGCCAGCCGCCGCCCATTACCCGCCGCGGTGCCGCCGCCAATCTGGGTACCTCCATCCCCGCTAACATGCCGCGTGTTGCTAGCATGAGTACTGTACCCGGCAGCACCGCCACTGCCGCCGCCGCTACCTCCTCCCCCACCTGAGTTCCCACCAATGCTGCTTCCTCCGCCTCCACCGCCGGTGCTGCCTGGTATGCTGCCGCCGCAGCTGCCGCTGAGGGTGCTGTTCCCACCGGCGCTGCTTGCTATTGAAACCCCGCCCACAGGCATCACGTGACCGGCCCCCATCGGCAGCGGCCCCACACTTTTGGTGCGAGATGAGTACAGCGGCGTGGAGGAAGGCAGCGAGCCATTTCGCAGTGCGGGGAGCTCGGCGGCTGCAGGCGTCGGCGCTCCTGCTGACTCCACCGCCGGTGTGCAGATACGCAGAACGGGGGTGGCGGTGCGCTCGGGAAGACCGGGCCGCTGTGCCGCGTACCGCGCCAGGAATTCGTCCAGGGCCTCAACGCTGGCGGCCCCGACAGCGAGGTCGGTGATACCCTGAAGGGATCATGGGGCAGGACGAAAAGTGGTTCCCGGTACAAACATGACCTTGACGCCTCAGCTCAATTGGAAAGACAAACACGTATGTGTCCATCCATGCAAAAGTTTATCGCAAAAGAGACCCCAGGCCCTAAAATAAACCAGATGACCGCGGACAGGAGTTCCCGGGGCCCTGGTCACCCTGGACATGAACAGACTCCTCGCGTAGGATGGCACAACCACTGGTCCCAATATGCCCCTATGTCCCTTGTGCACGCCTCCACACGAACACACAGGCGTTGAGGCCCCTCTGCCCCTACTTTGAGCATCTCCAGCTTCTCCTTGTTCCGGCTCATCACCATATCGACGTCCAGCGGCGTCGCCGAAGCTGCTGCGCGCCGGCCTTCAGGCGAAATCGACTGCTGCCGTGGCCCCGCCGCGGCCCCGCCTGTTGCCTCACACGCCGCCGCGGACGACGCCACTGATACCGTCATCGGCGCCGCCGCCACGGAAGCGTTAACGGAGGCTGCCGCCGCGCCGTATCCGCTACTGGCCGGTCCTGTGCTGCCCAACATCACCGTCGACGACGCCAAGGCCCCGCCTTGTGGCGTTGGTGGCACTGGGCCCGGCTCCAGCTCCTGGACGGTCACTAAGGTGGGCAGGTCGGCTCCCCCAGCGCCCACACCGCCCGCTAGGTGAATAGACTGGAAGGGCAGCGGGCCACCAGGAGACAGCGCCTGTGGCAGGGGCGCGCCACCGGGGCGTGTGGGGACGCCGTTGGGCTGCCTCGCCATCTCCCGGCCATTCGGGTAGATGAACACGCTTTCGCCCGCCATGGACGCCTCCAGGGGATTCACCGCGCGCAGCCGTGACGGGGGCCGACCGCTCGCCACAGGGCCGCCGGCGCCCGGGGCAGCAGCAGCCGCTGAGGCATTTATCGCGCTCGCCGCAGCATTGTCAACCATTAAAACCGAGCTGTTGACAGCCGGGATAGCGGGGCCCATGTCATACACCGGCGTCGGCGCGGCGTTGCGCCTCAGCATGGCGCCCGTCGGCGGCAGATCCAGGTCAATGTCAACAAGCGCTGGCGGCAGGGGGCCCGGCGGCACCGCAGCCAGCGCGTGGTCAGGGTCGAATTCCGGTCCACTGCGCTGCTGGATAAGTCCTAAGCGCATGGCCGTAACCTGCTCCCGTGCGCGCTCCGCCTCCGCCTCCATCCGCTCTGCGTGCGTCTTCAAGGCCGCCACCTGCTGGCCCTGCGCCGCCACCACCTCCCGCAGCTGTGCCGCCTCTGCTGCCAACTCCTGCTTCACAGCCGCCAGCTCCGCCGCTGCCACCTGCCGTACCTTCTCAACTACCATCGGCGTGCTCGGCCGCCCAGCGACTGGTGCCGCCATAGGCGGCGAAAACACGTCTCCAAAGCCTCCGCCAGCTTGCGGTGCTGGCGCTGAGTGGTGCGTCGCCATCGGCGGCGGCGCTTCCGACCCCTCGTCGGCCCCATCAACCCACGAGCCGCCACCCCTGCCGCCGGCTCCAGGAGAAGCTCTGCCCCCACCACCGCCTCCGCCTGGGCCGTGGCTTACACCGCCGGCACCGCGCTTCGATGCAAACTTGTTGCGCCGGAGCTCCTCCGCCTCCTGTCGGGCCTTCTCCCAGGCGTCCGCCAGCACCTCCTCCTTGCTGCGGGCCTCGCCACCGGCCCCCGCGCCACCCTCTTGCCCGCCGCCGCGCTGCTGCTCTAGGCCGGCCCTGAACCTGGCCTCCTCCCGCTCAATTTCCGCGATTTCCCGGTGCTTCTCGAGCTCCTTGGCCCGGCGCTTTTCCTACTTGTGGAGGTGGCAGAGTGACAGTGGCGACATGCAGTCGGTCAGGACTCAGGGGAGCCACTTGCCGCAAACCTTGGCCCGGCCCGGTTCGGCTATCCCGAGATACGCCCCCTGTGACATGGCCTGGGCTACGTGGCCCTCTCGTGGATTATCCCCAGCTGCTTGGCGCCACCGGCACAGCATCACTGCCTAGGACCCCGGAGGTCGGGTGGGGTCCACACCACGATCCCAGCCGCACCGCCCAGGGGCAAGCCTCAGCACCCAAGCAGACCAGCGAATGACCATCGGGTACACGGCGCCGCTTACCCACCTGTATCTGCTGCTCTAGCGCCTCCTGCAGCTCCCGCATCTGCCGCTGCTTATTGTCCAGCTCTTTCGGGGTGAGGTAGGCATTGTCGCTACGAAACCGGTAATTGGGCAACACGCCAGGTGGGCCGGCATCCATGGGTCCGCCTCCACCGGCCCCCAGCGCCCCCATCATTCCCAGCGGCGGGCCCATGCCCGAAGGCGACCCAAGCAACGCCGGCCCGCCCATCATGGGGGGTTGCTGTGGCGGCGGCGGTGGTGGTCCGCCCATGCCGATGCCGATGCCCATACCCATGCCCGGTGGAGACCCCATCAGCGGCGGCGGTGGCTGCTGCTGCATCATGGGCCCCATTCCCATCGGCATCATACCCATCCCGCCCGGGCTCGGAAGGCCCTGGGGAGGCCCCATGCCGCCCATGGCGCCACGCAGGTTGGCGACAACGTTACCAGCGGCATCACGAAGCGGTGCGCCTCCGCCGCCGCGGCCCATCGCGTCACGCGCCGCCGCCGCCATCTCTGCCTCCTTGCGCATGTCCTCCTCCCGCTGCCGCGCCTTCTCCGACGCCTTGCGCTCTTCCCGCTCGCGGATCTGCGCCTCCAGCTCCAGTCGGTACTGGTCCTTCTTGGCCTGCTGCTCTAGGCGATGCATGGTGTCGCGGCCAGGGCCGGGTGGCGGTGCAGGGCCAGGCAGCAGCGGTGGTGGCGGTGGCGGCGGCGGCGCAGGAAGCGCGTAACCGCCGCCAGGGGCCGGACCAAAGCCGCCGCCGACGCCAACCGGGCCGAAACCGGGCTGCGGGGAGCTACTATACCCAGGAGGCTGAGGGCCGTAGCCGTTGGCACCGCCGAACGGCGGTGGCGGAGAGGGGTTGGGAGGCGGCATGCCATACAAGTTCCCAAGCGGTCCACCAGGCTGGTAGGGCTGTTGCATCGACGGCTGGTAGGGCGGCGGGGATAGCTGATACTGCAGCGGCTGATTCCATAACGGGGGAGGGGGCGCCGCTCCCCGTCCCGGGCTACCAGACAGCGGCATCCCGGCTACAGGTCCCGGCCCGGCCGGTGGGAAAGCTGTGGCACAGTGTGGCATGGTCGAAGTGGGGAATGGTCAACTTGCCAATGGCCCTGGGTGCTCAAGTGGCTACCGGACGCGGCCAACCCGCCAACGAACCAGCTACCATCCACATCTGCTGCCCACGTCTAGTCCCCAGAATTTGTTACGACCTTTGAAGAGCCCCAGCTCACCACCCAGTGGGCCCAACCCATCCACAGGCATCCACTTAGGACGCCGCCCATTCGACTGAAACCGCAGTGCCATCCCCAAGGACCGTATGGACCATGTCAGGGCTGCAACGCCCCATGCTCATTTGTCCAGGCTCATCCCACCTGGCGGCGCTGCTTGTGGATAGGGCCCCAGCGGTGCACCAGGCGGTGACGCTTGCCCGAAGCCCATCATGCCACCGCCCATGGCACCGGGGGAAACTGCACCGCCACCACCAGGCAGCCCTCCCGGGGGAGGTGCTTGCAGTGGCGGTGGGCGTGCGATCCCCAGTCGCTCCATTCGGTCCTTTACCTTGGCCTCCTCGTTCGCGCGCATCTGGGCCTGCAGCTCTGCCGCATAGCTGGCCTTGGCGGCCTTTCTGGCAGCCTGCGTACCAAGGGCCGCCAGGTGACATTCGTAAGGGTACGGCGCTGTCACGGACGAAGTGATGCGAAGGTGCAAGGTGTGAGGCGCATGCTCAGTCGTCAGGACCCGGCTTAGGACGGTACAGTGGCAACCCACCTTGAGCTCTGCCGTGGAGCTAAGGTTGGCAGCTCCCATAATCTCCCGCACTTGGTCTGACGGTAAGGCTCCCCTCATGGTGTCGGGGACTTGCCGTTGGAGGGACCCGGCGTACGTGAAGAGGTTGGATGCCCCCTTGGGCCGTCAGCGGTTATCAACCCAGCGCTCCATCGGGGAGCGCGCGACTTCCTAGCACCTAACTGCTGAAGTCCTAACTGCACAGACAGGCTGATGAAGCTTCCAGGGCCGCGTCCAATCACGATGACACAATAATCCTCCTGATGCTGCCCAGGTTATTACCTCACAGCTCCCTGAATGTACACCGCTCTAGAATGGACTACACAAAGTACAACACCTTTGACTCGGTTGTTGTACTCCAAAGAATCATAATGGAGCAAGATGTTAACGGCGAAACGTCGTAACAAAAGAGCTTGAGGCGAGTTTTTCAGATTGTAACAACCAACTTGGCGTGATTGGGGCCGCGGCCTCGACAATAACGACAGTACAACGCAGTTCAAATGAATTAAAAGGCACTTGTAATTTCCCCAAAATCTCTGAAGCTTGCCTGCACAAAGGAGGCGACAGGCTGGAATAGTCCGTGCTGGAAGGTGCCGTACGAAAGCTGAATTTCTTGGCAAGGCGCCCACCGGGCACCTTTACAATTTGCTTGGTATCGGGCGCGTGGACTGCTGCAACATGTTATAACACATTGTGTACCCAGACTCTCGACGGTCTTCACTCAGAAAGCGTTGCTACACATCACAGCTACATGTTGCCTTGGATAGCTTAGAAGGACTCACTTGGACTTGTTCTACGGAATTTTGCTGCGGCCGGCTCGGCGGACACCGTTCAATTGGAAAGGGTTTTGCTTCCGCTGCAGCAGCCTCCAGCCCCGCTGTGGCCGGTTCCCCCCGACACGGCCATGGCTTCCACAATTACAGCTGCCAGTGGGCTTTTAGTATCTACACGCAAGTCGGTGGATGCCCTCTTGACGGAAGTCGGTGGACTGTTGGCCGACTTAACGTCACAGGAGCACCCGACGGGGGCGTCGGAGGACGGTGAGAACGAGGAGGCTCGCCGTGTTATTGATGTCGAGCTGCAGCGGTTTTGGCAGGGCTATTACGAACTGAAGCGGCGGCATGAGGAGAATGCGCTTTCGGTTGGGGTGCTTGCCCTCACAAAGTCAGGCGAGTCTTTTATGTGGCCGCTGCTTGTTTTGTTTGTTTAGTCAGGACGTAACATACCTAGGTCGAAATTACCATGTAGTGTCGGTGCGAGGCACTTCGTCACCCAGGAAGGGCTGAATTCCGAGGCAACCCTGCAAGGCAGCTGCTGGACTTTGTTTTAGCATTTGTTGAAATTTGTAAATTGAACTCCTGCCGCCTGGTCATTCTCTTGATGACGGACACGCTTTAGCAACTTGCTTTCGGACAGGGACACGCACGCAGCCGAGCTCCCCACCCCGGCAGGATGTATGCGAGGAAAACACCCTGAATACAATTCTGGGTTTCTTTCACCCATTAAATTATGTTCATATGAGCTATCCAACTTCAACCGCTGCTTAAGCGCCGAGAGACAAGCTCCCTCCTATTAATTTTCAGGCAAATCCACGCTGCTCAACGCGCTCATGGGCATGGAAGTACTTCCTATGAACAACGTCCCCGAGACGGCACGAATCTGCTGCATCACGCACGACGCAGCGGCTCGTGAGCCGTTGCTACATGACGCTGCCGGCAAGACCCTGGTCCGTGGGGAGCATGCCGTGCGGTCACGGCTGCAGCACCTCAACAGCGCAGCTCGTTCCAGCAGCAGACCGATTTCACCGCAGCCCTCTGGGGGCCCGAGCGCTGGCTTCGCGGACTTGGGTATGGGTATGGTTGAGGCCGCCAGCGGCAGCAGCGGCAGCGGCTCATCGCCCGTGCTGCACATCTCCGCACCGCTGGTTGCGCTGGAGGGCTACGGCCCCGAGTTCGGTCGGGTAACGTTGCTAGACACGCCGGGACCCAATGAGGCAGGAGAGGAGCAGCTCAAGCACCAGGTGGGGATGGGTGCTAGGGGGGATAAGGGAGGCGCACTCCGCAAGTGCGAGAGAACACCGTGCCAACTTTGAGATCACGCCTTTCCTGACATGACATCCCCTGCTGGCAAACTGGCTTTGTAACTTGCCCAGCGTGGTCATACAGCGTGGTCATGTTCATTCCCCTTCCTTGAAAGCCAGTCAGTAACCTTTTGATTCAAGTTGTGACTTCTGAGCCGTTTGTGACCGCGTTGCTTTTTGTGTCTAATAATCAACGTCTTGAATTTCCTCTCCTCCCCTCCCGTAAAGGTGGAGCGGCTCCTGGAGGGTGTGGACTGTGTGCTGTACCTGTTGGATTACACCAAGCTCAAGACGGCCGAGGAGGAGTGCCTCTTCCGCAGGCTGAGGGCCATTAACCCGCAACTGGTGGCACGACTCAGCAGCCGCTTATTCTTTGTCATCAACAAGGCAGGTGGCGCTGCTGCCAACCTTCCAACCCATGCGCCTCTCCTTCCCCTCCTCCCCTCCTCCCGCACACAACCCTGTGTCACGATCCTGTATTCGCACCAGCCGTAGCCGCCGTGCCCTTGTGAGGGACAACCAGAGTTTGTTTAAGCTGTCCTAAATGACGGCCTCTTTTGGTCCGGACTTCCCTTACGTGGTCTCCCATACGCACTGGATGTATGAAGGGTATCAAGTTCACATGCATTAACATGCAGCGCGAATACCAGCTACAGAGCGATTCCTGTGTTCGTTATCAGATTTTGCGTGACTTTGCTTTCCTGTACCCCTGCCCGCCGCGTTCCAGGTGGATGCCAGTGAGACCTCCGAGGGACTGGACCCCGAGGAGGTGCGCAACTACGTGGCGGACCTGGTCACACGGCAACTAGGCGGAGCTGCTACGTCAGCAACAACAACGACAGCAGGAACTGCCCCACTGCCGGCGGCAAGCGGCGGTTCCGGCTCCCTCCCCACCGCTGCGTCGGTGTCGCCGGCGGCGTCCGCGCGTATCGGCTCCTCCGGCTCTGGATCCGTTGCGGAGGGCATCCATGCAGGCGTCGCTAACGCCGCAGCGGCGGCGGCGGCAGCGCAGCAGCAGCAGCAGCCATTCCGCCTTCATCCCGACCAGGTGTTGCTGTTGTCCGCCCGCAATGCCTTAATGGCGAGGCTGGTGCTATCCGGCAGGGCGAGCCCCGAGGCGGCGAAACGCTTCCACCGGCTGGCGTTCGGCGCGTTCGGGGGAGGGGGCTTTGGAAGCTTTGGCACACGCGGCGCGGCAGCTGGTCCGTCAAGAGAGCAGGTCCGTTGCCGGCTGGGGCTGGGGGTATGTCCCGTCCGCGTTCTGCGCGGGAGGCATCTTCTCCTCGCACTTTCGTTTGTAGCCAATACTTATTCAGACAGCACTTCTCTCGTATGGTCCCTTGGTCCCCCGGCTTGTATGGGGCCCTTACAGCTTTGGAGGGTACAGCAACTCAGAAGGTGTAACGCACACATACTTCCGGATCAATGCCGCCTCGTTTGCCGTGCGCCTAATAACGCCGCTACGTTCTCCGCTGAATGCTGACTGGCTTAGGTCGCACACAGGCTCCTTGCAGCATCCTAGCAGCAGTTGGGAGTTTCGTGGTTTAGTTGCTAAGTAAAATCCGTTGATATTCGACGGCCGTTATAGTTCCGCAATCTGGACTTGCCTGCTCTCCGTTCCCCGTCCGCAGCCGTCCGTAGCTCCTGTTCCAGCAAGAGTCATTTCCTTCAACCGCACCCATCCCGTACCATGGTTGCTTTAACCGCGCGTACTGCTGCCGCCCCTGCCATGAATCCCGATGCGGACACTAAATTTGCTGCAACAATTACTTACATACATTACTGGTGCTGCTTGGTGCTGGTATTTTCAGGTTCGCGCCGCTGCGGGGTGTTTGCTTGAGGGCAGCGGAATCCTTGAGCTGGAGAGCCGGGTGCTGACCTTCCTGGCGGCCCACGCGGGCTCTGTCAAGTTGCTGGCCACTGCGGACGACCTGACCAGGCTGCTCGCACAGGTGCTGTGCTGCTACGAGGGATCGGAAGTGGGGAGGAGGGGAGGTGCAGTGCTGGGGTGAGGCTAGAAGAGGAATGATTGTCGTGCAATGGATTTCGACTCCAGAAGTCCAGGTCAGCCCACGGCTTGGGGTTTCTTCCGGCGAAAAAGGCGGGAAGGGGCTTCAAGGGGTTGAGATTCAACCTTCCTTTGCAAAGATTGTAGACGTGAAAGCGGCTTGGAAATAGATTCCATTTATGTCGTTTTATGGCAACAGGGATTGTGGGAAGGCTTCCTCAGCCTAGACGCTGTCCGTCTTCGTAGCAAACGCATCTTAGGATCTCGATATCTGCAAGAGCTTGTTTGATTGTAAACAGTTCCCTTTTTCATCTAGTACGTCCTGTTATTGCTGTGTTGTTAGCCGTGCGCGATATCCCTTTACTCGTCGCGCTCACCTGTTGCGTTTGTCCGCATCCATGTGGTGGTGCAGGTGCGCAATGTGGCTCTGGCCTGTCGCAGCTGCCTGCATCGCAATGTGACGGCGCTGCAGGACCAGGCAGAGGGGCTGCGGATGGAGCTAGAGGAGGCGACGGCGGCGTTCGAGGAAGTGCGGTCGCGGACGGATGCCGTACAGGCCGAAGTGGTGTCAGAGGTGAGACGGATAAGGTGTGGGGCGATAGCCTCCTGGTTCAGGTGCGATGTGGGCGATGAGTTTATAGTTAGCTCATAGGCCATGGGGCCTCACATAGGTTCGTGGAGGGATCCGCGCCGGGGGACCCGCGCAGGGAGCGCCGCGCACGCAGGGCCTGGATTGCTGCCGGAATGCTTTCCACTGACTGGAGGTGGTCCCGTCAGCTGCGGCAGTTGTCGCATGCTATGCCTTTTCCTTGTCCTTGGGCAGGTGATTGTTACGGGGTACTGTCGCTGCTCATGCTGGGGTTTGGCCGCCGCTGGGGTTCAATCCTGAACCCACTCCCCTGCCGGTTCACATCCCTCTCGCAGATTAAAGCCCACCTCAACACGTTGCGGCGCCGCCTCTTCACCCACATCGTCCAGACCCTGGACACAGACGCCCGCGCCCCAGCGCCGGCCGCCGCCGCCGGCACCCAGCCGCCCACCAGTCGTTGGCACCGGGTGCGGGAGAAGTTCCTGTCCATGTTTACGAGCCCCAGCAGCACCATGCCACCGCAGCCGCATCCTGCCGGGCCTAGCCTGGTGCCTGAGGCTCGCAGTCGGAGCCGGGGCGAGCTGCAGGCGTTACTGCTGGACCTGCATGATGACCTCATGGGCCAGGTGGGCAGGGAGGAGGAAGCGGCGGAGAAGGACGGGGCGGTCGCGGTCCTGGCGTGCAAGACGACTTGTAGGGGGAACTGCGGGGAGGCTGCTGGCGGCTGGGGCTAAGCTGGAGTCTTTGTTAATATCGATATTATGTGTGTGTGTGTGTTACATGGTTGGGGGTTGCGTGACCCCATACCTGTAAGACTACCCATACGAGCCGAAGGCCCAAGGGCAATACTACAACGCCTAAAAGCCACGGAGGAAAGGAAAAACACCGCACGATATTATGTATTCGCTTATTCGCTGGTACACCCTTTCGCTGGTACAGTCTTTCAATGCAAACCGCTTTCCATAAACCCATTTCGCCCTCCTCAGATTCACTCGGAGGTGTATGATTTCTGGGGCGTACTGGAGGCCTGCGCCGCTAGTCGCCACTCGGAGTTGCTGTCCGCCCTCAACGGCCACCTGGCGGCGTTGTCTCGGCGGGTGGAGGGTGCCGTCAGTGAGGCGCTGGGGGTGCAGCTGGCGGCGGCAGACCTCCGCCTACGACCGCCCTCCGCCGAGCAGCTGCACTCGGACGTGCAGGGTCTCATTGAGAAGGGTGCGGGCCGTTGGGGTGGGAAGGGCTGCAGCGCGGTGCTGTTCGCTGGAAGACGCTAAAACCCCGCTTGCGGGATGGCATCCTGCGCAATGAGCAGTTGAAGGGCACCCGGGATATGGACAGTTGCCTTGCGTTACAGAGTGATGAGTTCCGAAGCCATGTTATTCAGGCTTCCCGGATATGTGTACGGCGCAACCTGCCGGAAGATTTGCGCCTTTCACTGTCGTTTACTGCTTAATCTGTCCAGCAACACCCTTTCGCTGCCGTCCGCACATTTCCCCGCGTGCTCCTCGTCTATCTGCAGGCATTCGTGAGAGCACGGAGAAGCACATCCGGGTGGGCGCCCGCACCACCACGGAGCGCGTGTTCCAGCAGCCGCAGGGCCCTCCGTCGCTGTGCCGTTGGGGCGGCTACTGGGTGGAGGTGCCCCGCACGCGCACTGTGGTGGAGACCTACACAGCCACCGTGTACTCGCTGAGGCCTGATGAGATCGCCAATCACTTTATCGGTGAGCTTTGGAACGGGGCTGGCCTGTGAGGCTCAGGCTACCGGGCTAGGGACACGGGGCCGCGGGGGCCGAGGCGAGTTACAGCGACGATGGCATGTCGTGCGAAATTATTGTGGTGATAGCAAATCCAAGATGGTGCAGGTGTCGTGGATTGGTGATAGGTCGCATTCCGCAGGGCCGCGCAGCCTTTGCGCTTGACACTCACTTTCTTTCCGCATGCATTTGCGTGCTCCTCAGTTGCTTTGTCATCCCAATGTCTGCACATTCCGCTGTTTGTGATTACATATAGATGGAGACGTGTGCAGTGCCTTTAGCCTGCCATACTAGAGGCGTTTTAATTTGATGCCGGTTTATATGATGTTCGGCGACACGTAAGACAGGTTTGGTGGACGGCGCGGTAACGGCGAGCGAGCAGGCGCTGGGGGCGTACGTGGGAACGATGGTGGAACGGCAGCTGGCAGCAGCCAAGGAGCGAATCCGGGACTACGGTGACAGGTACGCATGGGGCATGGATGGTGCGGTATGAGGTGTTTCAAAGACGTTTATTGGAGTAGATGCAGTAGATCTCCTGAGGTTATGCAAGCTGTTGCTGCTGGATGCGGGCAGATAAGTCACCATGAATAGCTCCAGGCGCGCACATGAGTGTTTCGAGTTTGTTTTGGGGTTTCGAGTTTATGTTAAAGTGGCGGTTTGACAGTCGTCACTTCTGTCCAGAGCGGCTCATGCCAAGGCACGATGGCGGCCAGGTGCAGGGAGCTAGCAGGTTAAACGCCGGCCAGAAGAACGCTTTTGCGGACCTTCCCAACGACTCCTTAGCACCTCGATGCTGGTAGCCGCTGTCTCGAGATTGTCATACCATTTACGTTGTGCCAAGGAACGTCCTGATTGCTACCGGGCATGGCGCCCGGTGACGTATTTGGTGCAGGTACCTGAGTGTCATGTCGGCAGCCCTGGCGGCCAGCAGTCGCGGCGCCGAGTGCCGCAGTTGCGCTCTGGCATCTGTAGAGAGTTACCTGACCCGACTGGACAACTTGCTGGCACGGGCGGAGGCGGCACAACGCGACGCCGAGGCGGCGGTGCCAGGAGGCGCCACGGGCCTAATGGATGAGATCGAGGTGTACGACGATGTGTACGATGAAGGCGCGTACATCCGTGAGGATCCAAAGACGCAGCAAGTAGAGCAAGGCTTGGATGAACAAATAGCCCAGGCAGTTGCGACGGACAGGGTTTGGCGGAAGGCTCACGGGCAGGAGGAAGAGCTGAAAGTGGAGCCGCAGTCGGCGGTGAGTCAGCTCCCGGAGGCGGGTAAGGATAAGGAAGTGGCCGAGGCGACCGGACCTCTGGTGGCAATGCAGACGTGGCCGACGCCGTTCAGCAGTTCGTCAGCCGCCTCTGTCCCGGATATTGACGATGCGGCGGTCACCAGTGAGGCCGTGTCCGCTTCCGCACATTCGGAACATGATATTGAGTGCGGCGATGGCGGTGACGGCGGCGGCTTCACTGTGCTGATGGACGCTGCCCAGCCCGAGCTCGCGGCTGCTATGCCGGGGGCCATTGCGGAGTCGGGGAATTGTGCAAGCGATGCGCAGCTTGTCTCCGACCACGCAGTCCTGCCTGCAGCAGCAGTCGACAAGCAGCAAACGCAGGAACAGCAACAGGAACAAGATAGTGTTGCCCTGCCTCCGCATCAGGCGACTAGCGGGCCTTCAGCTGCCATAGGCCCTTCCCAGGCCGCATCAGCGCTGCCATCCGGATCCTCGGCGTGTGCGTCGTTATCGTACAGCGGTGGGTAGTGCGTTTGCTGCCTTGGGCGGGGTACATGGTATGGACCATGGCTGATCGGCCGAGAATATGCCCGTAGTTGATGCTGACCACTGGGTGCGGAAGGGGGCCCGTGCCGATTCTTCAGCCCTGACATTTGCCTCCATAACGTCAGCTCAACCCACCGCTGCTTTCCTTGCAACCACATAAGATATCGTTTCGGGTCCCATACGCCCTTCGCTTGTCCTCGCAGCCATGCCTTTCGACTACAGCAGGGCTTTCCTGGAGGCGATGTCCTCCAGTGAGATGGCCCCCGGAAGCAAGTTGGACGAGGAGCTGACGACGATACCGCTCACTAATGGTTGCGCAGGCGCCATACGAAGCGCTGATGACGCAGCCCCAACAGCAAGCCACGGAACTAGCACACCTTTCTCGGGAGGAAGTGAGGACTGGCAACTGGTTGGGGATGAAGCCCTGGACGTTGCTGATGCGGCCTCCGGCAACAAGTAATGCAAAGAGATACCGTTTGTTTAGGGAGTTGTACATTATCAGTTGTACATGGAAGAAAGTACAAAGCGTTCAGAAGAGCTGCATACTTGATTTACAGCATCCATTTCAGTGTCGGCAGGGATGTAGAAGCCTGTGCCTGTGCCAGGGGTCCTATTGTCTTTTGGCTAGGCTCGAGGTATCTTCCGTTGAATTTTGGATAGTCCGTTGCTGTGGTGGTGCTACACTATCCTTAACAGCATGATTACGCATGGGTAACATGCAAACCAGGTTGTTGCCAGTTGCATGCTTACGGACAGAAGCTGTACAGGTCAATCTCCTGCACAACGGTCGTTGTAACAATAGCCATGTACAAAGGGCTGACGGTAGTTTGCAAAAATGCAGTAGTGACGTCGCGTCGTAGCCTTGGTTGGCGTACACCCTGACGATGGCCAGGTGCAAATTGCGTATATCAACATAAGGGATTGTGCGTCTTGAGCCGGTGACAAAGGTGGCGTTGTGAGTGTATACTAAGGTAGCATGCAGCGATGCGCCGGGACTATGCATGCGTGTAATTGTTGGTATTCAGTTGTTGCCCGTCCAGTACAGTACAGTTACAAATGGAGACATGCCGCCATCTATACACATTTCTGGTATGAAGGAACGACGCGGCCACCCCAAAGCTTGCTTATTTAGCAGCACTACGCATTTGTCACGTTGGCGCATGGTAGCACTGCAAGGCTATCTACTGCACTGATCAACTTTCCTTATCAGACCCTTGGGACGATGCTCCAAGCCAGTGTGCTTTGACACAACAACAAATTAAGGCAAACCAACGCAACCGGACTCTTTAGCTAGGGGGCAAATTGCCCAACCACATAAGCAGAGCGCTGTCCTCAGGGCTCTACCCTACATTGGTCGTCAAGATCGCAATAAGGGCTCAAAATCCTATCACTAATTTCGTAAAATGTTCACACACACGCACTCTGTGCTTCGCCTATTTTTTCCTTCGCAGTCTCATAAAACGCATCATGTAGGAAAACCCACAGTTTGGCCTAAACTGGCACCGCCACGTGCCTCGAAATTGTGGATACAGGGTGATGAGAAGCTACACGTTCGGGCACATCCACAGGGCCTAGTCAATGCCCACTAATTACCCTCTATGGCATTGCTAGGGACACCTGTATCTACACCAGGCGCCGCCTTGGGAATAGGGTTGGCGCCTGCTGCCATCAGCAGCATGTCGATTGTCTTCATGTTGCCCTCCTGCTCCTCCCGCAGCCTCATGTCAAGAACGTCCACCTGTTTGGCGACCTGTAGCAGTGCGCCATCGTAGCGGGACAGACGCGAACTTAGCTTTTTCTCCAGCGCTTCCAGGTGCGCAGCTGTCAAGGAGCCGGAGCTGCTCTTCGCCAGCTCATTCGGCAGAGATGCCACCTTCGCCGCTAACTGCTGTATCTGCTCCGTTTGCGCCGCCTGTTGCTGCCTCAACTGAATCAGCTGTTCTGCCTGTTGCTGGTACTCCGACTGCGAAGCACGATATGCTGATACCTGCCCCGTGAGAGTGTCCAAACGCGACGACAATGTCTGCGTCTCACGGCGCAACGCGGTCACAGTCTCCTGCAGATTGCCCACCTGGGCAGTCACGCCTGTGAGCCGTTCCTCAACAGCGGGGATCGCACTGCCAGAGTTGCCCACCGCCGCTGTAGCTGCGGAAGCTGCCGCAACTGCTGACGCGGCCGTGGAAGCCGCTGCGTCTGCCCTGTTCTTGACCCGGACGACTTCGTCGGCTATTTTGTTCACTATCTCTTGCATGCTGGATAACTGCACAGCAAGCCTTTCCGCATCGTCCTGTCGAGACACCAGACCGGCCACTTGGCCCTCCAGGTGCCGCAGCTTGGCGCCGAGCAACGCTTCGGCTGATGCAGGAAGGCCTCCCGTGCTATTATTGGCTGCCGCTGAGGCAGACGTTGCGGTCCCCACCGAGTTGCGTGCCGCGATGGACTGCCGCTCAAACCGCTCCTCCATCTGCCGTGCAAGCGCTTCCATTTCCAACCGCAAGCGAGTCTCTATCATGGCCAGGTCTGAAACCTGTGGTGCCCCTGGCTGCACGCCGGACCCACTGCGACCAGGCGACATGTACCCAGGTGAACCGCGAACCCGCGGGGTGTTATGCCCCTGGCTGTTGAGCGCGCCATTCACATTGAAAGACGATTGGAACGGTACCGGCGCCCCCGGTACTGTATAATCTTGGCTATCGTATAGAGGATTGTTGTTTACCGATGTGCCCCGGTTGTTGGCACGGGTGCTGCCACTTCGTCCACCAAGGCTCGCCCGGACACCGGAACCAGAAACTTTCTTGGTCGGCTTGCCCTTCGGCTGCTGGTAAGGAGGTACGCAACAAGGTATGTCAGTTTCAAGCATCTCATGTATGAACGTCGAGGATATTCAACGGCGTGTGCCACAGCGCTGACAAACAAAGCAAGGGTGAGAGCACACCTAGCTGGGTATCTGGCAAGCAAAACACGATCTCCACAGGTCCTGATAGCTTACCGCTGCCGCTTTCTTGCCCTCAGCACCCTCGTACACCGTGACAAGTGGAACCCCAAGCACGTCAGGATTGGCCTCTCCGTTCACTTGTCCCGTTGGCTGCTGCTGCTGAGCCTGACTGTGCACATACTGGATGCCACCGGGCTCGCTGAAGGTGTCGCGCTGCAGGCAATAAACGTCCCAAATAAGAGTGTTAGGTACCATTGCTCACGAACATCCAGAAATGCAACTTATCAAACGGAACGCCATCCAAGCCATCCTGTCCCTACATATTGGAGCCCTTTCGTCTAGCCTGAACCTTTATGACCCACCACCACGGGTTCAGACGGCCCCAGAGGCTGCTGGTTCCGGGCACCAAGGGCCTCCATGATGTCGTCAAATTGGTAGCCCATCTCATAAGCTATCGCCGCAAGCGAGGCTATGAAGTCCTTGAAGGATAATCGACGGCTGTTAGCTGCACGGTACCGTGTGAAAATGACGTCCAGCGCGGTGGTGCTCAAGCGCCCTGCAGGACGCGTCAGTCAACTTGCCCAGCTCAGAATTATTGACTGACCGGAATGAGGTTCTGAGAACTACTGGGCTATGTCCTCCTCACCTTCTGGCTCCATGAAGCCGGCGTCCTGGCATAGCCGGTGGAACTGGGCACTGTTCATTTGTGGCAGCCCGTCAGCATACACTCGACCCTGGCCAATCGCCAACCGGGCATAGTTCTTGAACACGCGCTTCAGATGCGCGTTGTGCTCAGTGCCTGCGCAGGGTTACACATCAATGTCGCCTTTATTGCAGGGGGGCCACAAATGTGTTGCAGCATGTATGCATCAACTAGTTCGCCCCACATATGGGGGTATAGTAAAAAAGCTGCGCATCTTGTATTAGCTACAGCGGAACGAGGAAGCCCCACGCGGTTGCACGCGGTCACCTTGCGGCACCATCTGCTTGTTCAAGTTGGCCATGGACTTGATCCGCCCCTCGCGGGCCATTTGCGCTTGGTAATAGGCAATTCTCTCATAGTACGAGATGAAGTCCTGAAGGCTGACGCGCCCATCTTTGTCCTGTAGAAACCAATCACATGGGAAAAGTTCTATGCAGAGTTGACAGTCCCTGACAAGCGTAAGAAACGTTGCTGCTGCTTTCTGCTAAACGGTCAAGCTTCAAGGAGGAGTTCTTACTCACCCAATCAGCCTTCTTAAACTCGCTGTCCAAGAAGCGTCCTGGCGTTATCCAAAGGGACGGCATTGCCATAAAGGGAAGGGATAAGCGCTATGGTTTGACCGCAGAGCATGCGGAGAATCCGCTTAGGCGTGCTTAGCTGCTCACCAACATGCTTAGCCTTGATCCCATTCAGCACACCCATCTCTTCCAGCGCTGCAAGCATTTCCTGCTTGTTCAAATAGTTATCCTCATTTTGGTCGTGTTTCCGGAACATCACGACAGCCTTCTCAGCTGCCCCGCCAGCTGCTAATGATGCACTCACGCGGAGGCGCGTGGTCCCCACCTATAAGGGCAATGAACCGCGCGTCAGCATTGGTTTAAAACGACTCACGCAACTCACATGTTGCCGACACAAAGGGACCACAGATTGGTGCGCAGGGCTAGAGTGGGCCAATGACGGAGGGGAAAATCATTGCAGATGAAATGCCCTGCATGGACGCCCTGCACGCTTCCATGTGGACGGGAATAACTACTAACCATGATCGTCCGTCGGCTCATGTCTGTCAGGCCCCCGAACGATAGATAAGACGTGCTGGTCCGATGCGTACGGTGGGTACGACCTGTCCGGTGTGTGGCGTGACTGTACACTGAACCCCCCGCATCTGACCGAGGGCTGCGGACGAACTCAGCGGGCGGTGGAGAGGGAGACGACGGCCGGCTGCGTGTCTGCAGGTATTGATTTTGGATGGCTCTGGGGCTTAACGCACTGGCGCCAGGCTGCCCGGCTTGAATATGGTTTTGGAAGTAACTGTTGGTGTAGGCATGCGGATATGGATTGCGACTGGGGCTTGCTCCAGCAGAAGCTCCAGCATTGTGATGCTGGTACGCAATCGTCGAGTCCTCTATCCAGGCGTGAATAAGCGGTGAGCTTGAAGCTGCGACATTTAACAAGAGGGATTAGCAGAGCACAAACCGCTTCTTGGTATATATACCAACGACCAGACACCTGGGAATATAATCTGCCCTAGGCCAAGGTTCCAGGATTTAGTCCCCAACACAACGTACGACCTGCGAGCTCCCATCTGTTCTATCCTGACCCTCCCTCACCAGGTGATCCGTTGATGCGGCGGACTGTGTTGGCGGCCAGAATCTCCGACATGGCGTTCAGTAGCCCGTCGGGAACGGGCCCACCAAGCGTGATATGCATAAGGCTTCGGTTAGCTGGCAGATCCCGCGCAATGGCCTCGGCACCCTCAACGGATGCGACATCAACCCGCAACGTGTTGAGGCTTGTTGTATAACGCAGAAGCGAACACAACTGCGCCACACCCTGCGGAAAGCAAGTTGGCCGCGTTAGAAAAAGATGGTCCTAATTATTGCATAGCCGAGGATACGCAAGCGTAAGCAGGACAGGCGCACCTCAGGCCCAAGGGGCACACCCCGGATGTCCAGCAACTGCAACGTGTTGTTCTTGTTGGCCGCGCGCAAAAGCGCCACCGCTGCGTCTTCACTTGCCCTGCAGCCTGCCAGAGCTACTTCGGCAAGCGTGCCGGAGTGGAAGCGCACGGCATCCGCCAGGGCCATCATTGTGGATGATGTCAGCGCTGGGTTCAGCGATAAGTTCAGACGGTGCAGCATTAGAGCCGCCTTTGCGGCCCGGCAGAGGGCCAGACCCCCCACGTCTGTTATCTGCAGTACAAACACACAGAGGAAGTTGCGACATTAGAGACAACAATTGGGTTCCCAAAAAAGCAAGCGCCGTAAGCGTGCGCATCTCTTGTGGTGTCGGCACTTGTAATGCGTATTAATCAACAGAACCTTCGACTCGAACCCATCGGTCACCTGGTTGTCCTCGAGTTCCAGAGCCACTAATGGTACAGCCGATGGGGACGACTCTCCGCCAACCATGGCAGCCAGTGCACAAGCGCCAGAATCGCCAATCCGGTTATGCGACAAGTCCAGATGCCGCAATGAGCACATCATGCCTGCATGAGGGGCAGCACGATAACGTGACTTGCGCAGATGGACACAGCCGCATGGCTTGCGAGTGTCTGCACGCAGCCTGCATGGCAAGCACATGCGTTTCCCCTCAGGCATTGAACCGTTCTGTCAAGCGACTAACGACAAAAGCTTTTTAGCCAGCGTTAAGCAAAGCCGCAGACACGCACGCACCTACGCTCTCGATGGCCTTGGCCAAGCGCACAACTGCGTTATCACCAAGCCCGCAACCTGACATCCGCAGCGTTGAAAATTTCTCGTTGCCAAGCAGCGAGCCGTCCGTCAGACCAACGGTGAAGTCGTCACTCTACAGGGTTGTGAATGACGCAGGAACATGTCGTACCTAGGGATCTGATCATAGATCTAGCGAAACAGGCCATTGCTGTAATATTGCCATATCGTCGACTGAAGTTTGTCGAAAATTGAACTCCGTGCTCCAACGTGCCAAGCATTTCACGATGCGGGTACTAGCTATGATCACGGCGAACCAGGGGCAGACCAGACGCGGGCCACGCGCCAACTGGCGGTTGGGCGTCACGGAAGGCACTTAGGTTTGGCAAAATACATGACACGCACCAGCTGGCAATTGAAGATTTCCAAGCTTTCAAGGTCCGCGGCAGACAAGGCACGCGCGAAGACTGTTAAGCCGTGGCCTGGTAAAGGGAAAACATAAGTGTAACTGTCGTTCGCTTAGGATAACCCAAAGACCACATCCGGACAGCAATGCAAAAAAGAGATCGCGTGCGATACACGTGCTGCCGCAGGATACATGTAAAGACAGATGGGTCTTTCGACAACTAAGCCTGGGAGGGCCCTGTTACTAACCCTGTATCCCTCAGAACCAACAGCCATCATGCGTCAATGTAACTAAGCTTGCCTCGCGTAGCAAAAACAGTTATCATCCAGCGACAAACGTGCGGCTTCGTGGGCTGCCTCACGGTGTTTTTGTGCCCCCCTAAGCGCCTGTACTTACTGAGTTGATTGCAAATTACCGCACTCACCGTCCCGGAAGCTGCAATCCTTGAACATTAACCGCTGCAAAGTCCGTGTTTTGGAGCAGGCGTCCGCGATCGCCGCCCAGCTGTTAGTGCTCTGTGGTTCATGTACGCAGTTCAATGAACCTTGCGGGTTAGGCCGGGTGGGTGTGTCGGGTGATCAGACACACCCGACAGCGGTACTGCAGCTGATGTACCACCAAAAGGCACAGCCCAGACCCGAGCAGCCATTGGTGCCCTCGGCGAGAAGCCTCCGCTAAGCCTCCTTCCCCGTTGAAGGGAGCACTCACCAAGTTCAGGTTGTGAAAGCTGCAGAACTCGAACGGCGACATAGGAAGCACAGCGCACAGGGAAATGACAGTGCCATCAGGAAGGCTCTCCGCAGGGCTGCTGATAAAGCATGCCCTCTGTCCAGTTCTCCTGCGCAAGACAATGCGCCGGAGGTTGTCGGAAAGGTGCCCATGCCAACGGTGCGTAGGCATTGGCTCCTTACAGGGCCTCAACAAGCTCTGGCATTGGCTGACATCCTATATCGCTGCATATTTTTAGGTATGAGGCCGATAGAGCTGAGGGTCCACCTCCGGGCGGAGGAGGTGAGGACATTGCCTTCTCTGTCCTGTTGACCAAACAACTTATTTGGCAGCGTCAGGTTGAAACGCAGGCGTTGACTACGAGTGTTGAAAGCTCTAGGGGCCGTTACACCGGCTAAGAGGACCCAGTCAACGCACTCAAGACTATACTGTAGGGAGGCTCTCCGTCTAATCACTATATGACCTGTTGAGTTAAAGGCATGTATGTCGATGTTGTAACCTGTGTAATTGCCATTTCCTGCCTGGTAGTGACAGATTGCTGTTTACCATTCGTGCAAGCATGCCATGTTTCATCCCGCACCCCGACCATGACATTGCACCATTTTTTGTTCCCTTTATTATATTTTGTTCTAACTATCTTAAAAGGAGGGACTATTTCCGTTTGGCCACGCTCGTCCTCCTGGAAACTATGGCGGAGGAACAGCCAAATAGCAACACAGTTGCCCAGGAAGCAGATCAAGAGCAGGTTATACCATGAGATTCTGTTCAAATGTTTGTATTTAATTGGCTTCACGTCAGGGTCACAGTTAGCCGCCGCACTTCACGACCCTCACGTAGGTTGTGGATCCATGGAGCGTTTCTGGGGGCGCGGATGGGCGTATTGATTACAACAAGCTCCTAGAGCAGGTGTGCGGTTGGCGTCTCCACCGTGACGCATACCCAACTCCACCCTCAGAGACATTGTGTTCTCAACCCTATGACCTGTCTCGCAGTTTGGGTGCTCGAAGCTTACGGAGGAGCTCGTTGAAAGGTGAAAATTGTCATTGAATCCCATGGAGGTTGTGCGAATACATATCCTTGGAGTCAGGCCCTGAGTGTGTAAGGAGTTGGGGGAGCGGTTTTTCCAAAAGCGCGCTCCTAAGGGAATGAAGTTGCGGTACCAGCTTCGTGGCAATGCACCTTTCCCCTACTGGCAACCTCTCCTGGTGGCATGTTTGTATGGGACCCATGGGTCTGTTCTGTCTTTTTTGCCTGCAACCGTGTGCCTACGCATTCCATGATCCATGTGCGCATGCAGAGTGGAGCGCCTTACCGGGCGACCAGCGCACCCCTTTTTGAAGCGGGGCATCTTCTTTGCTCATCGAGACCTGCAAGAAATTTTAGACTGCTACGAGAAGGGCATTCCATTCTACCTGTACACCGGCCGTGTAAGAAGTTCGTATTGGGCCTTGGTATCATCAGGGGAGGACGATGTGCGCCTGCACGAAGCTACATAAAAGTGACACGTGCCTCGTCGTGGCAATAAGAGCGACCTGATGCAGTCAGGCTGTTTTGTCAACATAATACGACCACCGCCCTCAGTGAACAAAGTTTCCGTCACGCCAGTCAATCGCTGGATTCCAGGAACCCCCCGTCCTGCACCATGCGCAACATTGCCAATTGGACACACGGGGTCCTGCCCTGCAGCCGCACCCTACAGTTCCCCGGCCGTCGGGGTCCTGCAGCACGATAGACCCTTTGTAGTTGCTTTCCTGGAAGGCAACCTTGCTGAAACGTGTTTCTTGGGGGAATCCATTTGTAACAGGCTTCTTCACCGTTGACCTCAGGCTCAATCCGCGGCCGCAACCCACACGCACTTGCAGGGACCATCGTCAGAAGCCCTCCATCTGGGACACCTAGTGCCCTTCATGTTCACCAAGTACCTGCAAGACGCCTTCAACGTGCCGCTTGTCATCCAGCTAACGGACGATGAGAAGAGTCTGTGGCGGGGTCTCGACATAGATGAGGCACGACGCCTGGCCCGGGAGGTGAGCTGGAGGTGGGTAGCTTTCGACAACTTGAATGCTGGGGCCAAGGTTGGGCTCGGCTGTTGTAGAGTGAAGGGACCGGCTTTGCTGACCGTGCGACAGTGTGGCTGCTAAGCTAGGGTTGCTATTAGGCCCAGCTCATGTTTGAAGCTTACAGTGCACTACACATGGATGATCACAGAAAACAGATATGCTTGGTTCGCCACAGCTTTGGGTGCGGACCATAGGACATGACCCTGACCATGGGACATGTTGGGCTGTTGTTGAGCCTTCGCGGTGACCGTAGCCGTGCGACATTACGATGCCGTAACCGTTGCCGCGGCCAGAGTTGTTTTTGTCGTGCATGCGGTGCCACAGAATGCAAAGGATATTATCGCCTGTGGCTTTGACGTATCGAAAACCTTCATCTTCTCGGACTTTGAGTACGTGGGCGGCGCCTTCTATCGCAACATCATTCGCATTCAGAGGTGCGCAGATGATGCTTGTCCGTCTCGTGCCTGTTCCGAACAACTCATAGATTGGAGGCTTGTCAGCTCTACTATCACGTGGACGCCCACAGCTGCTCGGTCATTGTGCCTACATGCAATTGCAGCTGCCACGCGCAATGCCCTTTGGATTAATGGACATACTTCGTGTGCCTAGCTGCCTGTACCACACACGGTACAAGCTAACGTCCCTCGACCCTCTTGACCTGTCCTGCCACTCTCCATCGATATGTCAGGTGCGTCACCATGAACCAAGTTCGTGGCATTTTTGGATTTACCCAGGAGGACAACATCGGGAAGATTGCCTTTCCGGCTGTGCAAGCAGCGCCGTCTTTTCCGGATTGCTTTCCACATATGTTCGGCCAGCGAAAGGACATTCGGTGCTTGATCCCGTGCGCAATCGACCAGGTAAGGGTAAACGCGATAGGCAAACCCTGGATCATACTGGATGCATAGCAGCTCAGCACGGTCGATCAATGGTATGCCGGTGCCCTCCAAATCGCAGGATACGTGACTAAGTCAGGCCACATAGCTCTTCGGGGTATTACACCGCAGGCTTGGCGGTACGCCTGTCATGGGAGCTTACGATGGAAGTGGTACGGATGGAAGTTGATGTTTCGGCCTGACACTTGGCCGCCATTTTTTTCCGACCGTAGGACCCTTACTTCCGCATGACTCGCGACGTCGCGCCACGTATCGGCCACCAGAAGCCGGCGCTCATTGAGTCCAAGTTCTTTCCCGCTTTGCAAGGAGAGAGCGGCAAGATGTCGGCTAGCGACGCAAACTCCGCTATTTTTGTGAACGATACACCGTCGCAGATTAAAGATAAGGTGAGGGGACGTGAAGTTGACGACGCGCTAACAGAGGGACGCATGGTGGCAGCGGACAGAAATCCGCGCCAGCTGATCCTTGGTATATGTAACTGAGCGAAAAGACATCTGCCCCTTGCTGGATCAAGATTTTCCAATTACATTAGTGTCTTCTGTCGGCATCCTGAACATCTGGACATCCACCCATTGCCACTAAACCAACAGATTAACAAGTACGCTTTCAGTGGTGGCGGTGCAACTGTGGAAGAGCACCGCGCCAAAGGCGCAAACCTGGCAGTAGACGTGCCATGGAAGTACCTCAACTTCTTTCTGGAGGACGACGCCAAGCTGGCCACCATTGGGGAGGAGTACAGCTCAGGCCGCATGTTGACAGGTGGGTGCACGGCATGTGGCTTCGGCGATTAGGGGCTTGGTGAAGCTTTTGTCATGACGCCGAGCACGTTTACTTTTACCGTCCGGCATGGATTGGGGTTTGTTTTGCGTCTGACTAGGGCCCTCCAGCCACTGTACCGTCCTCAAAGGCGTGCCATAAATTAGAATTTTCGTCCGCAGCAGAGCCAGCGCGGTTGGTGCGCATGCTTCAAAACATGGTTCCATACCCTGCTAATGCGTCTATTAATTGCGTAATGACATGAAGGTGCCTGAAGAGCTGACTGTCCGGACATTGCCTGTCGACACCACAGGCGAAATCAAGAAGGAACTCATCACTGTCTTGACGGACTTGGTGTCGCGCCACGAGCGAGCGCGGGCGCAGGTAACAGACGACGTTGTAGATGCGTTCATGGCGGTGAGGCCAATGCCATGCATCTAGCGTGCCTTCCCACAGGGAACTCCGTGCTCCGCGGGCTTACCTTAAAAATCCCAAATGAAGTAGGCGAGTGGCCGCAACCCAGAGCAGTGGCCGGCTGAAGGGGCCCCACGCTCAGCTTGTGAATGCAGGATTCGTAGTGCAGACCGGTCTCAGCAGGGGTTATGGTACTTCCGCTTTTCGAGTGCATTGTTCTCTAGGTGCGGCAAGACCTCGGCTAGAGTGCGGAGTCTTAGTCAGTCTGCGCTTTTTTATCTTCGAGCGTGATGGTGCGAGTTTAGATGTGGGTATAGTATGCGTCTGCACCAGCACGTGATTTGTGCTGCGAATAAGCGCGGGAGGGAGGCTAAGGTCAGGCGTTACGAGTGATGGTCCAAAAGTAATCGTCCATGAACGCATTTGAGGAGAAGGCCGAATAGCTTCGGTGGACGTGCTTACACGCAGCGCTCATGATTTAATGGGCAATCCCTACGAGTTTTGGGTGTCGAAGCGTGATACCTTAAGGTGGCGCTAGGACCAGTTGGGGTTAGCGATCGACTCTTTCACGATGCGCGTTGCGCAGCAAGGCAAAAAGGCTACCCTGACCAGGGCACCGTTGAACTTCATCCGTTTGGCTACCGTAAATACGCCAATGGTCCACTTCGCGCGTCCTATGCGGTTTCCTGGCTGCAGTAGATGGATGGGGAAGACGCGGCACCCTTTAAAACGCTCGAAATTATTTGGGCCAATTCATGATTTGTCAGCACCACAGGGCACAACGTCCTGCTGCACATGTGCAAGACTCCAGATTGTTCCAATTCTCAGACTTGCCAGGGTCAAGATCCGACGTCGGATGTGGTGATGACCTCTACCCCTCCTTCCCGTTATCGGCGCACACTTACACGCAAATATGTGGCTTTCCAACACCAATGCACGGGGACCACTTAGACCACGGCTTCGGAGGTTAGGATTACAATGAGTTTTAACAAATCGATTTTTCACATGACAACGGCTAATAATCCATGGCAAACACACTGTTGCGGAAGCGCAGCGATACCCATAGTAGAGGGCATGTGGGCCAGCTTATATACCTGGTGAAGCAAGGGAGAGCCCAGCCATTGCTCGGACGGTGTTGTACACCAGTATCAACAGTGGCCGATGAGCATCATGACCGGCATGTGTGTGCGTGTTACATGGTTGGGGGTTGTGTGACCCCATACCTGTAGAGCTATCCATACGAGCCGAAGGCCCAAGGGCAATACTTCAACGCCTAAAAGCCATGGAGAAAAGGAAACACCGCACTATTAGCCCAGACTAGCGCCCAAAGGGGATAACTGACTTGTGGTGATCCCACATACGTTCCAACATCCTCGTCAGACGTACTGGATCCCATTTCATGGCCTCCACCATGCTCTGTTGATGATCGAATGCCTCTTCCGCACGAATATCATTATAAGCTGGGCATTCCAATAACACGTGTTTTTCAGCCTCGACTTGGCTATTGGTACCACAACAGCGGCGAAACCGCTGCTCCCTGGGGACGCTTCCTGGGGACATGGTACTTGCCCCTTCGTGCTCTGTTTGCCTCCAAAGCCCAGCAACATAAACGAAACTGCATTAGCTTACCATGTGCTAAACGAGGAATGAAAATTTTAGCATGTGTTGGCCACATAACGGCTGCGGCTCCCTTATACTTCGCCATCTGCACGCCAGCGTTTTTAAAACTTTTTCAACAGGGTAATTTTTTAGTGACCAAGTGGTTACTGTGGGGGTTTTCCTAGGTAACCACTCTACATTTTTTTCCAGTGAGTATGCTGAACAGGACTCCTGTTTACAGGGTCCCACTAGAACCATGCATCCGAAGATCCAACTTCACAACGCTCAGTCACGGTTTTGAACAGCCAGGACGACGCGTATATGTTGATTGTTTACTTACGTGGGTCTATGTATAGAAAGATTTGGTTGGTCACTACGGGGTTCTGTGGCCCAATTTCCTGGCGACCACCTGGTTACTGGCAGGTGACTCAAAAACATTTCCTAGTGACCACCTTCTGGAAGGGAAATATTTTCTCAGTAACCACTTGGTCACTAGTAACCATTTTAAAAAATACTGCTGCACTACCGGTTGCTTCCCATCTGATGGGTACTCCTCTGGCAAGACAGTCAGACGCGCATGGTCCCAGCTGGGCTGCAGCCGCCCATCAAACGCTCCCTTAGCGCCGTTATCACGCTCCTTCGGGGAAAGGTCTACTCAACAACCAGTCAAGACGCTCCTTTACCCCCCAACCCTTCCATTCCGTGTTAGTCAGAGCATCGGTTATATCCTGCCGTAAGACTGCATTAGCAATGGACCCAACTTGCTACCGAGATGTGGCGGCAGGTCTCGATCATGCCAAGGACTTATCGCACAGACTAAGCAGTTGAAGCACCTGAGTCAACTTAGGTGTTACATCATGACTTTTCAGGAAGGAACCGAACTGTGGATGCAGATCCCGTGATATACCCAGGATACAATATTAGGTGACGGCTTTGGTGCTAGTGAAGTTGCACGGTAATAGCAATGTGGAGCTGTCAGCAAGGGGTTCTAGTGTGGGACACTTAGCCGTTTCCTAAAAGGTGTCGAGCCAAGCATAGAACTCGCCAGTGCAGGTTGGGGACCTAGCATGACGTGGTAAGTCAAGCTGCGTGGTGTACGTTCAGGCATGGAAAGAAGCTGGCTGGCTGTAAACCAGTGGCATTCGCATCCAGCAATTTACTAATACTGCACTTACGAGTGGCCTTCAGGTGCCCCGCATTCCTCCGTGTCGCCTAGGAAAAATTCTCTACACTGACAACGGCTTTCGAACACGCAGCATCTTCTGGAAGTACCACGCTTGCTACCCCACTCATCGCTATGATCACGCCCACCCCCCCTTATAATTCGGATGCCGATGTGCCATGCCGAGTTGACTTCCACCCCATTGTTCTCATCACCTAGGCAATCGTGTCTTAATCATATCTTATTTAAAGGAGAGGGCCTTTATCATCAGGATCCAGGTCTCAGGTTTTCATAATGGCCTAACTCCAATTCAACAGGGCATAAGGAAAGATAAGGAACAGCACCCGTTCCAAGGCAAACAAGTTATGCGGTCTTTAGTGGTGCTCATTTGGCTACTTGCAGCCATCCGTGGGTATCAAAGCCATCAAGCACCAGCGGCGCCTGCAGCGCAATTCGGGGCGATTGGGGGCAAAGGGGTCACCCCGCATATACCGTTCAGGTGCAGGGTGCATAAGTGTTGAGCTACAACGGGTATGTTATCCTCATGTTGCGCAGCTGGTCTTGTCTCCCCCCCATATCGCTCCTAATATGTAATCTCACTTGCTAAGTGGTAAGGTAAGAAGGTGTCTCTACGCTTCACAACCTTCATCCTGACCTAACGAAGCCTCCTTCCATCAGATAGTTCAAGTCCCAGGCTTGTAGATTTTCCTGGGTTTTACCAGCCCTCCAAGCTTAGTCGAGTCTTCACATGGCAAAGGGTGGCTTGGATGCATGGTAATGATCGGCTAATAGACGTGCCTATGCGTTTGCCAACTACTCTCAAGGGGTCTTTGTCCCGAGCCCTGACCATCTTTTGTTTCCTATGAGTACCCCCTGGGTGTGTTGGACCAGGGTCCGCCTCTGGCCAGTTGGCTGACACTTGGCCATGGGCGTCCATGGTGTTGGACAAGACATGTTGCACTGATGGCCCTTCCACACCGACAGTCCATGGTAACGCTTTGCTGCACATAATCACTGGGATGTTCAGGCTTGGCAAGTTCCCACGTTTAAAAGACAGCTGGGTGTAGATGCGGTTTGATGTGGCGGTGTGGGCTACCCGGGTGGCGATAGAGCCATCCACGGCACTCAAGGCGCACACCGAAAATTGATGGTAAGGTCCGTGTGTCCACATGTTCCCCAAAAGTCGTCCATAAGTTTCTCCACATGGGACAGGTGAATGCTCCGTCCAGGAAGAACCAGATGCATGGCACATATGGAGCAGTGTGTACTAGGTTCGACCTGACTGTGTGGTGGCTCTTAGCAGGTACGGCCAATTTGGGAAGGCCGGCAGCCTTGCACCATTGCATACAGGACACGTTGGCACGTCCAGTATGTCCAGTGGTGCATGACTGGAAATATGCTGTCATTGTGCTAGGGTGTGGTGTCTGGACTCTGGAGGGATCGGCCTTAAGTCAATGATCGTCGATGGTTCTGATTGTGATAGCGATGGTGGCTGCAGTGGTGGTTGTGGCAGCTGTGACGAAGTTGATGGTTACAAGTATCTGTGTGTGTTACATGGTTGGTGGGTGCGTGACCCCATAACTGTAAAAACTACCCATACGAGCCGAAGGCCCAAGGGCAATACTACAACGCCTAAAAGCCACGGAGAAAAGGAAACACCGCACATCAGCCCAGACTAGCGCCCAAAGGGGGTAACTGAGTCTCGGTGAGCCCACATACGTTCCAACATCCGCGCAAGACGTGCTGGCTCCCATTTCATGGCCTCCACCATGCTCTGTTGATGATCAAATCCCTCTTCAGCACGAATATCATTATAGGCTGGGCATTCCAATAACACGTGTTTTTCATCCTCGATTCGGCTATTAGTACCACAACAGCGGCAAAACCGCTGCCCCCTGGGGACATGGTACTTGCCTCTTCGTGCTCTGTTTGCCTCCAGAGCCCAGCAACATAAACGAAACTGCATTAGCTTACGATGTGCTAAACGAGGAATGAAAACCTTAGCATGTGTTGGCCACATGACGGCTGCGGCTCCCGAAAAGGGCAGCCCCATCCAGTGCTTATACTTCGCCATTTGCACTCCCGGTTGCTTCCCATCTGATGGGTACTCCTCTGGCAAGACAGTCAGACGCGTATGGTCCCAGCCGCTCATCCAACGCTCTCTTAGTGCCGTTATCATCGCTCCTTCGGGTAGAGGCCTACTCAACAACCAGTCAACACGCTCCTTTACCCTGATGACTTCTTGCGGTATTCCGCTCCAAATATTGCACTCCAAGAAGGAAAACAGTAGTAACAAGTATCTGACCGGGCCTGATATGGCCAGGGGCTGCTGCCCAGCCCCAACGAAAAGACAGCCTAAGCTCTCTCCCGCGGACGGGAGAGGGACGCGATGGTGTTGGACGTCCGTGATGTTTCGCTTGGTTGTCCGTGAGGGTGTCTCCAGGTCCGTTAAGTCTTCACATCCCCTGTGGCAGTAAATGCGTATTGGCACGGTTTTGCTATTGGCACGCAGGGGGTTTTAGCTTCCCCCTTTGGTTCTCAACCTTAGCGCTAGCTGTTCCTTAGGCAAAAGGTTCGTCAGAAGCTACCGGGCAATCCACAAGGAGAGCTCCCTGGCTATCGTCGGCTTCAAGTGCGGAAACTACTTCCCTAGGCTTTGTACGCCGTTGCCTTATCGGGTGCATGCATTACTAGCACAATACATGTATAATTAGAGCTATCCCAAGGCATAATCCCAAGGTGCGCAGGCCGTAGCATGTCAGCCCTGTAGCACACAATATACTTATTGACGTCATCAAATCCCCTTTTAAACGCAGGATCCAATAGTCTTATTTGCCACAAAATGTCGCATTCTTCTCCGCCTCCACCACTGGCAAGGGAAGAAGCTCTCCCTGCGCCTTTCCGTCAGGCAGTCGACGAGGCCGTCCGCATGAATTGCGATGTTGTACGGAAGACCCCATTGCATCCAGTCCATGTGCTTGCTAAACCATCGAAGACTTGGCTTTTGGTGTTGCCGCCACAATTCACGCACGGGAGCGGGGTTTCAGTGGCCCTTTTCGAAGTTCGCATCTGGTTGTCATCTATCGCAAGAACTGCGGACAGAGCCTTGTGAACCATCGATATTATTAATGCTTCATGCTCCACCTTCTTGATACATGCTTGTGGCCGGGTATGTGCGCCGCAGGTCCCCTTATCTGCCAATTCGACCTCCAGGTCAGACACAGGGTGCGAAGTGCAAGAACTTTCACGCAGGCGGACCCTTTGCGGCCTGGGATATGAGCTTTTCTATTATGCTGTCAAGGCACGTGCAGGGGCCTGAGTTGCGGAAGCCGTGCTGCCAGAAGCGATGTCGGCTCACTGATTGAAGTTCTGGCAAATCGTTGTCGCAACCCCGGAAACGCCTGCAAAGTACAAGGACTCGTGCTTGCTACCATATGCACGCTCGTTCAGCGGCAACACCAGCTCTGACGCGTTCTTGGCTCTGACAGCGCGAAGTTTTCGAATTTTGAAACTGCAGCCAAACTCCGTCGTCACGAAGTGACACATGAAGCAAAGAAAACACGCAAAAGTGAAAACGAAAGACATTTCTAATGTTTGACGGTGGTCCTTGACCCTGCCCCTGACGGTCGCGGGTTAATTGACATTGACAGGTTCTTGACGTTTTCTCCTCAACGAAGAAGTTGCTGCGTAATTGTTGGAAAGCATGAATTTAGGTCCCTAGGAACAAATGAAATCTGCGCCAACCAAGGTCTGTGCTGAAGGAGTGGGCAGTCAAAGTTTGCTTGACCCGGCCGCTTTCGTCACGCGCGTTCTAATATCTATCATTTCCATGCAGACTGGCGCTTGGACAGAGGAGGAAGATATCTTGCTTGTGGAGTACCAAGTGAGTTGTTGCAGGTTCCTCGGGTGTGCCGCTCAAGGAACCGAAAGAGAATCTATACGTAATTGCCACGCAGGCGGTGTATGGTAACAAATGGTCACAGATAAGCAAACACATACCTGGCCGTAACGGGCAAAGCTGTGCTCAGCGCTGGCGGCACAAAGTAAGTCGGCCGCGGCCCGCAAATCATAGCGCTCAAGCCGAACCTCGATTTGCAAATGAAACATATCGCCTGTGTCGTAGGTCAATCCCAATATTACCCGCGAGAAATGGACGCCAGAAGAGGATAGGTAAGTTCACATGTATTTTGGACATTGCGCTTCACCAACGTATTCATCTGACAATCATTCCCGTAATGCGCCCAGCCGCCTCACCAGGTTTGTTCAGGAGATAGGCGTTGGAAAATGGGCAACCGTCGCGCGTCACTTGCCTGGGCGTACGGACCAGCAGTGCATGGTACGTTTTACGCTTCGGGTACCCCGCTCACGGCCGCTGTGAACGACTTAATTACAGAACATCTACCTTCTATCTGCACATTCATGTAACAGGGCCGATGGCGACGACACCTCGATCCGAACATACGAAAGGTAAGCATGCAGTCAGTAAACTAAAGGATGGCAGCCACGTGGCATCGTTGAGTCCTGAGTTACCCTTCTTAACTCTCGCGGCGATGGACTGACCCTGCTGCATTATTAGTCATCCTACAAGTTAGCTCCCTGTGTACCGCACCCAAATCCGTGCAACAGGATGCGTGGACCGCAGAGGAGGATGCCCGGCTCTATGCCCTTTACCAAGAATACGGATCCTCCTGGTCCATGATTGCCAAGTGCATCGCAAACCGCACGCCGCAACAGTGCCGAGGGCGATGGTGCATCTTGACCAGTAGCAAGAGCAAGGTATGTCTATACAGGCTAGGTGTGTGTTTGCATGTGTGTATGCGCGTGCGAGCGGGTGATCCTCCGATCCTTCTATGACCTGCCCTAGCGGCTTTAGGAAGACACGCGCCTGAAGAGGGTGTTGTGCTTGCATTCTGTTCTGGTCTTCCTGAAGACCGCGTACGCATACCTATTGCCTTTATCCGTACACTCCAGGCATCGTTGCCGGCAGCACCCGAGACTCCGCACCAAGAGCATGCTACTCACGGTCAGGGGTCCCAGGCCACCGACACTGAGACGACACGACGCGGACGAGTGCAACCTCATGACTGCCCTTCAACCGTTATCGGGGATGCAACGACGGAGATGCCTGCAATGCCAGCTTCGGCATTACTTCTTACGCAAGGCGGCGGCGAATTCCTGCAACCGCCGACGGTCCAGCAAACGCGCCTAGCCAGATTGCGTGTGCGCAACACCATGGTGGGAATTGACGTGTCCGGGATTGGAGGCCTATTACGTCAAGATCGCCGACCAGCTGTATTGCAAGACCCTGGATCAGTAGGCGCGCTCATGTACGCTGGAAAAGCCAAGTCACAGTCGCAGACTGGCGTCGACCAACAAGACGACCTCGTGGGCGTAGACAGCACCCAGAGAGGTACGTAACCCCGGGACTTCAGATACATTTATGGCTTACACGTAAACCGAACCTAGAAACTTTGTTGCAATGATTGTGCGCGAGATTAATAAAAGGTGTGTCTGCTTACCCTGTAGGCCGTTTGCTGCTAGGGACTCGAGTCCTCTCCTTCAGACGACGCTTAAGGTCCACACAGCGCAGGCCGCGCGGCCGTCTTACGGCAGTCATCCTACCGTCTAGCGGAGGAACACCCAAAGGACGAGCCTCAAAGCCGGAGCCGCTTGCTAGCATCGCTGTTGCCACCGTTGCGGCAGTCGATCCCCTGCTGTCTCCAGGGCACCACTCTCCCGTGATCACTGATGATGTGATCGTCGGTGAGCATGTGCCATTCCGGCCCAGTACCAATCCCTGTGGTGCTAAAGAATGCCGCGGCAAGGACTATGACGGTCAAGGAGTCGACAGCGGCAACACAGATGGCCGTGCTCCGCATCCCTGTCGGGCAAGCAAGGGTGCCGGCACAAACGCTGTCGTAAGCACCTGTGAACGTCCGACCGTCAGCACAGGCAGCCGCCGCGGGCTCGCCTCTACTGGCTGTCGGCGCCAAAGGCCAGCCGGACGGAGTGAAGAAGCTCCGTCAGGTGAGGGGTTTGGCTTTGTTAAGGGCCGTGCCGCCATTCCTAGGTAAATCCGGGTGTGTAGGAACTTCAATGGCCGCTGTGTAGACAGAATCTTCGTCCCTTTTTGCATGTGTATCAGGTGATGCGGTTTTGCACATGTCAAGCCGGAAGACGCGCAGTGGCCGTTGCTACCCGCTGGCAACGATGCCTGCCATTATGTCAGCGACGCTGAGCCTCCAGCGCAAGGCGGATGATGGTGGACCTGGCGCCAGGGCATACACGGAAGCCCCGGGCAATGCTGCAGACACGACAGGAGGGTGTATTGGCGGGCTGGATGGAGCGCTGGCTGCATCCGTGAACTCATTAGCTGAGATGAAAGAGCAGCAAGAGCGTGCTGATGTCGATACTTTCCGTTTGCCTGGTGGCCTGGCTGGTGAGGCCGGGGTGTCAATACCTGGCTATGTCTTCACAGCCCAAGCTTCGAACGGCGGCCCGACGATTGCCGCTGGTTTTCGCCAGCAGGTGAGCTTTGATGCAGGCGTAAGCGCTTCAATGGGAATCCTTTGTATCGTCCTGCTCCCTATAGTCCCCTCACATTTAAAATTCTCCTTTTATTCGCTGACAGGCCATCGCTGGCGGCAGTGCGGACACGTCATTAGGCCTACCTGGCGAACTGTTCGGGGAAGGAGGGACGCCACCCCGTGGCGACCAGCTCCTGGACTGGCAAGAAGTCATTGGCTCACCCCCAACTAGCTCCTTCCTTGCATTCGTGGAAGCAGGTGCGTTTTTGTGCGGCATTGCGCTGATTGCAGTGAGCTGAAGTACTATGGTTACATACTTGCAGTTAACGTTGCTGTAATCCTCACTGCGCGTTGCTACCTCGTCTTCATGTTGGTTAAGACCTTCCCGACATGGGAACGCAGGGCTCCTGCAAACGCCAACCGGTGCGCTGGGTCCCAGCCCGGGACCGGAATTGTTATGTGCGCCGGTCCCGCCGGGTATGCCCAAGGTGACGCCAGGCTTCAGCAACGACTGGTCGGATGTGCCTGCGCTTTCATGGACAGAGTTGCAGGCGTGTCACCCCAGCTTCGGCATTATCGCCCGCCCACCTACATCCAGTGCCCAGGGCACTCCTGACAACTCGCGACCAGCACTGCGGCCCGTGCCAGGTACGCCCGTGCCAGGAATCACCGCCTCCGTGCCGATGGGTGGCCGTGTGGACTGAGCTATGGGGTTGTGGGATTTATACGCGGTCCTTGATGTAAAGAGTTAACGTGAATTCATACCTGCTACTGTTTGCTTTACAGATAACTGCCGTGTTGGAACAACGCCTCGTCGAGATATGTACGTGCGGTCAACAGGGCAGGGTGGCGAGCCTAGCTCCACACCTGCTGCTGTGCGGTACCCGTCCAGCCCCATGGTCCATCTAGGTAAGGAACGAATGCAGGCCGTTGGAAACTACCTGGCGCGCTGTTATGGCAGGTGCCAGTGGTATGTACTCTCTACATGCCAAAACTGTATTTTTCTTTGCAACACCATTGTTGCAGGTGAATCCAGCACCGAGGATGAAGGCCAGGGTGACACGCTCTCTATGCCGCCGTCGCCTTGCGGCCCAAACCAGGGCCCCAAGCAGCTAAACGGCTGTCGTACGGATAGGACTGCGTGCGGCCACTCTCGACAGGCGAGAGCGGGGACGGCGGCGCCAGACTTGCCACCCTCGCGCCATAAAGCTCAGACCAGTGCAGCAAATGGAAAAGGCGACTGCACGATACCTGACTTCTGCAGCCCAGCAGACAAACACCACATGGCGATTAGCGGCTCACAACTCAAGTCACAGGAGAGAGTGCAAGGTATGGTTGCTTGTGTTTTGGGGTAGCATGCGGGTTTTAGTCCGTACCAGGATCTCACCCGCAACTGCAGCATGTGCACCGATGTTATTCCTGTTGTTTTCACGATATTGACGCAAGTCCTACAGAACCAACCAAAGGCCCTCGTTCCTGCAGGTCTGCCAACTCACCCGCCGACTGCATACCACGGAACTGGTTTCGCCAGTAACAGGCTGATGGCTGATCAATTGGAGCAACTGAAGCCCGCTACCCTTATGGCCGATCACACAACCGCGCCCACCCTGGCAAGCGTGCCTCCATGCCCGGTGGTAGCCATGGATGGGACATCGCCACATCTTTACCTGGGCGTGCAGCTCTCTATCGCACGTCCATCGTTAACCCCAGGCCAGCTACCGTTGCCGCCGGCCCTGGCATCTGCTCTCATGCCTGCTATGATACAGCAAGCGCATAAGCCGTCCAGTGTCTGCGTAGGGAAATTGCAGCCGCGTCCACCAGTTGCAAATCAAGAGCTGCCTGGGCTTGCGGCTCCAGGCGGTAGCACAGGTGGCGTTTCCTATGTATCAGCTCCAGGTAGTCGCAGTGTCTTGGTGGCCCCTACCACAGCGCTTGGCTTGGGTTCCACTGGACAGGGCGCGGTGTTTCCGCGCCTTATCCTACCAAAGCAGCCGGCAGCGGGGACTATGCGATCCCTGTTTCCGGTGCTATCGCTCAACACGCACCAGGATTGCAACCAGAACGTAACGAGCTAAATAGTCGCTGGAGGATTTCTTCATCTGTACACTATCTGCCGGGGGGCAAGCAGGGGCACGTGCCTCAAATGCGCCGAGCAGTAAGCTAGCGGTCTTCCGAGATAGTGAATATTTGCATTTGCGGGTGAAACATTTTGGGGCGCCTGTAAAGGCGCTTTGTGCCATCAACGACGTACGCGCCTGGTTATTTTGTTGATGCCAGCTGGCATCCTGACCCTGGTGCACTAGGATGCATGGCTTGTAGCTCAATGCTTAAAATCGTGTGTCCCAATGCATAATGACGAATTGATGTGAACACCAACCCTAGCTTGTATGTATGACTGTCCGTTGTTCGTTGACACTTGTCGGCTGAGAACGTCTGGCGGGACATGATTCTATTCTTTTGACGGGGTTGGTGGGCTGGAATCTTAGATACCTGAACTACATATCAGTTGCACATGCACGCTTTTGATGCGCTCGAAACTTCAATGCCTCACCATCAGCCCATTTAGTATCACGTGTCCGCGCATGTACTGTGCCGTGCCTTTAGCACGAAGGTATTGATGGCTCTTCGTTAGCACATGACGTGCTGTCGGTCTATGGATGTTCTCTCCGACATCATGCTTGTGCAAGGTGCAGGTCTTCCATTAGGTTTAAGCATCTTTGCCCGGTTATGCGGCAATTAAGGGTTCTCTTGCACTCGAGGCCTGCAAAGGCCCGGGGTTCGTGACACGCATACCAGTGAGATTAAGGTTCGTAAGCAAGGCTCTATGCACCGGCGGCAGTGTCTTACCTTGTCTGGGTCGGTGTTGCAGGGCGATGATGCGGGGGGACGTGTTTTCCAGGCAACGGCAGTTTGACTTTTGAGCGACGAGTCGGTGCTGTAGTCCCTGAATACCTACACTTGCTACACCACGGTCGAGGACGTGACCAGCAGGGAATCGACGTGCCCTGCGGGTTTCACGGGTCATGCGTCTGTACCCGTAGCCGAAATATGATGTTGCCGACCCCTGGCTGTTCCGTAGGTCCAGCTGTCGACCGTTGTCAGTTGCACGTGCAACAGACTAGACTGAACTTGCAAGGTGACGCAATAACCTGAGGCCGTCACCACCAGGCAACACTGAAAAGTAACTGAAAACAAAAGCTGAAGCTTTGACGCTAAATCGGTGGTTATCTGCTTTGCGGTCCCCCTGATACGCCGCGATAACGTTATTATTTATCTGTTTGCATGTAGAAATGATTTGCGCTGGTCATTATGTTGGCCCTGCATCCTCAGACTGGACAGCAGCGCAGCGAAATGGGAAACCGAAACTGGTTCATCTTGCCGTATACAAAGGTCTGACGCTACATTCCTCAGAGCCTCAACGCTTTGTAAAGTCCTGCTAAATCCTTGCTAAGCATACCTTTGCAAGTACCAAATGGACGACCGTGTTCACGCTTAGCTTCCCGTTGCCCGCTTTGCTGTTTGCACAAGGATAGGACGGCAAAATGCCATATTTAAAGCAAATCGACAGATCTGCAACAGGGGCATTCTGTCCCCATGCTCCGTATCTGGCGGCAGGGACAGTCGCAGGCGCTATTGACATTAGTTTCTCAACTTCTTCCGTCCTTGAGGTGGGCAGAACATAGCCCCGCTTTTGTATGGCTTTTGCTTAAGGAGTAAGGCAATGAAACGTCTCCAAAGTTAGGCTTGGAGAACCTCGTTGATCACTGGCAAACTATGTAATTGCAGATTTTCCCGTTAGACTTTTCAAGCACCTCTGATTATCTTTCGCCATGCGGAAGCATTGCGGCACCAGAGCGTTTCAACAGGTTTGCCTGGGGCCAGCACCTGCCGGATCAGTCCTTTCAGGTATGCGGTGTCCCTCGTGCAACGGGATGTTGCCCGAGCTCTGCGGCCGGTTGGACTTGACGCTTACTTCTTTAACATCTTGCAGCTGGGACTCTTGGCGGGCGGTCTTGCGGATGGTTCTGTGTGCCTCTGGGACCCAGCTGCCCTAATCGATCCGTCCGCAAGGGAGCACCGTGCTCCACTGCTGGCCAAAATGCAGAAGCACACTGGAGCAGTGAAAGGACTTGAATTCAACGGTTTCAGCCCAAATCTTCTCGCGTCGGGGGCAGCGGATAGCGACTTGTGCATTTGGGACCTGACAAAGCCTTCAACTCCCTCCCTTTACCCAGCCTTGAAGGTGGGTTGCAAGTTCAAGCTAATTCTTAGGTTGTGTGGCTATTACATGTAGTTCTGTCCCTTACTGGTCCCCGGGGTTTGCTTGGGCAGGGAGGTGCTGGGGCCCCCGGGTCAGCGGTCGGAGGTGAGATCACGTACCTGGCCTGGAACAGAAAGGTCCAGCATATCCTGGCTTCGTGCAGCACCAATGGCACGACCGTGGTTTGGGACCTGAAGCGTCAGAAGCCGGTTATCAGCTTTCGGGACACGAACAGGTGAGCGCCCCAAATTACATCTATATGTTGAGTGGATGGCCGTGAACAGACTACGTACCTCCCCTCTGGGTTTAGCTATTCGGGTGTTTTGCTTGCGAAGAATAACATATCCTGTACCTTCGGTTTCCAACATTGGCGTGTCCTCGAATCCTATTTCTGCATTTGCAGCCAACGCCGTGCTTCCGCCATTCAGTGGAACCCGGATATTGCGACTCAGCTTATCGTGGCGTCGGACGATGATCGCTCACCCACGTTGCAGATGTGGGATCTGCGAAACAGTGTCTCCCCGCTTAAGGAGTTCGTGGGGCACCACAAAGTAAGCGTCCACATCGTCGTAGAGGCTTTTGGTGATGCGTTTTTCGGGGTTTGTCCTTGCATGGTCGTAATGAGAACTGAGATGTCGCCCATTTTTCGTGCAGGGGGTGCTTGCTTTGGCTTGGTCGCCGCATGATTCGTCCTTGCTGTTGAGTAGCGGAAAGGATAACCGGACCATTTGCTGGGATGTCCAAAGCGGAGACATTGTGTGTGAGCTCAGCAGCGCAAACTGGAATTTTGATGTCCAGGTGCGGCAGGGCTCAGACGCCCATAGTTTGCTGGAAGGCGCATCACATAGTGAGTGCTGCTCAGTATTTTTCAAGTGATGCGGCTAGAACCTGTTGCTTATTGAGAGCTTAGGAGAATGTGCGACCTGTCCGTCAAATACTCTCTCCGTATGTGGAGCTTTAGATGGGCCGCTTGTGCATTGGCCTCTTCCCCGAACTGAATGCCGCAGTGGAGCCCTACGGTACCTGGCATCTTTGCGACGTCGTCATTCGACGGCAAGCTGGGTGTGTGCAACTTGCACACATGTACTGGTTCAAAGGTGACGGAGACGGTGAATGCGGACTTCACAGTTACCCAGTCCATCGTAGGCGATGCCAAGCCGCTTACAAAAGCTCCTGCTTGGATGCGTCGACCCGTTGGCGCAACATTCGGCTTCGGTGGTCGCCTCGTCTCTTTTACGAACAATCGTTCGCAGCAGACTGACCCAGCGACAGGCGCCGTGCGGCTGCAGGACACCGGTATTGTGGCCGTGAAGCAAGTTGTGACAGAACAGGATCTTGTGTCGAGGTCCGAGGGTTTTGAGGCGGCCATCCAAGGCGGCAACCTGCAAACGCTGCGCGAGTACTGCTGCACAAAGCGTGCTGTGCTTTCGTCTGCAGACATTCAGTCGGCCGAGGCAAAGCAGGAGGTGGAGACTTGGGCGTTTCTGTCTGTCCTCTTTGAGGGGGATGATGCGCGCCGCGTGCTGCTGCAAACCTTGGGTTTTAAGGACTTACCAACCCGCGAGGGCAGCCTGGCGAGCGCGCCTACGGAAAACGGTGTAGATGCTGCCGCGGCAGGGGTTCAGCAGTTGAGCCTTCAAGGCGCCGACGGTGAGGAAGAAGAGATTATTGCAAGAAAGTTTCCGACTACAGTTGCTTCGTACAGTCTATTAAGTGACATTGAAGCTTGGTGTGTCATGCGTATCCTGTCTGCTGCCAGGGGATCGGGTTTATACAATAACTCCCTTACCTTTTCCTGTTCAAATGGTTTGATGCGAACTTCTCGTCAGCATTTTTGCACCTCCACATTTTCCATGCTCTGACCCTTTCCGCCCTTCAGGCGTGTCATGCTTGGATGTACCCGGTGCGAACACGGGTGTTGCACTGGCCGCAAAAAGTCCCCACGAGCTCCTGGGCCAAGACGACCCCTCGTTCTTCGATAAGCTTGAGGACAGTGGTGACGTGCTGGGTGGGCCAGTCGTAACAGCCGACAGCGCGGCTGCAGCCTCGCCCGATCTTGGCACCCTCAAGCTGCTGGGCACAGGTGCCATTGATGCAATGGCGCGCGACGCCAGAGAGCAATTCCATGGTAGGTGTACCTATTTTGGAGCCCTATCAGAAATGGGTATGCCTGCCATGAAATCGCTCTCCAGCTTCACGCGCCATTGCATCAATTGCACCTGCACTCAGCGGTTTGTGGTGCCAAGATCGGGCGAGGCTGCAGCCGCGCTGTCGGCTATTACGGCTGGCCCACCCAGCACGTCGCCGCTGTCCTCAAGCTTATCGAAAAACGAAGGGTTGTCTTGGCCCAGGAGCTCGTGGGGACTTCTTGCGGCCAGTGCAACACCCGTGTTCGCACCGGGTACATCCAAGCATGACACACCTGAAGGGCGGAAAGGGTCAGAGCATGGAAAATGTGGAGGTGCAAAAATGCTGACGAGAAGTTCGCATCAAACCATTTGGATAGGGCACAATGATAAGGGAATTAGAGTATCCTTGCCCTCTGTGATTTCTTCCAATGCATTTTATTTATCCCTGAAGCTTCCCGTCGGTCGATGCTTACTATAACCTCACTTTTGCTGTGATGGTCCACAGGCAAGGCAGGCGGTGACGGGCATGGACATGTGCCAGACCACGTTCCTGGTGGTGAACTGGAGGCGGAAATTGTTAAAGCGCTGACTGTTGGTTGTTATGCCACGGCCGTTGAACACTGCTTGGCAGTACACCGGTACGCTGATGCCCTCCTCATCGCAAACACAGCAGGGCGCGACTTGTACCAGCGGACAATGCACAGTTACATGCAGAAATGCCCTCATCCTTACCAGGTGCGTTCCAGTATTGTTGTCAGGCTACACATCTCCGCATTCTTGACGTATCACAGAGTCACGGTATGTTTTGCGGGTAAGCTTCAAGCCTCGAAAGGGCAGGGATACGGCTTTGCTGTGAACTGTGCATGCGCCCTGCGGCCTGGGATGCAGACATGCATTTGGTAAGTGCGCTTCACGAACTTCACTGCAATTTCCACAGGCAATTATTCGCGCCAACTTGGAGGGTGACTACAACGCCTTGATCCGGACGCGGCCTGTTGCACAGTGGAGGGAGACGCTGGCCATGCTGGTAACGTACACTGATCGCGACAAGTTCCGTGGCCTGGCAGACACCCTGGCCAGCCGGCTGGCACAGGTGAAGGGCCTGGCTCAGGGAACGCAACTGGAACAGGTTCAGTGCTCTTCGGGACGTTTTTCGTTTCGCAGCAGAATGCAGAGTGCACCCGATAACGTAATTTCTCTCCCTGACATGAATATCACCGATTTTCCTGCTTGTAAAACTGCCTGCAGGCCGGTATGCACCATGAAGCTTCGCTTTGCTGGGTTTGTGGCGGCCATACAGATCAAGCTGTGTCTTACTGGGCACGTAATTGCACGGGCGGCTCGACGATGAAGGTGGAAGTGCTGCAGGTACAGTGGAAGTGCTGCAGCCGGGGTGAAAAATTTAGCTTCCAAAGCAGCGCAACTTCTACTGAATAAGGATAAGTGAGGGGTCAACCCTGCTCTGCTTGGCCCTCCTGCAGAACGTGATTGAGAAGGCAGTCGTGATGGGCATGGCGCCGGGTGTTTCGTCAACTTCTTTCCCGGATGGCGTCAACAAGGCGTCCCAGAGCCTCTCCGAGCTTGTAACAGCATATGCGTCACTACTTGCGTCCAATGGCCGCATGGCGACGGCTCTGGACTATCTGGAGCATGTGCCAGGAGAGGTGTGTCTTGGAAATCGCAGATGGACGTGCTCCTAACGGGGGAAGCTAGTAATCACTATCTGGATAATGGTAGTGAGGACGCTGTGGACGTGCAAGACAGGCGTGATGACGGCGCTGCTTACGCGTATAAACCTGAAAACGCCTCCCGAACTGTGCAGGCCTCTACGACAGTTGCGGTACTGAAAGACCGCATTTATCGCAGTGGTGTCGCGGAACTTCCGCATGGCGTCCATCCGCCACCATTCCCATTTGTCCGCGAAGAAGTGGTTCCCGCAGCGCAGCCGGCGCCACAACAGGTAAGTATTTATTGCGTCGATAATTCTGCTGTTATGCAGTTTTCATGTCTTTATGTAAAAGCTCAACCGATATGACGATTTTAAGCTTTCCCCCTCGGGGAAAACTGACTGTCCAAGTGTCGTATTTGCAAATTATGCTCTTCAGGCGGCGCAATCTGGGAATGCGTACAGCGCGTACGGGGCGAGTTACAGTGCTACGACTGCGGCTGCTCCTGCTACCAGCCAGTACGGTGCGTATGGCCAACAGGGACAGCAGCAGGTGCAGCCGCAGACCTTCAACACGAGCCAGACTGCGTATTCCAAGCCACAGCAGACGTACAACGTCAACGCGTACGGCCAGGCGCAGGCCACTCAATACGCGTCAGCAGCACCTGCACAGCAATATAACACTGCGCCTGCCCCGCAAGCTGGCCCTGCATCGCAATACGGGCAGCAGCAGGCGACGAATCCATATGCGTCGCAGACAGCAGCCCAGACACAGGCGTCCGGGTATGGACAGTATGGGCAGTACCAGCAGACGCAACAGCAACCATCTACATACACATCCGCTAGTTCTACTCTGCAGCCATCGCAGCAAGCAACTTACGCCAGTGCAAACTCTGCTTCGGCGTACCAGCAGCAGCGACCCACACAAGCTGTTGCACCAGCACCCTTCACACCCACGTCCGTCGTACCGCCAGTAGTGCCTCAGGCGCAGCAGTCAGTGCCACCACCGCAGGTGCCTGCCATGTCAACATCAACTCCATATACAACTGCGGTGGCGCCGTCGGCTTTCGTGCCGACTCCTGCCCAGCAGGCAATGCCCCCTGGTCACACGACTGCGGCAGTGGCGCCGCAACCTAGCTTCTTCGTGCCCAGTGCGCCCACAGCTGCACCTGTAACAGCCATGGGATCAGGTGGCGGCGGAAGTTTTGGGGGTGCACCACCCATGCCATCCATGCCTGGCATGGCGCAAAGCGGCATGGTGCCCGCTCCGACTTCTCAAAAGCCGACTGCACCGCCGCCGCCTCCAGGGCCACCAGCCAACATCTCTGTCGCCACGGCGGATACCAGCGCTGTTCCTGCGGACTTGCGCCCTGTCGTCATTTCGCTCACAAATCTTTACAATGCCTGCATCCCGCTTGCGAATAATCCAGGTAAGGCGGTTGCAAGCATAGGAAATGCAGTAAACACCGGCCGCAACATGCACTTCCGTGGTGCCATTCACGGTCGCTTTCAAATGTAACCCGCTTGCAGCCAAGAAGCGGGAGATGGACGACAACACGAAAAAGATTGGACAGCTCTTCTGGAAGCTAAACTCCGGCGAAGTCAGTGCAAGCGTAGTGCCGAAACTGCAACAACTGTGTGCGGCCATCGATGCGGGAGACTGGCACACCGCAAACCACATCCAGGTTCAGATGACCACCACGGACTGGGATGAGTGTGGCTTCTGGCTCAGCGCTGTCAAGCGCATGATTAAGCTTCGCCAGACGTCATAGTTGCGTGCAGTCGAGGACTGGAGTTTTGTTTCGCACGGAATTACTAGTTGTGGGGATGCGCATACACCGAACGGGGACTGGGCTGGCTTGAGAGTCGTTACAGCGGTCTAGAAATTATGTCCCGGACTTGATATCGTTGCAGTGGGCATAGCTAGCATTGGCCTCGTTGGATATTTACGGACGGGGTATGGTGCCTACCCGGGGTTACTTTGGGATCATTGCTACGGGAAGAACATTATGCGTCGGCTGTCCTTTCAGTGGCTTATGGGAGGCGTACAGCAAGCGTAAGCCGCGTCGAGATTCGCGAAAGCTCGAAAGGGTATTTTGACTTGTACCACACGCAAGGCCACCTGGCCTGGTCTGTATGTTGGTGTTTGTTTCGCGTCCAGCCCGTATCATTCTATGGCCTGAGGTAAAGGTTGATAGATACCTCATTCTAGTCTAATCCTCTTGTCACGTTCGTTTACCGTGTGAGAGAATGTTGGTGCTGGATCCATATGTGTGTTTCACAGGTCTGTCCGTGCAAAAAGTCATGATTGGTACAACCGCTGTACGCTAGCTGGGCACAGACAAACCGTGTGCACACTAGCTAGCCCCTTTTCACAGTACTAATACCGCAGCATTGCAGGTAAGCTTACAATACCATGGATGGCGTACTCACAGAGTTCAGTGAACGTGCAGAGTTCAGGGTATGCAACAATTCTGCTCTGTGCTGAGCAACACGGTTTTACAGGCGCGATGCGGCGGGGCACCTACTATAAGCCTACAAATAACCACGTTACCACAGAGCACTGCGGACGTTGGAAATTTTTTAATACTCGGTACATCATAGCTATGAACAAATGTGGCTAATATCATGAGCAGTAGTTGCAGCATTGCAGCAACTAAACCGACCGAGGGCTACTCCGTCCGAATCACTGAAAGCTCGTAGTTGCAACATGTGCAGTCGTAGACTATGATCCTTTCCGATAGTATACCGACGATTGAGTGAAGAACCAAGTTTTTTTGCGTGCCGTACGAGAAGATCTGCACCGAAGGTCACAAGTGGACAAACACAGAGGAATAATACATTTCTTTAGTGTATATTAATACAGATCTTTTTGCAAAAACGCGTGCGGTTCTCCTTGCCTTTGCCCCTACTTGGCCTATCGGTTGTACTTAAGCTAGTATGGATGCATCACAAGCATCCTGTAATTTAATCACGTCTAGGTAAACGCCACTTGCGAAGGAGTTTACCGAATGCTGCAAGCCTGGGGGCGGAGGACATCGCCCAGACCCCAGTCCTCAAGTCGAGCTGGTGTGTAGCGCAGCTATAATGTATTAAAGAATGCGTCTGTGCCTCAAGTATCTGGAAATTTGGTCGGCACCGGACTTATTTCTTCCCCGAACGTACACGTCCCTTGTCTAATTCCAGGTGCAACGTATGTAAGATGCACACTGGTTCAGTCTGTGCTTACAGCGTCAGTGGCACCGGCGGATGCTGCCCCTCGGGAGCTGGCAGCCTCCTGTACCGGTCGGACATCATCAGTCGTAGGGCACTCATCGGCACCGGAAAAACCAGTGGCAGGTGCGCATGCAAGCAAATGTCATCCCGCCGCGGGCCTTGGGAGCCCGGTGCCGGGTGTGTAAGTGCCCTGGGTGTGTGGATGTAACCCCAAAGCGGTTGGATGTTGGACAAGCGGGTTGGTATTGTTTAGCTTAGTGTGGTCCTGCCGAGCATTTTTCACTTCCTGGAGTATATGTTACTGCATTGGGGCTCCCTGCGGTTGCGCCTGGGCCGTACGCAGCGGCTCTCTGTTGATGCCAATGTATCTTTCCCGACTTGATTTCAGGTCCAATTACGCCGCTTAAGTTGGCACGTCTATCGGAAGTGCTGTTGCTACCTGTTACACGAGTCGAACTAATCCTGCAAGGCAGCCCAGCGGCAGTACGGCACATGGAAACGGAGCATGTAGCACAGCGGCTGCAGGAGCTGTGCATCGTATTAGGCATCCTCCCTAAGCAGGCAGCCTTTATGGTTGCCAATCAGCCTGCATACATGTTGCTTACACCTTTGACGGACATCAGTGCCAAGGTGCAAGAGCTGTCGGACGCCCTGAGTGTGCCGCCAGCGGCAGTGCTACGTACGGCGCTCACAGTGCCGTCTATCCTGCGGCGCAGCACAGCATTCACTGATCGACGGGTGAAAGCTTACAGCATGCTGCTCCGGTGCACACCATTGGACGTATTGCATGTAATGGCTCGGGGGCCCGAGTATCTGTCAGACACGCCTTCGTCTGTGCGCCAGCGGATGACAGCCCTGGGCTATGTGCTGCGGCGGCCGCGGTGCACCATTGCGGCCATGCTGCAGGCACGCCCAGACCTGATCTTCATGTCCGGCAAGGTAATGAACACAAAGGTCAACGGCCTTATGTGCATTATGAACAAGCAGAAGCACCACGTCGTGACCTTGGTGGTGAAGCTCCCTGCACTGTTGCGCTGCAACCTGGACAGCGTGAGGCATGCGTTCGGGAGCCTCCAGGTACTGCTGCGGAAGCACGAGGGCTTCGTGTATGCCATGGTGTGCCATGCGCCGAGCTTACTGCTGCTGACACCGCGGGGAGTACATCAACGATGCGCAGCGCTGCGGCGTTGCCTCGCTGCGTCGCCCGAATGGTTTGCGCAGTTTACACAGCTGCGCCCACCCGGCGTCGCGCAGCTTGTGCTCAATCGCCGTGGTAGCCTGAGTGCCATGATGTACCTCACACAGCGGCGGCGAGCAGGTGCGGCGCCGCTAGCGCAGCTACTTTCTCCTGGTCCCAATGGGGGGCTCGCGAGGGCGCTGGGAGAGGCATGGCCAGACTTCCTGGACTGGATGCAGCGGCGCCAGCAGTACGCCGCCCTGAGCATGAAGCAGCACAAGAGCTTGATACGCGGGACCGCAGAAAGTGTGGCGCAAGTGGGACTGAATTCCCAGCGGGCGTGCATGAATGTGCCTGGCCCCGTGCAGCATCCGCTGTCGCCGCGGCTCCAGGCGGCGCACGCGGCTCCAGGCGGCGCAACGGCCGCGGCGGGGACTGGTGAGCACGTTGAAGACAACAGCTTGCCGCAAAACGCGTATCCAGGGCTTGGTGTTTCTCAACTACGCATGCCGTTGCAGCCCACGCCAGTATCCAGTGCTCTTGAGCAGCCTAACGGAGGTTGTAGCACAAGCATCGGGACCGAGGCGAGCAGCAGCATGAGTGGCAGTATCAGCAGGGCTAGCAGGGATGATGTGGCCAAGTGCGAAGGCAGTTCACGGCAGGACGTGGGTGAGTGCATTGCTGCAGGCCGGGAGCAGCAACTTGGCGCTTCCTCGTCGGGGCGGCAGCCATCGTGGCTGCAATTGCAGGCAGAATACAGGCGGAGCTGGCAGTCACGCGCCCGGCGACAAGCAGCTTCGTCTCCTCAGCCGAAAGCTGGAAAAGAGATATCCTCAGCCACTACCACCTCGCCACCTGCGAAGCGGACACGGTTGCGGTGCAAGGCTCGATCCAGACGCGGTGACCTGTTAGCTCGTACCACTGTAGCCGCAGGTCTGCCAGCCGCGAACGGCCAAACTGCACGACTGAGCGCTAGCCCGGAAGCGTCAGGGCAGCCCTACGATCAAAACGTTGCGCAAGGCGTTGGGACCAGCGCGTCATACGTGTCACCGCCGGACTCGCTCTTGGAGTCTGCAGCCATGGCTACTTGTGATGATGGTGGTAGCAATCGCCAACGTTCGATTGCTGCAGTGCATATGGACCTGAGCGGCTGGCTAGCTAGCAAGGCTTGTGCCACTGCAACGGCAGGCTCGTTCGACAGCTCTCTGGGGCGACTGGGCAAGCGTTCCTGCTTGCAGCATATCGGGACCGGGCAGCAAAGCCATTCAGTTGTCCTAGGCAGCTTACAGCTGCCAGGGGACAGGCAGCAGTCAGATGCATTCAGCATGGACAGGGGGGGGACTGTTGATGGAGCACCTGCGGCAGTGGGCCTAACTGCGGTGCATGATGTGAAGGGAGAAAAGCTTGCAGCTCCTGTCGCGACTGGGCGAGGCCCTATGCTTCCTGGGGGAGGGGATTCATGCCTCGAGCAGGTATCAGGAAATTCAGCAACCGGGAGTGAGCTTACCAGCGCTGAAAACGAGGCCGGTAGCAGCTGGTCGGCGGGGGCGTCGACTGGCAACGACGCCAGCGGCAAGGGTGGTGATGCCCACTGCGATTGCTCTAGTGCCGAAGCGCAGAAGATCTCAGTATGGCTCCATTTGGATTCGAGCGGGGTGAGAAGCAGCGTGGGTGGCCAGGCCAGTGAGGGCGCGTACGTACTAGAGTGTGTACATCAGGGAGAGAGCGAGGTCCATAGCACCCGGCGAGTAGCTACACCTTCAGCAGAACGTCCGCAGCATGCGTCGACAGATGAGGTGGTTGTAGTGAGCGGGAACGGGTCCATCTGCGACATCAAAGGCTTAGTTAGGGATACGCATGCGCTGGGACGGCTTGGCCAGGATCCTGGCGGAGGCATGAGCATAGGGCAGGCACAGAAACTAGAGTCAGTGCTGGGTGCGACTGTGCCACGATAGATTGCAGTTGAAGGCATAGCTGTTGCATGTGGAGTTAACAATTCGCCGTCGGCATGGCTCATCTTGGTGTACGGTCTGTTGTAGCTGTTGCGTCGATACGTGGTTATGGACATAGAGACGGGCCAGTATTTACCGCCCTCGCATGCGATGGTGGCCTGCCTTGGCGCGTGTGTACAACCATCCATTGCGATGCTTTATTCATAACAGTACACAACCGGGCTCGTGAGGTTAAGCGAACAAACGCGCTGGACTGCTTGCTAGGACCTCTAGCATCAGACGAAAGGACTACGGCCTTAACCACAGCCGCCGATGAAAGGCGCCGCTAGCTGCATGAAGCGGCGTCGTAATCCGAGGAACGGTGACTGCTATGGGCTTGCAAGGGGCCGGGCGATAGGTTGGTGGCAGCTATGGCCGTGTTTTTTGTGAGCAGAATTGTGAACAAAAGCAGTTTGAGTGCCATGTTCCGCGGCTGAGCTGTCCCGGCTTGAAACCGGCTGCTGCACAGCGCGCGATGCGGGTGGTTCAGCTCATTCGGCTGAGTCTTTTTTCTCCATGACATCGACTGGTGGGAAGACTTGTATGATTATCTTCAAGGGAGGCTGAGAACCTCCTCCAGCATGCATCGGGATGCAATGTCAGTTGTGACGCGCCATCTCGCATCGAGGAAAGCCCTAAAAATAATGCATAGTCAATGTCTTCAGTGCACAGCGTTTGCCCCACAGGAGACCGTGCCGCAAGGAGTACCCAACGCATGGGGCATTGGAGGCGTGACAGATGACCTGAAGTACAACACAGCGTGCATGTAGGCTGGGGGTGCATTTTGGCCTGCAAGGGACGAACAAGGTCAAATGTGCATATGCCCTCAGGATTGCGAGAGGTCACGTGTGCAAAGGTTCTTAATACAGCTGGCTGTTTTATCTTTGAGGGGAAAAACATTTATCCTTCTTGCGTATGTAGGGGAAGGGGCAGAACTGTGTTCAGCGTGGGCGCATGCCGGATCAACCGACATGCAGGCGCTTGTACAACATAGCTTACGGAAACATTGGTGTAATGCCGAGCAAGACAAGTTATGCCATATCTAATCTTCACAGATAATATCTGGGGATTATCCGGTCAAAAATTGGCGTCAAAGCTCTACCTTCTCAGGGCATGCGTGTAGTCTCCGACAAACGACGCGCGCAGGCGCACGAGATACTACTTTAGGATTAGCGGTAGATAAGTAGATTTTGAACCGATTCATTGAAAATGGGGGAGTGCGTAAAAGTCGCGGTGCGATGCCGCCCCCTTAACAGCAAGGAGAAAGCAGATAACCGAGCTGTAATTGTGGAGGTTGACGGCAAGATTGGCCAAGTTACCCTACATAATCCTAAGGGCGACGAACCCCCAAAGACTTTCACCTTCGATAATGCATTCGATTGGAACGTTACCCAAAAGGAGGTCTACGACGTCGTTGCTCGCCCTATCGTCAACAGCGTTGCCGACGGATACAATGGCACCATTTTCGCTTACGGGCAAACTGGCACGGGCAAGACGCATACCATGGAAGGCCAACCTACACCAGAGCTTCAGGGCATCATTCCCAACTGCTTCGACCACATCTTTGAGCTTGTCAATGGGAGTTCAGGCCGACAATGGATGGTGCGTGCTTCGTACCTTGAGATTTACAACGAGGAGGTGAGGGACCTACTGTCGAAGGACCCGAAGAACAAGCTGGAGTTAAAGGAACACAAGGACTCCGGAGTTTACGTCAAAGGGCTCAACGCATTTGTCGTCAAGGGCGTGCCCGAACTAAAGAATGTGCTCGAGGTATGGATTGCCGGGGACGGGGGGGTCGACCAGGGGGACAGGGTTTTTGGGATCCTGCATCTGTATGCCGAACCTTGCAACAGTGTACACCATCCCAGACTATGCGAAACACATGCAAATAAGAGGATGCTGACTGTGTGACCATGCTCAGTGGCTGTCATGAGTAGCTCCATTCTCTTGACTCGCCTATATATGTCCCTGAAGAGATTGCTTCACGGCGTGTGATGCTGGGTGTGACCGATCCTACGTTGCCAAGTTTAACACAGCTTTATTTTTTCTCAATGGGTTGAAGGATGACAGAGCAGTCTGTTTGGCCAGCATGAGCAACTAGGCCATTTGGCTGCGCATCATGTTTGCTGACAGGTCACTGTTTTACGTCCGCAGGTTGGGAAGAAGAATCGCTCGGTGGGCGCAACACTGATGAATCAGGACTCTTCGCGGTCGCATTCCATCTTCACCATCACCATTGAGACCATTGAGCAGACGAAGGCGCAGGTATAAGGGCTGGGTCTAAGCGTATATGAGATGTCGTTTCTGCGGTCAGGGCTACGAGCTCGTAAGTTGAGTGCAAGGGTATCCTATTGCACACGGCCTACGCCATGCATACGCGTGGCAGATATGGACGACGGTCGGGGTGTTCACCCAATGTTCTTTTACACGGCTATTGGCACACCTGGCTAAAATGGACGGGTAAACCTGGGCGCGCTATTATAGCGAATGTCTTACGATTCCAGAAGTTGTATTACTTTAACCCAGGGCTTCGCCTTTGGTAAAGTACCCGAGGCGCGGGGAGTGTGAACGAACGGCTTACTGGCTGAGCACCGGCAGTAGGTCCAGCACATTGGCAGGTTTTGCCAGGAGCGGCTGGCCCCATGCTATGATCCCTTACGGATTACGACCTGAACACTTATACAGCGGTCTGTGCTTGCTCTGCTATACTTTATCGCGGCGACTTTTCCCTATGTTTGCCTGCATGTGCACACGTTTGTCACGGACATGGATTTCCGAAGCGTGCCCTGGATAGCAGCGGTACCGATTCTTATTTGCGCTGCAAGATTGGTTAATCATGCTTATAAGCACGAAGCACATGGGTGTGCAGGCCTATTCCATGCACACGTATTTGTGCACAAACAGCTCTTTCGTAAAGAGATTTTCTGCATTTTAGGCTATCTGCGTGGGTTAAGGAAAAGGGTAGCGCAAGCAGGTGACCGATTACCTTGCAGACCGCAGTCGCATAACCTGATTGCATTGGGGCCGCTCTTGGTGGAGGCCACCAATCAGTGCCCATATCTGGCGGAACCCTTGTGTCCCACAAGTGTCACAGCTTCTTGTGGATTTGCCTGATCTAGGACCCCAATGAGAGTCTGGGACGGAACCCTGGTACTGCTTGTAGCCCGAGGGCCACATCAAGGTGGGGAAGCTCAACCTTGTGGATCTTGCTGGCAGTGAGCGCCAGTCGAAGACGGGCGCTACGGGAGACCGACTTAAGGAGGCCACCAAGATTAACCTGTCGCTATCAGCGCTGGGTAACGTCATCTCGGCCTTGGTCGACGGCAAGAGCGGTGGGTGGGGACTACGTGGATGGGGGCCCCGAGGCGAAGGTGCATAGCACGAGAAGCTAACGGGAAGAAAAGCGCATGCAGCTGGACCTTTTTGCCGTACCCGTGAATTCTTAGACGGCACGGCGAAGCACTGGCCCTGTCGTGCCCACATGCCCATATGCACTGGGAATTTGCACCATCTTACGGTTACTGCTTGCTAATAGGTACTTCGGTCTCTAAAGCCATGAGTAAATGAGCAGCTATCCAAGGCCTGCGTGTCTTGCAAGCACTACTAGAGCTGGGGGCCTATCGTCCAGAAAACATGTCACATCATGTCATTCCAGGACGTTGGGTGAGCATTTCTTTCACGGCGTTCGCTTTAATACCGTGGGATGAGAATTGAGCTTGGAAATTGCGAACCCGTCCACATCACACAAACTTGCTGCAGCTTTCACTGATTCCATGCCTCCGTCTTTCTGCCGTGCCAAGTCTACCGCAATCCAAGCAGTGGACACCCCGCCCAAGGCCGCAGCAAATGGCGAATACAAGCTGCCGCACCCAATACGGGGTTGCTGGGATTAGACCCCGCTAGGCAGCTTTCCAATTTTTCACCCGACCTCCCCTGTGTTCCCTCGAGTCATGGAACCTAGAAACAGTCGGAATGAATGCGACTGCCTTAAAAGCAAAATCCAGGCTAATCGATGTTTTCGATGTCCTTGTCACATTTCTAGCAATTTGGGCGTTCTGTATTTATGAGAGAATGGGCCGCCGGGTGCAGGGCACGTTCCGTACCGTGACTCCAAGCTGACCCGCCTGCTACAAGACTCTCTTGGCGGCAACACGAAGACAATCATGTGCGCCAACATGGGACCAGCCGACTGGAACTACGACGAGACACTGTCGACGCTACGCTACGCGAACCGTGCTAAAAACATTAAGAACAAGGTAGCGGGGGCCTATCCCTCAAGGGTTTCTCTCCTGGCTATAGCGCCCTCGCACTCATGCCGTCAGAATCCATTGGCTGAAGTGGGCTGAGAACATCGGATGTAAAATTGTGCTTGGGAGTTATGGGCTTGATTGCTGAGTATGTCTTTTTGCCGGACCCCTACAGCCCAAAATCAACGAGGATCCTAAGGATGCCATGCTGCGCGAGTTCCAGGAGGAGATCTCAAGGCTCAAAGCTTTGCTGGCGGTGAGTCTTGCAGCTGTGGATACGGTGCGCTGGGTAAGGTGTGCCGCAGGAGCAGACCGCGGGCAGAGGACGTGTGGTAGCAGTGCATTCTGGGTCCATGAGGGAAACCCTCAGATAAGGGGTTATGGAGATGTTTCTCTATGCTACCACATGGCGATGATTTTTCTTTCCGGCGACCTGTCGGCTACTTGTGATTTGTGAGCTCCCCGTGCCCTGTTCAGTCCTCGAAGAGCCTGGGTGGTCCAAGAGGTGGTGGCTTTGGTGGTTGGTGGCTAAGAGGGGTGCCCATAGTTGGTTAACTCCTTTGTACCTTTGTTCATTGTGGGACGTGCTTCGGGTCTTTCCTTAGGAGCGCAGGCCAGGAGGGTGTTTCTGCCAGCCAGGGTGCTGTCCGAGCCATGGTACGCGGTTCGCCTTGGTAACCCTTAGGGTTTTTAACGGCCAAGACAGTGCTTGAATGCGAACAGCACCGGTGATCTCTTCGGATTCACCGTAAGGTACATAAGTTCATGACGACGCTTCCACCACGATGCATATTAAGGTTACACACGCGCACCTGTGTGATCCACCCTTGACACCGTTGCCATGCCTTAGCCTGCACAGATTTTGCAGCCACGTTTGTGGTGGATATATCCTCAGGTAGCATTGCCCTCCACTGTTGTGTTTAGGCTGAGGGTGGAGCACTCCCGGAGGGCGCCGCAGCGGGCCCTGGCGGTGAATTGGTGGTAGAGAAGGTGGTGACGGTGCCCAAAGCACTCGACGCCGCGTTCTTGGAGAAGATGCGGCGTGACATGGAGGAGCAAATGAAGGCAGAGCTTGCCGCTAAACAGGCTGCGGCGCTGAATGAGGAGCAGCTGCAGAAGGTAACTGTTTCACAAGCGCTCTAACCTTGCTTTGCTGCTGGGATTTCTGGGATCTAGATGTCATATGCGCTCAGGCAGGCCTTCACTGCAGCGAAGCCCTTTCTCCCCAAGGTTACTTGCAGATGCATGTCGATTGCAGGTGAAGGAGGAAGCTGCAGCAAAAGCCAAAGCGGAGGCTGATCGGCTGGCGGAGGAGAAACGGAGGGCCGAGGAGGAGGCAGCTAAGATGCAGCGCAAGCAGCAAAAAATCAAGGAGGAGATGGAAAAGAAGTCCCACGATGCGGAGCAGGTGAATGACGGCGTGGGGCACCACGAGGGAAGCATACGTCACTATCAGGCATGCATGGCAGGGCATGCAACCCTTGGCTGCGTATCCGTGTAGACCTGTTAGGGAAGATATGCTTATACACGACCACTTTCAGTGACGGGCCTTCTTCCCCAATGCCGGACTATGTCACCATGTAGATCCGTGCAGAGAAGGAGGCGCTCGCTAAGAAGCTCAAGGCCATGGAGTCTAAAATCTTAAAGGGAGATGCGGCGGGCGGCCTGGCGGAAGTCACGAAGAAGAAGGAAGAGGAGCTTAAGAAGAAAGAGCAGGAGCTTGAGCGCAGGTATGAGCAATGGATCTCTAGACACTGCATCCGAGAGTTTGGGAGTTGGCACACGTGAATCAACTGCTCGTGGCCTACAAATGTTTCAGCATGTGGCTAAGGCCGAAGTTGTTGAACACGTTAGTGCTCGCATTGTATGTAAACGTGCTTGCAGTGTACGTAGTGCGTGCTATATCTGCATTGTTGCTCTTAAGGCCTATGAAAGCCCTGTGTGCTACAGCAGCATTGAGGCTGGAGCCCATGGCTCCTGCAAACCCTGTCGCAATCCGCTAGGCGGAGAGAGGAAGATGAGCGAAGGCAGAAAATTGCGGCTATGGAAGAGGCGCAGTTGGCTGCAGAGGAGAAGTACAAGGACAAGGCAGACGAGGCGGAACAGAAGACCAAGAAGCTTAAGAAGCTGTGGAAGAAGTTTCAGGAGGTCAATGCCGAGGTTGAGGATATGTACAAGGAATTCCAGCGGGAGAAGGTAAAGTGATGGGTGTTTATATAGGAACAACATATTACGTGGTTTTAGGGTTTGGCATTGAGGCCGTTGGGACGGCCTGCATGACTTGTAACGCCAGTCAAGGCTACCGGCATCTGCGTTCATCTGTGAGAAGCATTACGGCGTGAGCCGCTCGCCCCCACAGGAGGACTTGCTGGAGAGCATTCGAATGCTGCAGGACCAAATGCAGCTCAAGGACATGGTCATCGAGGCGTTCATCCCGCCGGAGGAGGTGCAGAAGGTGCGACGCCAAGATGTGTAGCATCGTGCTGTACCCTTACCTCTCAGTAGCGCTGAATACGCAACAACTCGATCGCAACTTGACTCAGGCTTGAAGTTTTTTGAACTATGTATAGTATTTGCTAAATTGACGCTTGCCCGTCGGAAGTCCGTTAAATGTCCTACCTTGCAAAATTGCCAGGTCATGAAGCGCGCGCACTGGGATGACGAGAGGGAAGTCTGGGTCTTAGAGCGGCTAAGCGATATTGGCAAGCGTGAAACGGCGGCTGGCAATTCTCGCCGACCGGTGTCGGCATCAGGGCAGCGCCGCCCCACGTCAGACTTTGCCAAGCTGGCTAACGCCATGGGCGACATGAACCCACGATTCAAGTCCGAAAACATCCTGAATTTGGAGCTAGATCTGCCAGAGCGCACAACGTACGACTACGAAGGTCCGGGTGTGGATCCACGCGTGCAGGTGGGTTGCAGCTCCGGACATGGATTTATCGAACATCTGAATTTTGCCAGGTAAAATTCTTCGCAGGCGGGGGCTAGGGTATTTCTTCAATTTATTGCGGTATCCTATGCTAATGTATCAATCTAACGAGCAACGTGTCAATCCACACAGGCTGCCATCAACGCCGCGTTCGCAGAGGACGGAGAATTTATCTTCGTAGGTTCGGAGCAGAACGTACACCTCGGCGAGGTTACCGCGAACGTAGCTCAACGTCCAGATTCCGCAAAAAAACGACCTGCCTCAGCTCGCAAGGGCACGAAGGCCTCACGTTGACGATGGTTTCTTTTTCGGCACTGTGTAGCTAATGGATGGCAATGCTGAGGATGGATGTACATATACAAGGACAATAGCCAAGAGTAATTACAGGACATGACTTTCGCCGAGCAGGTGTGCGATATTAAGATCGAGTCGACGATACAAATATGCGTAGCGGGTAACCGAGCGTGCCCTTTTAGGTACCGGACTTGCAGGATCAATAATCCGCCACACACTTTTGTTGTACAGCGCAGCGGTAATTGCTGCCAAATGTGGCACACTTATAATCTCTTGTAAATCATGTCAAGTGGGAACAAGTCACGCTGTAACCATGGACGAATGAAGAATGAGGCACTCGCTACAACACCCAGTCACGAAACACAGTACCCCCCACAGGCATGTGATGAGGTAACACTCTCATATAAAGTGCATGAATGATCAATTCGCGCTTCCTAAGGTTTAAGCGGTCGCCTGCTTCAGGTAGGCTATGAGGTCCGCGCGGTCCTCGGGCTTCTTAAGACCAGCGAAAACCATTTTGTTGCCCGGCATGAACCTGTTTGGGGGGGTCGGCAAGACATCAAAAGTCAGCTAAGTGAATTAAACCCGTTACCCTTGCTCAAAGCTTACGAAGACGTCAAAGCTGTGGGGCCGTCACTTCCACATCTCCGACATCACGGCGTCATCAAACACATCAAAAGTGAATGGTCATAAACCATTGCGCAGTGCTTACTTCTTTGGGTTCAAAAGGTACTCATAGAGTGTGTTCTCGTTCCACTCGACGGCCATCTCCTTGTTTGCCTTGGAGTACGCAAAGCCAGGAGCAGTGCCCGAGATACGGCCAAACAGTCCGCCCAGGTTAGGACCCTGCGCAAAACGTAAAGGAGTTTCATGCTTCAACCCCTTTGGGTCCAAAAGCGTCGTCCCAGAGGCAGACAGGACAGCTGATGAGAATCGACCCTTCACTTCTCGCGCGGGCGGCGCGCACCTGCTTGTGACCGGCACCTTTCTCAGCAACGTGGCACTGTGCGCACTTCGTCTTAAAGATCTTCTCTCCGTTGGCAACGTTGCCCGCGGGAGCGTCAGCGAAGGAAGCCATAGCGTCGGACCGTTAATAGACCTAGAACGTCAGTAAAGTCGGACGTTAATCTCTGCGAAGTAGTAATAAAGACATGTTGTGATGGTCTTAAATTCTTTGTATCGATCGTTGAAGAACCGTTGTATACGCACCATCGTACATTGGTCACGCACCGAACCGTCACGTGCATAAAACTCATAGCGTCCGTATGCAACGCCATTTCGGAAGCGCCAACATCCAGATAGCCGGAGCATAACTGCTCGATGGGGGAATCCAACTACCTAATGACTTTCGTTCCACCGTGTCAAAGGTTCACAGCATGTCCTAATATGTTGGTATAAACCTAGAAGACCATGGTTTCGCATAATTCTTAGCCAGACAGCTCGGCATACACCTTTCTCGCTAACATATCGCCTGCCCTAGCTCATGTTGGTTCTTGATAATAGGCATGATAATAGGTACACGATAGAGCGGCACAAGTGGCTATGAAAAATCCTGCGTCGTCACGGCTAGGTCATCAGTGCGTAACATGTTGGCGTGCCGTTATCATCAAGCAATTCCAATTGCACTGGCCGTTCCCGCACTTATAAGCGTTCCTTGAATCCTGGTACATTACGGACTTAGTGAAGTTGACACCACAAACGTGCCAGGGCAGCACTGTCACGCTCCGGGATATACTCAGAGCCACGCGTTCGCTTACAATCGTCACATAGCCACACATTGACAATCACGACCCCCGCGGCCTTCTATGGCCGCGTACGCAGCACTGCTACCGAAAATCCAATGTAACTGCAGGGCCCAGGCAAGGCGCCAGCGTCTCGCAGCCCCACAACGGACGCAAAATAAACCGCAGCTGCAGGGCCTCTGTCGGCCTAAGGAAGTCTCCCATAACCACACGGAGAATCACTCGCGCGCCAACCTGTGATGATTCCCATCCGCTGCTCCCTTCAGCCACTCTTGGCGTCAGAATGAACGTCGTCGGGCTCGCCTCAAGCCAGCTGGGGAGCGGGGCCAAGACGTGCGGGCCCATGGTCGCGTCTGGCCGTCGTTCGGTCATAACTTGTACAATGAAGGACCCCGAGCCGCCGTTCGAAAGATCCAGATTGAAACTGCTGTTGGGTCTTAGCTCTAACCTTGACGCGGACACCTGCACCAGCTGTGTCTGCTGTCGTGCCAGCCCCACGCCTCCTTGCGGTGACAGGACAGCCTGGTGCACTGCGAGTGCGGAGGTAAGGCTGTGCCGCCGCTTTTGCTCCTGCGGGTATGGTGTACACACGGCCATGGTGCACACCCCGTGCGAAAATCCGGGAGCAGTGGAGGGGGCCGAAACTGGCACCGTGAGAGCTCCTGGCGTTGTGACGACACGGCATCACATAACTTGTCAAGCCTTTTCAGCACATGCACAGGTGCATACAGCGTGCTCCCTAATTTGGTTGTTGCTTTCATGTATCCAATACAAGAGCCATCCAAGACGGCAACCGCCGGTGAAAAGCGCCATTGAACCCGCAAACAGTGTGTGATTGACTCCGTTTCCAACTGACTTGTGGCCTCGCCACCCACCTGCTCGTAGCCCGGAAGCTGCACCTGCAGCAGCGCGAACACCGGCTTGTGGTCCGAATCGGTCACGTCCAGGACGCAGTTGTAATCGGCGGAGCTGTCGATGCCGACGACGACCTCCTCCTCAGCTACGTCTGCCACGCATTAGGCAGCGGTCAATGGGTTTGAGGGTTGGAGGTCAAGGACTGTGGACTAAGGCGAGTTAGGAAGCGCTGGCAAATCATCCGATGGCATAGACCTTCCCGACCAGCTTTCGCACCGGGAGCACAGGAAGCACATGCTGGCATGAGGGACGGTAAGGATAAGAACACCCGAACGCGATGCGGCAGGTGGGGGGACCTGCAGGAGGGCAGCAGCTGGGCGCAGCTGAACATGCGAATGCAGCAGCCAAGGAACGGGACATGTACACACACACCCAGTTAGGAATGTGAACGTGAGAGCAAGAACGGCCTCCCGCAGAAGCAGTGAATGGTTGGCCCGCAACGCCCGGCTCCCAATCCCGCCCCAATTTTAACAGCTTCAAATACGAGATGCTAATATGTAGGGTCTATGGCTATATAACAACGCCCTCCCACTCAGCCACCTTCACCCCCACGGCCCTCACCTAGGCTTCCCGCCCGCGAGCCGCGATAGAACACCCGGTCCGTCCAGGCCGGTACGCGCTGCTTCTCGCTCGAGTCGAATGGCAGCTCCAACCGGCCACGGGCGCCAGGCTCGGGCGACGGAATGACCCTGTGCGGGATGCCCTTATCGTACTTGTACGTCGGTACAAATACGGGGTGGCCCTGCGGTAGCGGCTCTCGTAGGCCGCGAAATATGACGCCCTTTTCCATCTCAATGCGGCACTGATCAAGCTGGAATAGATGCGGAAGCGCCCCGCTGCACGACCATTCGCACACCTCCGCGTACGTGCCCTTTATCCGGTAATTGAAATCGCCCGCCCACACGAGCAGCGCCGCGTCGGAAAGCCCAGGTCCGTGGCCGTCATCTTCAGCCTCCGAGGAACCAGCGCCGGCCGGGGCTGTGTTAGGGTTCACTGAGCCGTCGAAATCCGATTTTATGTCAACCTCGCTGACTTGGTGCAGCTGCTGCTGCTGCCGCAGCAGTTGCACCTGATTCGCTGATTTGCTGGTATTGTCAAAATGCAGCAGGCGAACAATCTTGTTGTAATTTTCGTTGCGCTCCTCCACGTGCTCCTGGTGCGCTGCGAAATGGGAGCAAACGAACATCACCCGGCGCCTGCAGCGGAACGCGTGGCCAATTGGCATAGCCGGGGACAAGAGCAGGGGGGAAAGGAGGGTCAGCAGAATGCCAGTTAAGGCGGTTCACGAGGTAATCCCACAACCATTCAAACAGCCTAAAAGTTGTCGTGTGTGAAGTCAGTTGCATTTCGGTCCTCATCCCTCCAGCCTGCGTTATTGGTCTGGAGGCGGTCTGCCAGGGCACATGACACTGAACCAGCAGCATGATCGATACGTCAATATCCTGATCGGCCAGTCCCGGTGACGCCAACCCTCCCGTTGCTTCCGTACCAACCCAGCGCTGCATTCCCTCCGGCGCGCGCTCCTCACCCTTCGTATCCATCTCGCCATCCCCGCCGCCTTTCCCCCTCCTGGCCCCTCTCCCGGCCACCCAGGCGCCGCACCTAAACACCGACATGGACACCGCCACGGCGCCCTTGTTGCCCCCCACTCCCATGACACCACAGGCTACGTTGGCCGTAGCCACCTCGCCCACGTGCTGCTGTAGCTCCGCCCGACAGAACACCACAATCACCAGCCCCGACATCTGCCGCAGCGCCACCCGTTCCCAGGAGCCGCCCGTGGCAGCCAGCAGGGCGGCCGCCAGCTCCGTGGACCACCATTGCGCGTTCTGGTTACCGCGCTCCTGAGAACGACACGACACGCACAGGACATACGGCATGAACTTCAGAGTCTAGTACAGATAACAGGCACACGTGCGCACACGTGTTGGCGGCTCATCATAACGTCCACCAACGGTAAGGTGCGACACAGACGAAGACGTTTTGCAGAGCAGAGAGGAAGGTGTGGGTTGTGTGGAATAGTTTCGTCAACCGCTCAGCGAGAGTGAAAACGGGAGGAAGTCTTGTGGCGAGGGAAAATGTGTGACGCTGCCGACCTGGAGCTGCCCCGCCTGTGTCGCCAATCCGTGAGCAGTGAGACGCCGCACGCTGACCAGGGCCTGTCGGGCCAATTGGGCACCTGTTCTGTCCGGCCAATGTTTCATCCCATCAAATCTAATATTCGTAAACTTCGGCTTTTGCTCTCCCCCGCGGTCTCGGCCTGGAGCGTACCAGCATGCTCTTGGACAGCAGGGTGACGGCCGCGTCCCAAGCCACACTGCTAGTGCCCACCTCCACCTCCTGGAAGGGAAGGGTAGGGGTGAAAATTCTAAGGGACCAAAACAGAGGAGCGCTCCAGCGGACAAGTTCCACACGCGTGGGGTGGCCAACTCCTGAGGTGCACCGAGGCATCAGGGGCTTTCCAACGGCGACGAGGAAACCCCCCTGAGGGCCTCTTACTGGCAAAGCGCCCGTGGCTCCTGAGGTGGGCCCTCGAATGACCCGAATGCTAATACAGCAGATTGCCGACCGGATTGCCTGTGCTAGGGCATTCCCCGCGTGGGGACGGGGCGGCCTAACATCTGCGGCTCGCAGGATTATCGACCACAGGGTTGTTGCGGAGACCAGGTAGGAGCGCACGTATGGTGGAGATGACGGCTCACCTGCAGCGAGATGGACACTATGTCCGCCTTGGCTGCGGGCTCCAGCCACTTGCGCAGCGACTGGGACGCAGGTCGTGTTTCGTTGACGTTCCATGTGGCCGCCAGGATGGTGAGCCGGTGAGGCTGCAGGCAGGGCAACAGCCCATTCTGCAAGCGGTGGGAGAGGAGGGGGCCCAGGAATGAGGAGGTGAGGCGGCTTGGGCGGCGCGCCGCGGCTCCAGCGCGGTGCCGGCTGGACGTAATGACGAGCGACTGGTAAGAGGCCCTGTCCTTTCCCGTCATGGTAAAATGTAGGTTAAGTGCTGGGGGGTGAGTGAGGTGCGTCTTCCGCAGCTTGCCCCGCCCTTGTCCCTGACAAAGTACCGCGGCAATCACTCGTGAGGTGCGAACACGGGGGCCGCCAAACAACTCAGGCGGACAGCTCCAGATCCCTGCCCCCCCACTGACTGCGCTAGCAATGGCTATTCCCCTATATACCCGCCGCACTGTTGTGCCCTACCCGCCACGCCAGCCGCTGTGCCTCTGGCGGCGCCACTGCCGGCCAGCCGCGCACACTTCCGTTCTCCGACAGGCTGTACACCAGCGCGCTGCCCCGGCCTGTGCTGCCCGTATCGTGCGCCAGCCTCACTACGGGGAAGTCGTGTGCCTTCCAGGATTGGCTGAGCTCCCCCGAGGCCGCGGAGGCGGTGCGGATCGCGCCGTCGCCGCACCCCAACCACAGCCGCGACCCCACCAGTATGGCGCTGTACAGCTCCACACGGCGCCCGTAGTCACGAGTCCATATCAACCTGCGTGACGTGGACGTGGGAGGGTGAAGATGATCGGTGCGGACCGGGTATGGAAGGGAAGATGGAGAGGGAAAGCACAAGCGGTTGGATTGAGAGCCATTCAGAGCTTGAGATGCGGTACGGTGTGGTGGGTTGTGGTGAGGTGGCCAGGGCCTGTACTTGCCCCTTCTCTCACGTCGCTTGAGACTTGAGGCTGCGGGGGCCTCGGCCTCATGTACGTGCTCTGTGGGTTGCGCGCCCGCAGGACAACGGAGCAACAAAGCACCGGTATCACGCTGCCACCGTATCACGCCCTAAGAAACCTGGGAAGGGTTCCCCCAGGCACTGGCACCGCCCGCCCTATCCCAACCACTCAACCCCCCCTCACCCACATCCCGTGTGAGACCCTCACCCACATGCCCCACTCGCTGTACTTCTCCAGCACTCCCCGCCGGTACGCCACATACACCGATTGGTCCAGACCAGGAATCAGCGCCACCACCTTGCCTCGGGACCCCGTGCCCGTGCCGTACAGCTCGTTGGCTGGCCCTGCCTCCGTGGCGGCGCCAACCCCTGTGCTCTCCTGAGGTGACCCCCCCCCCGGTAGGACATGGGAAAAGGGCCTCACAGCGCAAACATGGCAAGCTACGCAGGTCGGAGGCGGGGAATGGGAGAAGGGTGCGGGTACGCGGGAGGACTCGAGAGGGAAATAGGAGTAAATAGCTCCTGGCTGACTGACACGCAGCAGGTGCGGTATTCAGCAGCCATGTACAGCCCGCGAGGTGTCCGGTGCAGCGGCTGGATCCCTTCCGTCTGTTTCCGTCCCTAGTTCGCCCGTACTCCCCCAGCGCTGACCTCTTAAGAGGTGCCTCCTGTTGCACCATAACTCCCCACATCACACATGACGCCCGTTGCATTACCCCACCCGCCTCCTGCACTACCCCCATCGCCCTTGCCCCATCCTTCATCCATACAGGGACTCACCGTAAAGTTCTGGCGGATCTTCTTCCCCAGCTTTGCCGCCAGTTTGGCCGCCCCCGCCAGTCCCTTGATGACCTGCTGGCCCAGGTCCAGGTCCGGGTCCCCCGCCTCCGCCTCCTCAAAGGACTCCAGCAGCTGACGGGGAAGGAAGGGTCGAGTGATGAGCGCCGCCTCCAGACCCTGAGGCAACAGAGGCCGCGACGACGGTAAGCGGTAGTAGTAACGTGTAACAGTACGGGCAGCGACGGGGCTGCTGCAGGGCGAATATGAAGAGCGACATGCGAGTGACGGCCGCGGAGGGCGGAGGTGGAGCCGCGGGTTAGGAAAGTAGGGAAGGGACGAGCGACGCGCATGCACACCCGCACCCCCCGCCACACACACACACACACACCGGTGCACCTGGGAGACAACAGCTCAGCAGTGGAAGAGTCAAATGTGCCGCGTGAAACCCGTGGTGCTCCACCCCGACAGCGCAATCGCAGTAACCAGCCAGCGCGTGATCAGGTATAACAACGCGTAAGGTATAAAACAGCCACTTCTGTGCTCGGCTTGCCGCACGGACATCCGAGCCCCCCCTGCTATCAACCTGGCATAAGGGGTTGTGAGGGACGGGTAGAGAAAACAACCCTACCTTACCCAGCCCAATCCCCGTTGCCGCAAGACTATAGCCCCAGTGCCCGCCAGCCGCGACTCACCGTCCGAGGGTTAATCTCCAACTCACCGTCCGAGGGTTAATCTCCACCTGCTGTTGCGCCGCGCCGCTCTCCCTGTACAGTGCGCCTGTGTCACCCGCGTACACCCCCGCGCCCCCTGCCGCCGCCGCCGATGCCCCTCCCTGGCGGTTGGAGTCCTGCTGCAGCCCCGGCGTCAGTGCACCCAGGAACTCCCCGTCGTATGCGGCCCACAGCGCCATGCCGGTGCGGCCCGCGGACCACACCACGCGGCCACTGGGTCCCAGACATAACAGCCTAGCCTTGCTGTGGGGGCGTTGGGCGTTGGTGCGTGCGGCGGAGCCCATGGCTGGCTTGCAGCGCCGGCACTCGAACAGCTTGATGGGTGGTCGTGAGGCTGCACGGAATGTACCGCAGTAGAGGGGAGGACCTTATGGATCTGATAAGGACACGACGCGGAGGATGCAGCGGAGGATACAAGCATACACACATGGCTTGGAGACGGAGGTTCCTCCAAAGGAGATCTGCCAGCACAACCAGCCGCCACCGGGGGACAGGGCCCCGGACCCCGTGCCCTATCAAATGAACCCCCAATACCCCTAGGCCTCACCTCCTGCCTCCTACCCGCCCACTCCCTCCCTGCTCACCAGGCAGGCCCCCCTGGTACTGCCAGGCCCGGATGGTGCCCCCCGAGGAAGCGGTCCACAGATCCCCCCAGGGGGTCAGTGTCATGCTGGTGATCTTGCCACGGACGTGCGCCTGGTGGAGGTGGAAGACATGGCGGCATCAACCGGTGGGAGGAGCAGGAGAAAAAGGAAGGGGCCACCAGCAGCGGGCCATAAGGTTTTCAGCCTAGCGAGTGACGTCCGCCAAGCGAGGAGAAAGCTCTACACGCAGACCCAGGATACAGCCGTTACATGGCTAGCTGGGGGACGCCTTGCCCCACGCGTCGCACGGCGTATCGTCACGCCCCTCGTTGAGTCGCCCCTTGAAGCCCCCCCAGGCTTGGGCAGGCAGAGACATCACAGCCAAATGGCACCACCTCCCCAACGAGCCCGGCTAGCCTCCACTGATGTAGGCTTCAACCAGCCATACCCACCCATCTTGCACCCACCCACCCACCCACCCTCCAATGGTGCTCGTACACGGCCACTCTGCCGGGCTCCACGCTCCAACGCACCACACGGCCGTCCTTGTGGCCTGCGGGGGGGAAAGCCAGGGGACAATAAGAAGGGGGGAGAGGATGAGGGAGGAGGAGAGAGGCGGTCCTGTTGCCAAAGCACCTTGGGAGGACTTCAGCAGATCCGCAGAGGAGGACGACATTGGGCCGCAAGCTTCTCCGTTGGGAACCAGAAGGGGCCGACAAGGCCCCCAAGTTGCGGTGCAATCGGCACTTGCGTACCAAGGCACCGGGATGAGGAGCCCGTGGGGAAGCTGCTTGCCCTGCCACTTCACACCCTAACTCCCACCCTGAAGCTCTCAACCCCGCTTATCTCTCTCCGGGGAGAATCGCCACAGAGTATACCTCCCTCACGTGCCAGCTTAGTCGTCGTCCTCCTCCGCCTCCTCCTCCTCATCATCATTATCATAATGATCATAACGATCATCACAATGATTTGCTTCCTTCCGCTCCTCAAGCGGCACCACTAAGCCCCAACCGCCTATCCACCACCCGTTTCCCCCTCTCTCCCTCACCCGTCCACAGACTGCCGCTGACGTCATCCAGCAACATGCAACATGTTGGCTGCACGTCGGAAACCGGGGGCGCCAGCAGCACCGCCGCCGCAGGTGCCGAATCCGCGTCCTCTGTACAGCGGGGGGCCAGCATCACTGACCCCGTCCCCGACCCCACCGACATGGCGAAGCGCGGCCCCGACCCCGGCTGCAACCACCACTGCAAAGCGGCCACTCCCTCTGTGCCAGGGGCCGCGAACAGCAGCCCCATGCCCGAGACCAGGCGGCTGGGGCATGCGGCATCTTTGGGCTTCAGAGGTGGCAGCCGTACCTCTACACAGATCTGGTCCGGCGGCGGCTGGGCCGCCGACCTGGCCGATGCGGCGAATCGGTACGGCGAAGAGCTCGGAGCAGCAGCGGCGGAGGGAGGGTCATGTGACTGTGGGGGACCTGCTGCGCAGCCGTCGGCGTCGTCAAAAGCGGTCCAGGCATGTGTGTTGCTGTGCCGAAGGGGCACCACGGCGCGGTCGAGGGCAGGCTCCGCAGCGGACGGCAAGGCGACGGCCTCTTCGTACGATGGCGGTGGCGGCGGCTGTGCATCGGGCATACCCAAGGCTTCAGTGTACGGCGGCGGCGTCGGCAGGCAAGAAGTTGGGCCCATGAGAAGCGAAGAAGCGAGGTCGGTTCCCTTATCGGCAAGGGAGTATGGTGGCGGCGGGAGCGACGGCATCAGCGCCTCGGAACGCGACAAGTTTGGTTGGCCCTGAGATGATGGCGGTGATGGCTTGGCGGCCGGCGGGTGGAAGGAACTAAAGCTGGTTGTGTCAACGACGCCAAATCCCTGCACCAGCACAGCCTCGGGGACTGGTTGTGGGGCGGACAGCTGGGGAGCCCTTACTGCTAGTGGCTGCATGCTGGGGTCCAAGCCTGCTGGCGGCGACGGCGCAGCAGCCGTGGCTGCAGCAGGCACAGCCGGCACTGTGGCCGCCAGTGCAACCGCCCGGTGCGGAGGCGCTGCCGCTGCTGCAGCCGCTGGTGATTGCGGCTGCTGGCTGTAGAGCGCCGCAAAGGAAGGGAACATGGACTGTGGTGCTGCCGGTGCGGTTACCGCCGGAGCTGCGGGGCCCTGACCCGCCGCCAGGAGCCCATCGGCGGGTGGTCGCCGCAGCCCCAACCCCGCCCCACTCGCCGTCATTGCCGTGGCCCCGGTAACTGCTGCCTGGCCCGATACTGCCCCGGCCATCCCCGCACCCGCAGGCGCCACAGCTGCAAGACCCGGCGCGGCCGGTATTGCCCCCATCGGAACAGCCCCTGGCGCCGCGGGCGGTGAGACCGGAGAAACCGAAGAAGCCGAAGGCGGGGAGCCCTTGGAAGCTGCCATGGGCGGCGGCCTGGGCAGGGCGGGCTTTAAGGACAGGTCCGCGAAGGGGTCCAAGCTGCGGGCCGCCGCCGTGGCCCCAAGCGGGTTGACACTGGAGGCAAACGGGTTGCTGCTGCTGGATGGCAGCACTGCTGGTGGCGCAACATCCGACCCAAATGGGTTGGCGGCCGGCGGGCCAGCTGCCCCGCGGAGCGCTGACGTAGGCGGCCGTTGCAACCGGTGAATGAAGTTCCCTGATTCCGCCGAAGCGCCTGGCATTGGGAGCGCGGGTGGGCTGGTGCCGGGCCCTCCAACACCCGCACTGAGGCTAGGGCTTCTCACGTTGGCGGGTGCAGCGGCGAATGCAGGGCCGCCACCATGCAGAGCAGCAAAAGAAGGGAATGCTGCAGACGGCGAGGCAGAGGTCGGTGGCGCCTGTGGGGAGAGGTTTGCGGCGGGGATATCCGCCCGACCGTGAGGCCTGGGGAGTAATGGCGCCGCGCTGTTGACAGGCCCTGATGCTGGTGCTACTGCGGGACCTGGCGGTGGTGGTGCTGTTACCGTTGATGTTGCTGATGTCGTTGTTGTCATTGTTGTTGCTGTTGTTGTTTCCAGGGGGACGGCGAGGTGCTGGCTGAAAGTTGCCTGGGGAGCTGATGCGGGTGCGCCTGGTGTGGTGTAGTGCGTGGCCCAACTGGCTGAGGCGCTGGGAGGTGCACCGTTGGCAACGGCAGGGCAATCCGTTCCAAGACCAAACCCACTGCTGTCATCGTCGAAAGACACCCAACCCGTGGACGCGGCGAAACCTTGGGGCTGCATGGCGACTACTTGGGAGAAGAACGAAGGTACGGCCGTCTGGCCGAGTATGCCCAGGGGCTGCCATAATACAGCCAAGGGTAAGAGGCCATAAGGAGGAAAGTGAAAGGAGGGAAGGCAAAGGGAGAGAGTGACACACACATAACGTGGGCGGACAGGTGGGGTTGGCCCCCTGGCGGCAAGTGTGTCCAGGGACCCGTGCCCAACTTGCCGACCTGTGTTTCACCAAGAAGCTGCAGCTCCTCTCCCGATAGTCAGGAATGTTAATAATTTACGCGTTTCCAGTTAAAGCCTGGGCGCCCAGAACGCCAGCCGAGCTCTCCCATGCAACTATGCAACCATGCAAAAAGACTCTTTATCACCTCTGCATTAAATAAAATGACTATCCTGGTAGGATAAGGTAAAGAGCACTATAGATTCCCCTATGCCAGCTGCAAATCTCTACAATCAGAAGCAAGCGCCGAGTGTTTATCGCTCAGAAGATGTTCCGCCTCCTCATGTGTGACACAGCTTATAACAACCATGCTCGCGGCACCGGATATTTGCAGGTCCTCCCATTTCCTGGTAAGGTACGACAAAACTGTCTTTGAGAATGCGTAAGACGAGCACCTTTCCTTCACACCAATCCCCTACAAGGCATGCATAGTCGTTTGGTACCTAAAAGAGTCAGGAAGAAACTTTTTATGCCGGGACAAAGGTGTAAGCTAGGTGACCATGCCCGGAGAAATTGCCCGGATAGTGCCGTGCCATGAACCTGGGGTGTATTATGTCGGCAAAGATACATGGCAGGTGGGCATGGCTTCCTGCCACTCCGGCCTGGTCCCGCTGACGTCGGAAGCTCACGGTCGAAGCAACCATCCGGCCAGGTTGGCGCTCGCTATGATCTTCAAAAGGTTCTTGGGACGGGATCATTTTCTGCGGTATGTCTAGCTCACGACAACCTTGAAGGCGACAAGGTGCGATAAGCCGCTGGTCCAACTGTTAATTATTGGGATGTGCCAATTGCTAGTGAAGGCGACATCTTGTAAGGCATTCTCCCGAGATATCTGGGCTCGGTGCTCGGTCTCAGTGTGTGGACCCGCCTTCTAGCTTCGCGGCTGAAGGTCTTCCGCCATGCAACACGTTGATAGAAGTGCGGACAGCCGGAAGCGTCTTCCTCCGTGGCCACCTTGAGGAGTTAAATTGACGGCAAATCATATAATAACTGGGGCAAAGCGTGCATATACTGTGAAGACGGTTGTGGATCCACATGCGGTCGATAGTGCCGCGCACCACCCGACACGGACAGATTTTGGATTCTGCTCACCTTGGACGAAGCCATCGGGTTTAATCATGCCTCCTTAGACGCCGGGCACGCAAGTCGGTGTTCATTGCATCGTATCACCCTGTCTTGGACGCCGCTGTTGAAATCACTTCAACGCTTCAGCTCTCCTCCGTCCCTCTGTTGGTGCCGATCTGTAGGTAGCGCTGAAGCGGGTGGGGGATGTATTTGCAAGCCTGGAGAACGCCAAGCGGGTGCTGCGGGAGGTGTGCATTATGCGCCGCCTGGAGGTAGGTGTCAGTGGCCCGCTCAGCTCAATTGCCTCCATTCTTTCTACTATGACCATGGCGTCCGATTGTGTCTCCCAGCCCGGCGTCATTGCCAATATAGCTGGCTGCTCCAGGGTTACCGCACAAGGTACTAAACCCCGGTCCTCCGCATGTCCACCATTCCTCACCGCCTGGGCCGCAGCACACCAACATCATTCGCTTGAGGGACGTCTTTCTGAAGCCTTCGCCCACGGGTGAGGATCAGTGGTAGCATTGGCGGTAAAGCTCCATCACAGCTTAAGTGCTACTTGTAAAGCTCCATCACAGCTTAAGTGCTACTTGGGACATTGGCGAGGTTGAGGCCCTCCGGGGCCCAAGGCTGGGTTGCAGCAGCGCACAAAGGGCCCCCTCCTTATGTTGCTGGACGGCGCTATGGGTGTGTAAGTGCGAGCATGGACTCAGCCCTCGCAATTGCTGCGAATGACTCATTAGTCCGGTGTGCCGCAAGCGGCCCTTTCCCGCTTAGCTCATGACCATATGCTTTCGCATTCAACGTGCAACCAATGAAAAAAGATTCACAGACATGGCAGCTGGAAGGAGCAGTTGCAAGCTCTGGGATTGCTTTTAGGCGCCAGCCAGCGACCACGGCACGTGCTGTGAAGTGCAGTCGTGCCGCTGTTGCTACTTCAAGCAGAAACAAAGGAGCCCCTTTCCCCGTCCGCTTTTCTGCCTGGTACACTGCTGCCAGGGAAGTACGTGTTCCGAGGTGGCCGCCTGGTGCCCACCAGCTATGACTGCTACATGGTGATGGAGTATTGTGACCAGGTGCGAGGGAACAGAAGGTGTGGAAGGAATGGGACGTGCTTGGGAGGCACGTGACATGTGTAATTGCTTGCGTGCTGTGCGCATGGACTGGCCGGTATTTCTCCGGAGCCGAGAGCGGCCAGGAGAGCTGGCCCATTAGCACTTTATGCGGTGCTCCTTACGCGCGGCCTTGTCCCGTATGGTGATCCCGCCGCAGGGCGACCTGTTCAACATGCGTGGTCAGCTGCCTGAGCACGAGGTGCGCAGCCTTATGTGGCAGCTGCTGAGTGCGCTCAGGTGGGTGCGCGCAGGCCTTTGGGCGGGGCCTGTGTAGGGACAGCTGAGTGGTGTCACAAGATTGCACACCGGCCAGGGCGGGGATGCCTTAGGCTGCTACCTTGCCATGCCTATGTCGCCAACCCACGAACCGAGGATAGCTAGGCGCACAGCCTCTTAGGGTGTAGCTCTCACAGCCCATGTCACACACACGGTACCGATGCCTTTTGCGGTGCTTTGGCAGGTACCTCCACGGGCTAAATGTATGGCATCGAGATATTAAGACGGGAAACCTGCTGTTGACGCTGCACGAGGGGCGACGGTTGCTTAAGGTACGGTTGGCTGGGATAGGGTTGATTTAGGATGCCTGCTGGCGTTCAGGCTGTTGGGCGGTTGCACTGTCCCAGTTTTGCAGAGAGGCAGGGCGGAAGCCGGAAGCACAGTCGCTGCCCTAACTCGGAGGTTGGAGCCTCGGTGTACTGTGCCCGCTGTGCGTGGAATGGGCGGCAGAGTGATGTTAGCGCGCAGTAGTCGAGGATAGTAACCTTTGCAGCGCGCCCTCCGTTCACTCGACGTTGCAGGTGGCTGACTTCGGGTCGGCTCGTTCGGCGAAGGACGCGAGCGATGCGGGACCGGCAGCACAACTGAACGGTCGTGATGAACGGTAAGGCTGCGGGCCTGCGGCTGAGCGGTTTGGTACTGAGTTTGTTGGTCCGCAAGGCCTGGCTGATGAAATATGTAAAGCAGCGTCAAGGTCGTCGTCTAGGTACACTATGAGACGATTGAGGCGATTGCGGGCAGCAAAGGAGTTGGTCAGAAACATTTAATACTGTCAGTGTTACGGTCATGAGCTAGTCGAATCACAACTTAAGAGTACGCGAAGGGGTATGCACCTAAATGTGCTTGCACATTACCTACCTATTTCTTGGAGACCGACCGTCCTCGCAAGACAAGCAGCACATAGCGCACGAAATCTGCATCATCGAAAGTCGGCGGTTCCCCGCATCGGAAGCGCAGGCTCTGGGCTCGAAACTCAAGACCTCTTGTTCCCTGTGCGCACACCCGCAGCGCTTTCGGAGCTCATATCCTGTGAGAAAGGAAAAGCGCCCGGCCACTTACGGGCCGTATTGAGATACCTCAAACATCCCAGAGGTATAGGAGTGTTGATCACTCTCCAATACCGATGTTGTTGACCAGCTCTCCGACACCGTGTTGTGTCGGTGTTTGCATCCTGGGCCCCCTAGTGGCAGCCAGTCCCCGATTGCCAACCACCCATGAGCACGCGGCCCTCACGGCCGTGCATTGATACGGAACGTAAGGTTGCATTGACGGATTGCAATGGGGACTGCAACTGTAGTGCGGTGGTTATGGCTGCTTCCGGTTGCCGCTGCGCTCCTCGGTCCCCGCAAGTTAGCTCCCCGCCTATTACAGTTATGTTGGCCAGTGCGCTGCATCTTGTTTTTCCTGCTAACGTCCAGCCGAACACGCCTCCTAGCCCCTAGTGCATGGGCTCAGGGCTCAGTTGCTGTGAGAATGGAATCCTCTTACTCTGTCGCCTCTCTGTCACGCGCTCTTTCCCCACGCCTGCTTACTGCTTAACTGTCGCCCCAGCGGGACATCCAGTATGGAGCTGCCGTTACCTCTGGGGGGCTTTGACGGCATGGATGTTGAAAATGACATCTCAAGCTCCCCGCTGGGCCATATCGCCTCCGCCCCAGTTGGCCGCCGCGGCGGTGGTGACAGCAGCTGCGACGCCGGCGGCGAGGATGAGCGCTGCACCTCCGCTGGTGGCCGGCCACCCCGGTCCACGGCGGGTGCCGTGGGTTGCCACTCCACGGCCGGCGGGCTGGTGGCGGTGCCGGCGGCTGACGGTGGCTACCAGCCCCCTCTGACATCGCTGGTATGCACGCCATGTTACCGGGCCCCGGAGGTGGTGATGAGTCGAGGCGGCTACAGCAGCGCGATTGACATGTGGTCAGCGGGCTGTGTATTCGGGGAGCTGCTGCAGCGGGCCGCGTACCTTGGCAAGGCGTCGACACCGCACCTGCAGGTCGGGAAGGGTAAAAGGGGGCTTGGAAAGGTTGGCATGGCGAAAGAGTTAGGGTTGGCGCAAGGCAGGTCAGGGATGCGGAAAGTCAAAGACTGGTGGGGTACAAGACATAGGGCAGCTTGCCCGGGCGCATCAGGTTTTCTCACTCCTCGTGGGTGCGTTGATTTACCAACTTGGCAAACAAACGGAGGAGCGATGAAGAGGTCCATGTGTCCTTTCCTAGTGCGCAGGTGTGCAGGACACACGTTGATATGATGCCCTATGTGCCACCATCTCGCAGGTCGCGCCAGTTTTCGCCATCACGGGCAAGCCGTTGACGCCCCATGCCGGCCAGCGCTACGGTGCCGCGGAGCCGGGCGGCAGCGCATCTGCCTATGCCGAGCTGTCGGCGCTGTTCGCCGTGATCGGCAGCCCCGCCTGGGCTTGCATTGAAGCGGTGCCCAATGAGGCCTGGCGCCGCTACCTCTACCACATCCCCGGCAGGTGAGGCTGCTCCTCTGGAGGTCGCTGTCGTCGCTGCTGCAGCCAGCACCAGCATATGCATCGTTCTTGCCTGTACGTCTTCCCTGCACAACCCTCTGGTTACATTGGCTTATCCCCTAGTAATACGGTAAAGCCATACGTACTGCGTCCGGCTATATCTTTCCCGTTTCCGCCAGGGCCCCCACGCTCTACCGGCGCTTCAGCCAGGCAGGGGAGGTGGCAGTGGACTTACTGGCACGGCTGTTGCAGTTTGATCCGAGGCGGCGGGCCAGTGCAGAGGAGGCCATGGCGCACGAGTACTTTGCCATGTTGCATATGGAGGTGCAGTTGGCAGGTGGGGCAGGAGGGCTCTAGGCGTGCTGCTAAATGGGGGCTGGTGCGGTGAGCGAGACCGTGATCATGCTGCCACAACCCGCAAAGGTGTTTTACAGGTCCGGGCTTTCCGAAGCACCGAAACGGGTTTCCTTTGGTACGTCTTCCGGAGGCCTGTGCGTGCGCCCTGTATGTGGGTGTATGACGTGTTCGTCTGTGTTCCTCACCAAGTTGCGAGTCTCATCTCCGGGCCGGGCCGGACCAGGAACCGGGCTCTGAACGGTTACGTGAGCACTCTCTTTATTGCCTGCACAGCTGTCCAAGGATTTCCGCCATATCACATAACTATTACCAACCTCCATTGTCTGTCTGGTTCATGTCACACGCGTGGCCTTAACAAATCGCGCCTAATCCGTTTTGAACGCGATATTGTTTGGCCGTGCAGCCACCGGTCTGGCGCCTCTACAAATGTCCGGCCTAGGGCACGTCCGCAGCCAGCTGCACCGCAGGACAGCTTCGGGAGACGGCGACGAGGCGGCAAAAGCGGCACCGGCGAGCGCTCGCGGGACATCGGAGTCGTTGCTGGGATCGTCTCCGCTGCCAACATGGCCGCCGCGTCGTGGGCCATCGCGACGTGGCAGCGGCTCTGGAGGCTCAGGGCCGGACGTCGGCATGGAGCTCGAGGTGCAGAATGGCGCGGACAGCAGCAGGTCGGGCGTTGTGGCGGGCCGTGAGCGGGCACTGGGGTCAGCCATAGCCCTGCCCACAAGGCGCACCCTAAGCGCCCGGGTAGGGGTCTGTAGCTCGCTGCTCACCAAAAGGAAGCAGCTCGAGGATTCCCGGGAAGAGGAGTCTTCGGAACGCGAGGATGGACAGCAGCAGGGTTGGGCCCAGCAGCAGCAGGCAGTGCTAGCGGACGAGGGCGGGTCTCTTACGGACAAGAGCCCAATCAGGTTAGGTGGGCTGCAAGACAGCAGGGATTCCTGGCCCACCCCAGAAGGCCCTTCAAGAGCAGCACTTAGGAGATAGCGTTTTGATGGCCGCACAGCTCACACCAGAAGAAAAGCGGTGGCGTGCACCTACGTTTGTTGCGAGTCTGGAAACGGCTCAACCCCTAGTATGGCTCTGTTGTTGTCCTGCGTTGAGGTAGTCAGTCTTTTCCTCCCCATAGGAAAGAGCGTTTTAGTTTAATTACGTACGTGACCGCGTCGTGTCTCGGCAAGGAAGCGTCGTTGCCCTACGTGAGCGTGGCGGTAGGTGCTAATCCTGGCAGAGTCCCACCCTCGTTGCGCCCGGCACAGCTTCTGGCAAATTGACGAGCCGGCGCTCGCGCTGGCGGCTCTGGAAGCGGAGCTGGCGCGGCTGGTGCCGCCCGAAATGCCAGCCGCAGCTGCCACAGCGGGCTATGACAGCTCGAGGGCGGCCACAGCGTTGCAGACACCCGAGGCGCTGGCTTTCGTGGAGGATTGCAAGGAACGGCTGCGGGAGATGCTGGAGAGGGAGTGTGTGGAGCACGCTGCGCGGGCTGCTGCCCGGCGAGGAGCCGAGCCCGGGTTGCGGGGACCCCGGTCCTCCGGCGGCGGCTCGGCGGCCGTCGGCAGCGGCAGTGGTGGCAGCGTCCGGCGCAACCACTCGGACGGGCTGCTGGTGGGGCAGGACGGCCAGATCCTGGGCGGGGCGGCAGGAGCGGCCGCGCTACATGGTCATCTGCGCCCTGACCCCGGGCAGCAGCTTGATCCTTCCATTATAGGTGGGCGCGGAAAGATGTGGGGTGTCGTGCATATCTGTACAGAGTACCAGAACCCAGAACCCAGGTCAAGACGTCTTGACGCTGACAAATCTGAAGTGAAGCAGCTCGAGATCTTGCTGGCACCTAAGGTGCTATATAGCTGACGTGGCCATACAGCTAGGCTTGCCTACGTGTCACGTTCGGCTCCCGTGCTGTCTTGCGTGAGGTTAGCGGTGCTGAACCCCTGGTAGATTCCGCCGCTTGACCACCCTATTTCCTGTCTCCCACCAGGGTACGAGCGCATTCCATATCACGCCGATGCTGCCGCCGCCCGTCTGGAGCCGGAAAAGCACCTTTGGGCGGGCCGACACGGCGAGTGGACGCAGTCGTCCCTTGCCGAACAACGGCGGGAGGCGAGTACCGGCACCTGGGGAGTGACGCTGATGCCCCCGGGGCTCGATGCGGCTACGCCGGCTGGCAAGGCTTACATTGATGTGATGCGGTCGCAACATGCAAGATGATGGCTGTCTTTTGGCTCTTAGCAACTGCGAGCGCGTGGCACATTGTGCAGGTCATGGGAAGCAAATGCCGCCATTTGGGGGCCCTGCTTGCATTGCTTCCACAAGGCATAGATATCTTGTGGCCATTGCAAAGACCTGTACAATATAAAGGGCGGCTATGGTTCAGCGGTCAGTTGCATTCTGTACAATACGTGCATGATACGGGTGGGGTGAAGCGCGCCTTGCGCACGCCGTGACTGATGTGACTGTAGCTGCGCGGCCTAATGACGCAATCATCTCCGTGACCTACGTTGCGGTTAGAGACTTCGCCGTTAGACCAACCGAACCTGCATGAAAATCGGTTCGAGGACTGCAAGTAACGGCCGAGGTGTCTATCGGATTAGTCCGGCTGTCCTGTGTTGAGAGACGACGACGGCGGCGTCAAGTTTGTTTTTGGATACGCATCATTTTTTGGTTGTTGGTTTGTGTGAAAGCTATTAAGTTACGGCATTTCTTTGGTTCGGAGCCTACAGCAGAGCACGGTGGTGAAGAGAGAAAAGATGGGTAGTTGCTCCACGGTGTGTACCCTGTATATACCTCGTTATAGTTGCAAAGGCCGTAAGGCAGTCCAAACGGATTGACATTTAATTTGGCTGATGACATTAATTTGCAGGTGACATTTACAAACACAGCTGAACCATGTTAAAACATGGTATATATTTGTAACTGCCACGTTGCAATACCAACATTGCGCCTCATAAAACACTCTTTAATCGGCACCTTAATGCGTGCCCAGTCAACAGGCGCGCCAGCCTCAATCGACACGGCACACGCGCGTTTGGCCAAAACCCAAGCGACGTTGCAGCCGCGCAGGTGACAACCCCTCATGTCTGCATTTCTCAAGCCGACACCTATCGCATCGCTCCCTCATCGCCACTCGGCTTGCATAGTTTGAGCACCTAATGAACCACAAAAAATCCTCCCGCTCCGTTCCACACTCGACCTCAGCTTCACGAAACAGCATCCGGTATTTGTACCTAATGCTGCAGCTCCTCTCATGCCTTATCGCGCTACTACGGCGCATCCCATCCTCATCTAAGATATCCGCCCTGCGGCCAGACTGCACCTAACGCCCATGCTATAACCCACACAATTTATCCTAACCCCCTTGCGCTTGTCAGCTATGGATCGACCTGCAGCATCCATCTCAGCGAAAGCCATCAGAACCCCAAAGCGGAAACCCCTGCCTTTTTCAGTGCTCTAAGTCAAACAGGTACAATGCCGGCCAAACGCTCGGCCTTTAGCCAGTTAGCAAGGGACGGCTCATCACGGTCAAATTCGGGGTCTGCTTCCAGGAATGTGCCCGCCGCCAGCCCTACATCACCGCACATCTTCGCCAATCCCTGATCGCCCTTCGCGCTGCGCAGAACCTTAAAGGCCGCACCGCTGAACCGGCGCTTGGGCTCCACGGACGCGTCTCCCTCCATGAGCTGAGGCAGCAGATCCAGCGATGCAATGTTTCGGGATACGCACGAGCCGTAGAAGCGGCCCAGCAGTTGCGGCGCCTTGGGCACATCCATACTGGGGAGCGGAAAGGACATGCGGAAACGTGACTTGATAATTCAAGTGCCGTGAGTTAACATGGAAACCAAGCTTAAACACTCCTGAGTATGGAAGTTGCGCGCAAAATTCTTGTTCAAGGATCTACCGTTACTGCCGAAACGCATGACTCACCTGAGGTCCTCCAGTTGCGTAGTGTACGTGGTGAGCGCATCCACGGCGTTTGCACTCGTAATTGCGCCCGCATCGTGGAAGTGCAAGATCAGGTCCAGCAGCGCGTCCTGTTCCTTTTCTTTGAGCGAGTTGAACATCTGATCCAAGCCAATCTCCACCACCTGTGGCTCATATCGAACCGTGCAACATTTGCGCACAAATTGCTTGCAAACTTGCATGTACTCCAACAGAAGGGCACGGACGATTATGCCGTGTGCAACACGAAAACAGACGGGCCTGCAGTAGTGACAAAAGGAGAGGACCGCTTGCGGCAAGCCACTCCATTCACCCAACCCCCATCCTAATTGGCCATCGCCCTCACCCATACGGGCCAATAGGAGAAACGTGAAGGGCAAAAGCAACCTGATGCGCCAGTATGACATACAAACTACCTTGCCCTACCTTCGCGAGGTGTTGGGGCCCCAGCTCCCTTACGCAGGTGGTCGCCTCAGCCTTGTCCAGCGTGCTGGTGAACTCCTCGTACAGGTTCTGTGCCTTGCGGGCCACCTCCTCGTCGCTGAGCGCCTTGCCACCTGCAGCCGGTGCAGGCCTGCAGCATCCGTCCAACAATGGTCATATTGAGATAAGTTCAGTGAACACCAGGCACTCGACGCTCACGTAGGTGGAATTGTGCAGTGAAAAAACACCAAGCGCAGAGTTCCCAAAGCTGCCTTCGCGATCTGCCATACGACAGCTCCAAAAACAATTGATGGACAAAGGCCCCCGCGCCGTCATGAGCGTCCTTGGCAATAAGACGGATCAATTGGAGCCGCATTTGTTGCATGGTAACGACACCCCACTGCTGACATGAACTACGTTCGTCTAACAGGCAACCTTGTACGTAAATCGTGGATCCCACCCCACACTTCCGTCACCCTTTCTGGCCCACACCACCCACCTGGAAGGAGCTGGCGCTTCTTGTACCACCACTGGTACCTGCTCCTGTCGCTGCATCGGCAGCTGCACGCGTATTGGCGGCGGCTTGTAATCTCCCAGCAGCGCGCTACCGCGGCTGAAGCCCCGGTCCGCCCCCGAATCGCCACGGAACGCAGGGAACAGCGCCACGTCCGCTTCAGAGCGGAGCGGCGGTATGAGACCCAACGCTGCGTCGTCGCGGGCACCGGCGCCCATGCCCGCCAGGCCACCTGGACCCAAACCCATTGGCTCGCCGTACCGCGGAATCGCGCCAGGCAGCTGTGGTAATGACGCTGCAATGCTTGAGCTGATCATGCCCAGCTCTGCCTCCGCCTGCGCGCGCACTTCGTCCAACTTCTTGGCTGTGTAGGCCTCCCGACGCGGCACCCAATTCGCGCGTTTCAGCTCCATCACGTCCTTGATGGCCAAACGCACACGCGTCGTAATGCCATTAGCTTTATCGGTCATCAGCCGCTCCAGCTCCCGCATCACCTTGTCCAGCTTCTTCAGCGTTTCCTGCTTATCGCTCTTAGATAGCTTCGCTCCCGACAACTTGATGATTTCCAACACAGCCTACAGTGGGAAGGCATGCGCTGATGGAAGTCCCCAAAGTTCTTACCCTTGCACCTTCCCAGAAAGTGGAAAGGTTGGGCGTTCGCGGACAAGCAGTGCTTTGAATTTTGGATTTTATGCCGAAGCCGTTTGAATTCAGGCAGGTCTTTGCAAAACACAAGGCAACTGCGAGGAATCTGTGCAGCTTAACAGTTTGAAATGGCACGTCGACCAGTTCAGCCCCTTAGCCGTACTGGCCACGCTCCCTGCGCACCTCAATGTTATCCTCGGGGGCCGTCTTGGCCGACTTGGTAGCCCGTGCTGACAGCAGCTCGACAATGCAGGTCACCATGATCCAGTCCTTGACCATGTCCTGTTTGTAAAGCTCCGATATAAGGCGCATGTTACCCAGCACACGCTTCTTCACGCGCCGCTCCGCTTCCTCACGCTCAGTCGGATCGCTGATATTCGAGAGCTCCTGTGGAACCGGAGAATTTCGCAACGAGCACACCGCAATCATGAGGAAATCGGCTGTGCCCAGGCTCACGCCCTGACAAGAGCTTAGTTCTTCAACCATTGATTTGCACAACCCATTCAACACACATCAAAAGCCTTACATGTGCGTGCGAGAGAAGCATACTTGCTAACTGCCCATCAGCCTTGACTGAGGACCATACCTGCTCCTTTTGCGACACGGAAAGACCAATCCTTGCCCCGTCAAGGACACCCCCATGTCAACAGGTCCCGAGAAGAAATGCGAGTCTCCCGCATCTTTGTCCTCAACTTGACAGTCCCGCCACTGTAACTTGCTCCCTCGCCACGCTACAGGCATGCGGAAGAACTGCACCACCCCATACCTCGCGGGCTTCTGATGCGCCCTCAAACTCGTCTTGGCAAGTGTTGAGGAGAATCTGGCGGAAGCTGAGCGGCTTGTCAGAGCCCGGCGGCGGCGGGAATTGCGGCAGCTCCTTGGACAGGCTGACGCAGAGATCGCCGTACATGGCGACGTACGTCGGCTGCTCCACAGCGTTTTCAAACACTAGCGCTATCGTCTTCTGCAGGATGTCTGCAGTAGTAATTACCTCTAGGAGCTGATTCAGTAGCCGCTCAAACTTTTCGGGCGTAAGCTTGTTTAGGATACCCTTTACAGAGCGTACAGCCTGGAGGATGCAAGAGAGAAAAGGATTCATGCCTGTCGGTCATGAGCTTGGACAAAGCAACACCGCCTTTTTTTATGACAACCAATCGATTCTACCAGTCGAATCTTGAAAATGCTGCACAACCTTAGTGTTTCAGCGAAAACATTGTCTTAGGTGTCTGCCAGTCCAACTTTAAGGAAATGTGCCCGCCATGGCGCCCTTGCTCCCACCGATGCACTCCATCTGCCCGGAACTGTACAGTCCCGTGGTTGGAGGTAATTATTGACTTCATGTGGTAGTTGCGCATCCGTTCTACTCCGGCCTATGAGCGCATACCCTTGCATAAAAATCCAAGAGAAGGCACCGCTCACCCGCTCCTCGGTTGACAGCACACCTCCAGGCCGGTACGCCTGACGGCCCACGTCCGAGGCCTTTGCAATGCGGGAGGTATCCTGCAGGGTTGGGAAAGAAGAATAAAATTCAGACCGGCGCAATGGAACCTTTGAGCATTTGCCCAAACCCCCAAAAACACAGCACCAGGATCACCCCCCTACAGCACAGGTTTGGGGCAACTAGCAGGTTGAAAGACCCATCCCCACATACCTGGCCGTTACCGGCCGTGCTGGTTGCATTATCACCGGCTACGGGTTGTTGAGCTGCTGGCGCAGGTGGGGCCAGCTGGGTTGGTTGCTGCTGCGCCGCATCCTGACGCGTGGGAGCCGGACGCTGCTGTCGTGACTCGACAGGCTCCCTAAAGGAGCAAGGGTTGATACATTGGTAACACGCAAAGCATGAAGGCAGGACCACAAAAGGCATTTTTGCTCCAGCCTCCACATAACCCGACATCCGAGGCCGCACAGGATTGCTCGTGTAAACATCGCTCCTCACCTTGGCTCGCGCTGCTGCTTCGGCTCCCGAAACTCGCGTTCCTCATATGGCTCACGGTAATTGCTGACAGCAGTTCGGGCGCGCCAATCCCTGTCGTCAATCTCTTCCGCAACTTTCTGCGCAATTTTGGTACAAGTAAGCTAATGATAGTATGCGCCTATCTCCCAGCGGGGATGAGACCATATACTGGCGGCTGCACTGCTGAAAATCCATTTTATTCCCGCTAGGCCCTAACAGCCCAAAGTGTGCATTGTTACACCAACTACATCCCTTGCCTGAAGAACTTCCTGCTGCGCCTGGCGGTCCTCGCCCGTCACAACAATCTCGAGGTTCAGTTGCTCCAGCTCGCTTGGGCAATTGTTATACTTCTGCGGTCACAGGCGAAGAATGCATAAAAAGAAGCACATCAAGCTGATCTTACTGTAACACACGCCATCAGAACGCACCTCCATAAACTTAAGCAAGAAGTCCTTCGCATACCGAACCCGCTCTCCATTCTTCTTCGGAGGCTTGTCTTCTGCTGAAGAGGATGCTGCCGCCTGAACAATAAATCCACAAGGCGCCGCCGCTAGTCAGTCGTTGAGGCTACGCGGGAAAGATCCCTCAAGGCGGCGCTAAAACAGTAACCTACTTTCTTGCCCTTAACACCATAGCCAAGGCCTTTGCCAAAGCTTGCAAACGGATTCGCGACATTTCCCCCCGGCCTGAGGGCTAAGGGCCGGAGGCTGACTTCATCCTCGACTGTCATTGGCTGCTCTAGGCTCCTGGGCCAATAAGCAGTCTGCAAAGCAACGGCGCGACGACTTGAAGGTTGCAACTGTGAAAGGTGAAGTGAAACCTTTCTCCGGCCGTCGTACGGCAACGAATTTTCCTCCTGTACAGGTCAAGTGAACCTTAATAACATGCTTCGTAAAGCCTCATATATGATGATTTGTAATCCGATTTTCCGGGCGTAGTTGATGACGAAACCCAAATGTGTGTCAGGTGTAACACGGCAAGTCCCCGTCGCTTGGCGTTCTTCCATAAGCACCCTTAAGCAACAAGCCAACTCGAGCTCAGTTACTCGTGATTTCAACTTCAGTCCAAAACACGGCAACTGAGGCTCCTTGCCAAGGCTTGTATGAAAGTTTTCGTGTGCCCTTGTCGTCAAAGTCCCGCGGCGAGGCCGCTGAAGGAAGGGTGGAAATCGTCGCCCCTTATTATGAGACAATGGGCAGGGTAGAAAGCGCGCCAATTTACCTTGCAAAAAACGGGCTGGGCAACGTACTAGGGAGACGTTGGCAATCGTAAGGAAAGGTGTGTACGGGATCCCTTCGCTAGCGACCTACGGTGCACCTGAAGCACATGCCGAGCGGGCAGAGGTTACGCACGACGTCCGTGAAGCCGGAACATCTTTCCAGGTCGGTAGAGCGGTAGTTATTCAGACAAGTCTATGCACAAGAACGTTTAAAAACACACCGTAAGGGGGCTTGACCACGGCTGGGGCCAAACCATAAGGTCGATCCCCCTAAGGGCTCCCAGCTCCGATAGCCTCGCCAGAGACAATGCTCGGTAGCACATGCTGCCATGCCTTAGGGTTTCATGTTCCCCAACCTACCGCAACCTCGACGGGTGGCCACAGCCGCTTTTCCATAGGCGAAGTATGATGTGTGAAACAGGGGGGTGTATCTTCGCCCGTGGCAGCTACCCTGCGAAACCCTGCCTTCCCCGGTATTTCAGGGCACCCTCATCCAGTCACCCTAGTCAACTTCTCAGTGGATCGCTCAAGTTCTGCACCCACCACCAACATCCAACGGAATCTGCCGGGTCGACAGCGGCCCTACTCCATTCCTGGTTGGCTCGCAGGTAAACTTAATCCCAGGTCACCACCGTCCACCAACTAGGGGCGCAATGCCTTCCACCATCGGAAGGTCTTTGACCCTAACGGGTATCGATCTCGGGATCTCCCGGAGGCAATGGTCGAGCCTCTGGTGAGGATTGGCATGCAAGTCGTCTGTGGCTTGCTACCAGTCGCTGCACCGTCCCTGTTGCGACTGACCACAATAAAGACGATCATCATCATCATCACCATCGAGGGAAACGAAGCTTCTGTGTCCTAGAGAAGGTTAAAGAATGTCATCAGACACGGAATCTGGCGTCGGCCCATCGGAGTACCCATGACACTGACGCAGCACCATTCATCCCCATCCATTTCCAACCAATGTGGCGCGGTCTTGATGTGTTTGATTCACTCCGCACTGATGGTGCTGTCGCTCCAAGTTACTATACACCGGAAGACAGAGAACATGCAACTCCCAGGCAGTACAACCGCCGCACGGTACATATCAGCATATCAGCCTGAGTTGTAAAGGTCGCCTCTGGGCACCGCTGCTCGAGGTTGAGCTACACCCCGAGGGCAATACTTGAGGAGAGGAGTGTCGCTGAGTCACATTTCTGGCCCCGCGCTCAGCGGACAAATCTGGGGATGGAGGACGTAGGGACGTAGGGCGCGCTTCCCAGGACGCGCCATCTGGGTCACAGAGGTCAAGCCCTGCAACTGGTCTTGGCTGTAATGCCAAGTTAACACCGCACGTTCATCCGTTGGAGGCGGCAAGATGATCATGCTCTTTCTGGTGAGCACCATGGACTGCAATGCCGGGTCAACCAGGAGCAGGTGACAGTTGTGGCATAAATTGCAACAGAGCATGCCGACATGCAATCCCATCCATCCTGCTGATGACTTAGCTTTTAACCGCCTTGTTCATCCGCCTTCAGCAAAATCGGCGGTAGCTTTTCGGCCAGCGGTTTCTGCTTCTACTTCATGCCCAGGATATTCGTCTTACCGAGAGCATTGTGGCAGCTGTAATGAGTCATTATTTTTCCATGCTTAAACAGCTCTTGTGACCCACTCAAGGTTTTAACTTTCTTATTGTACGACTTAAATGGCAGTAGCCGAGTACAAAATAGCCACGTGTGGCCACAACAACCGATCAACCTTTTCCAAAGCTTGGTAGCTTCATAGCGAAAGTGCCATTCGGGACAGCGTATGACAATATTTGATCTTTCACACGCGGCCCGAGTTCTTCTGTCGTCCACGTCCCCTCTTAGGAGCTCACACGTTTGCGCAGGAGATTTTGCGAAACTTGCGTATGCTGCAAAGCTCTATGAGCTACTGCATTTGCCTTACATAACTGCCTCCACCTGACACTTGTTACACAGCCGCCAGTGGACCAATTTGTTTGCGGCGCAGTTATTACGCTATGGCTTGGGGGCAAGCAGGTGCCCGAGGAATAGATGATTTGGTCCGTCGCATTGCGGACAACGACCCCAAGCTGTCATCGTTAACCATCCTCCGCCAGCGTCGCTTCGCCCACGACGTAAGACAGTGGACTTTCGTCCTGATGCGTAATTACTTTAACGGCATCCGTCTACTGTGGCTTACTTGCTGCCGTCGCCCCTTAAACATCATAGGATGTGGCTTCTTTTGTCCGTGCCATGGCGTCCAACACAAACTTGACTGAACTCTATTGTTCGAGCCACCCGCTGGCTCCACACACAGCATCTTTGTTGGCTGACATGCTCGCTGCCAGCCCAAGCCTGCAGTCCTTGTGCGTGGGGGACAGCTCCCTGGGAGACGATGGAGTGGCTGCATTGGCGCGCGGTGTCGCTGCCAGCAGCCTCACCCGTCTGGACTTGTGCAACAAGGTGCGTCAGCACCTGGGTGCGTGTATGTTGCAGACGACTCAGGGGGAATGTGCACAGCTACAGCTTGTAACTCCGCCGTGTCCGGCTGCGCCTGTGTCCCGTGGGTTAGTTCTCTCCATTCCCCACCGCAGCGTCTGTGCTGAGACGACCGCCATCTCTGACCGCCAAAAGCGACCTAATACGCACAAGACACGCATAAAACGGGCTCCTCGGATCGGCCAAGAACCCGGCAGGGGCTATGGACATAGATTTGGATTGGATTGAATTCACAGCTCGGACTAGAGATGCCTGCCTGGTGCATCACCTTCTACCTTTTTGCACATCCGCATCCTGCACCAGTCCAGATGCCGACACACTGCGCCCGGACCGCGTCTCTCTCATAAGTCCCCAACGGTGTTTGGGAGGAGGTGGGAAGACATCATGCTGCTGGCTGCTGGCTGGTTGGCAGCTACCTGATGAAAGCACCGCACTGCATCGCACCGCATCATGAGCACGTCTTACTGCCATTCCAATGGGAGGGAAGGGGAATTGAACTATTGGCTGTAACAACTAAACGATATGCACCGCGCCCGGCTTATCCTTCTTTACCTGCTCGCGCAGGGTCTGGGTCTGCGAGGGGCCGCGGCGCTCTGCACCGCCTTGGCAGCGGCACCCTCGCTCACCCACCTCCTCCTAAACAGCAATCCCAAGCTGTCGGACGACGGTCTACATGCGCTATGTGGGGGTAGGGGCGGCGGCAGCAGCAGCGCTGTACCTGACACCGCCGACGTGCCGCCGATGGCAGCTGCGGTCTGGGCGGGTTTGCGGGTGCTGGAGATCCAGGGCTGCGGTGTGACGTGTTCGGGTGTTCGTGCGCTGGCGGCTTCGCCCAGCTGCTACCGGCTGGAGGTGCTCCGACTGGACGGCAACCCGCTGGGACCGGAAGGCGGGAAGGCTATCGGGGAGCTGCTGGGGGTACGTCGGCTGCGGGGTGGGGGGGGAAAGACGAACCACACACGATTGAAGCTGCTGCCAGGGCAAGGGCAGGGCAGGGGGGGGAAAGGGGGTTGTTGCGGCGAGCTGTAGTAGCTGTACACAGTACCGCACGCATATTGTCGATATATACGCGCTAAGGCGCTCCGCCAGCATCTACAAAGGCCTTTTCGCGCTCAGCTACTACACGGGGGGGGGTACAGGGAATGACGAAAAAAGGGGGAAGGGAGGCGGGAAGCAGAGGATCTTTCAGGGGGTGTGAGGGGGGAGCAGGTTGGTCGCAGGCTGCTAGGGCGGTTCCTCACCGGGTAGGGCTGAGGGATGATGTCATGCTGTATGTGTGGGGAGGAGGGGGAGACGAAGGGGGGCCCGAAAGGGGGACCCTGCTGCGCGAGGGACGTGCCTTAAAGTCCGCTCCAGCCTCTGGTCCGTAACCACCACCATCACCGCCCACCACTGCTGAATCGCAGCAGTGTGATTCACACCAGACCACGGCGGGTCAGCGGCCCCAGTAGCGCCACGCGTCTTCAAATGCCGTGTTGTGTTTGAATGCTCCTCTGCGGCCCTCGAGTGGCTTTGCTACCCGCGCATACACACGGCCCCTCCAGCAGCCAAGTCCCCAACCTACCAGCTGTCAACCACTCAACCCCCGCCTGCCCATGCCCGCACACTCCCCTTCCCCCCAGCCAGGCCGCACCGCAGCTCAGAGAGCTATCGCTGAGGGGAACGGAGCTGGGGGACCAGGGCGGAGAGGAACTGGCTGCGGCCCTGAAACCCAGATCCAAATCCACATCTAGGTCAGGATCTACAGAAGCTGCCGTTGGAGCAGTAGATCTGCGCCCAGCGCCACCCAGCCGCAGTCCGCTGCTCCGTCTGGGCCTGGAGGAATGCGGTCTGGGACCCCGGGCGATGTAAGTGGCGTTGTAATAGTAGTCCCGCTCCGTGGGGATATGTGCGCGTGCGGGTATGCTACACAGCAAGTAGGGACAGCACCAGGGACCCCTGCAGCGCCGCTGTGGAGCTGGCGGTGGCCCAGCTCTGCCAAGTGTTGTAGCGCAGTGGAGCTCCGTGGGGGGTTGGGGGTCGCGGTCGCGGCCGAAATAGGAGGTATGTGCTCTCACCAGTAGCTTCAAAAGCTGCGAGAGCAGTCTCGAGGAAACCCCGGCCCAAGGGCCCCCGGACGGGGCGCCAGGGTCTGAGCCTCATATGACCATCCCTGGAGAGCACCGGGCGGCTGCGGTGCGGTGCCGTGGCCCTCGGCTGCTGGCGGGCCGCTATGTGGCACGGAAAGCAGGTCGGCAAAGATCGAATCTTCATCGAATCTTCATCGAATCTTCATCCTACCCCATCGTATATCCAACCATCTCAACCACAGGCAACTGATCTGTGCATGTGTGTGTCTGTGTGTATCTCAGCTCCTTCAGCTTCCCTTCCCTTTACTTTTCCTTCACTTAGACTTGCGAGTGTGTGGGGGGGGGCTGAGTGAGTGAGTGATTGTGTGTTTGTGTGTGAGGGTTGTGGGCCCTATGGCTATCGTGAAGTATTCCTGAAGTTGAGTGCGTGCGCGTTGAAAGGCCTCACCCGCGTCTCCCCCTCCCCACGGCCCCGGAGTCGCTTAGGGCTCCCCGCTGTTGGGTCGACTGCGAGCCATGAAGCGACTCCTTTCTCCTCCCCTCCGTGTGCGGCGGCCGCCTGTACCCCGGTGGCTGCCACGTCGGGTTGCGCAGGGCCGCATTCCGAGACGCCTTCTTCGCGGGTGCCCGACTGGCGGCCCTGTGTCTAGCGGGAAACACGGAGGTGTCGGATGGGGATGTCGCCCAGCTGGGGGGCCCCCTGGGACCGCTGGCGGGAGCGGAGGAAGAGGAGGAAGAGGACGCGGAGGGCAGCGGCGAGGCTCGGCCGCCGCGGCTGACGCATCTGGACGTGTCGGGCACCTCGGTGGGGCGTGTGGGGGGGGGAATGCGGGGCGGGGAGGAATGTGTGTATATGTACTGTGTGTGTGCAGTGTTGCCGTGCCGGGGGCCCCTGGTTGTTTGCTGTTGCCGCCCCGGCGAAAGACGTGTTGTTATGGCGCGTTGAGCCTCGGTGGGGAGAGCTGTGTGCGTGTGGGCTGTCCCCTTCACCACCCCCACTCTGCATGCGGAATTCGGCGGTCGCACGTTGGCTGTTTCCTCTCTGTGTGGTGTGGGGAGGGGGGGTCAACGCCTTTTACGTGCTGAAGTCCATTTCACGTGTGTGTGCATGTGTGTGTATGTGTTATGTGTGTGTATGTGTGTTATGTGTGTGTATGTATGTGAAAGGGTTGTGTTGGGCAGCACGGCACTGGAGCTCACGGGGCCCTGGGAGAACCTATCCATGATTGAGAGTGGCATTCCATCCCCGCCATCACTGCCGCCACCTTCGTCGCCACCACCGATGCTACTGACCACCACACCACCACCACCCGTGCGGCTGACCAGCCAATTACGACCCCAGGGGCTCTCCTCCCTTTCCACACGATCGCGGTCTGTCTGCAGGCGGGTCCTCAGGCGGTAGCGGCGCTGTCCCGGGCAGTGGGTCTGCGCCACCTCAGCATGGTGGGCTGCCCGCTGGGGGCAGCGGGGGCCGCAGCCCTGGCCTCCAGCCTGGTTGCCACAGCATCCTCAGATACAGCAGCAGCAGCGGGAGAGGGAGCACGGGGAAGGTCAAGGAATGGGGGGCCCCCAGCCTGGTGTGAGTTACTGGAGCTCTGTATATCGGGGACAGGTCTGGGTCTTGAGGAGCTGCGGGCGGTGCTTGGTGCGCTGGCAGCAGGAGGAGCACCCCGCCTTCAAGTGGGTGCGCGTGCGTGGGTGTATATATGTATGTTTTGGTTCCGAAGGTGATGGTGGGTGGGCGCTTGGGGACGTGGGCACTGGGGTGCATGAACGGCCATGTCGCAAAATAGTTGGTGGAGTGGGCCCACTGGTGGGAAGGGGCTACCCACACGCTAAAACCTAGTGGGTGCCGGTGTTCATGGACGCCCGAGTGCGGGAGGCGGAGGCAGTGGTCACATTCATCACTTTGCCGCTGTTGTGGGACGCGGACGCAAGGTAGGATAGAGGAGGGTATCGTGTATGGATGTGGGCGGTGCGTGGGGTGTTCCGAAGCTGACTCCTCATCTGACACGCCTCTGTTCCTTACCCTCTCACCTCTCCTCTCCTCCTCCCTGCCCTCCTCCTCCTCCTCCCCCAACCCTACCCTCCTTGCAGAGTCTGGAGGTGGGCGCCAACCCGGGTACCCAGGAGGGGGGCTTCCAGGAGCTTCTAGACGTCCTCCGCACCACCCGGCCAAACCTCGCCCTATACTGGCGCTCCGGAAACGACCCCGCACCCCCCCAGTCCGGTGTGAGGTAGCCGGCCAGCTTTGACACACACATGGATAGCTGGGGTTTTGACTCCCGTTTCATCTGGAACAGGAGCTGCCTGGCTGACTAGCTGGATGCTACACTGGCTGGCTGGTGGGCTGGCTCGGGGGGGGGGGGGAAGAGACGCAATGGCTGGTGTGTTGCCCGTGAGCCTGCTGATGGTGTGCACAGCTTCGGTGTCAATCTGTGTGTGTGCGTGTGTGGAGGGAGGGAAGGCATGTTGGCGAGGCGGTGGATGTGAGGGGCCCCTCAGGAAAGAGCGAGAGGTGCTGGCGGCTGGCGGCTGGAGGGGGGGCCCTGAGGACTGCCCCTCGGACGAGCATCGGGAGTAAGCCGGCCTCGGCAGGTGGTGTACAAACAGCGGAACGCTGTGTCCGCGGCCGCCGCGGCCTTTCCCCCCCCCCCCATATACATGTAACAATACAGCCGTCTGGAGACATGAACTCCACACATACACACATACACACCCATGCAGATTCGGCCCGCGGTTCACTTCACAAAAACACGCACACAAGTGCATGGGTTGAATCCGCGCGAATCGGCGTCTAATCTCTTTGAACACACACACATACATACATATGTTCAACCAGGTACACCGCCAGGCAGCGTCAACACCTCTTACGGCGGCGTCAAGGGCGGTCAATACCCAGCGAAACCTGCGATATCAGGTACACCCCCCTCGTATGCTAGTTTCCTCTCCGACACAGTTCGCACAAACCCTCGTAGCACAGTACATCATAGCACAGTTCATCAACCCAAGGCAAGGCTCCTCATACGGGTCCCGTTACTTAATTCGCGGCCTCCAACACGGCCGCACACCCAGCGACCCCCCCCCCTCGCTCCTCCCGAGGCCCTTGCCGAAGACCAAAACCCTATCACGACACTCCGCAGCACTCCTCTCATGAAACTATTCACCCAAAACCCTCAGCACCCACCCGCACCCGCACAGAACCTTATGCTCCCTACTCCAACGCAAATTTCGGCCCCTTCTCCGGTGGGTCATCCCGCTCCGCTGTTGGGCCCTCCAGCTGCTGCTGTTGGTGGTGTTGGTGGTGCTGTTCACAGCCAGCTTACCCTCCAATTGTAATCATGGGCCTGTTGGCTGATGCTGCCAGCTCGAACATGCCCGCATGCGCTGCCCGCTTCCGGCCCACCGCCGCAGTGATGATGGCGCGGAGGTCGTCATCTGATGCGCCGCCCCGCATGGCGTCACGTAGGGACACCTCCGCAGCACCGAACAGACACACCTTGAGGTTGCCGTCCGCCAGCAGCCGCAGCCTGAGCAGCCCCCGGGAAAGAGGGAAAGGGGCCGTAAAGGGCCGTGGAGGAGGGAGGAGAACGGAAGGGAGGAGGAATTAGAAGAAACAAATAAAAGGATATACAAGCAGCAAATGTCCGAGGGAGGGCGGGCGGGAGGGGGAACATCATATGGTGCGAAAAGATCAGAAATGAACTGCCGGCGTCCAAAATCCGAAAGTGCCCCTAGTGGGTCCAGGGGGAGGGGGGAAAGACGAACCACAAACGAGTGAAGCTGCTGCCAGGGCAAGAGTGTACCAGACGGGGGGAAGGGAACGGAAACCCATCAGAGGGCCCGGACCTGACAGCATGTCGATCTGAGTCATATAGACGCAACCCCCTTGCACTACATCCCTGCATCCCCCCATCTCCCACTTCCCTCCTCCGTCCTCCCTCCTCCCGCAGCGCGCACCTGTTGCAGTCGCTGCAAAAGTGCTGTGTCATGGAGGTGATGAACGACACGCTGCCACGATGGCCCTGTCGGGGATTGCCGGGGGAGGAGGCGGGCGAACACAAAGGCGCGGTGAGAGGCGGCGGCGGCGGCGGTGGCGGCGTACCGGGGGGAGAGGGGGAAAGACGAACCACACGCGATTTAAGCTGCTGCCAGAGCAAGATAGTAGCAACCGAAAGAACTGACCGAAAGGCGTCCGTGGCGAATGTGACGACTGTAACCTCGGGATGACGACTGTAACCTCGGGATGAAGAATTGGCGTAGAAGTTGGAAGTCCTACCTACCTAAGCCGCCAGAAATATTATAGCCAAAACGTAAACTAGTAGGTGTAGAAAAAGTAGTGAAGGCGGCGAGAAAAGAAAGTGCTGACGTAAAAGAGGCGTAAAGTTGCTGGCCAGGAGAGAAAGCTGCATTGCTGATACTGAAAGGCTGCCGGTATGCAAGTGCTCCTCCCAACCCCCCCCAAAAAAAAAACTAGAACGCGCGACTGACCCGACCGACCCAAACTAAACTATTCCGGCTAGCCTACCGACGCCAACGCGAAAAACCAAAGAAGCTCGAACCACCTTATGGACTCACCTGGCCAGGCAGCAGGAGCAGCGGGTAAAGGCACATGCAAGGCAGAGAGGTTGGGGAATTTGGAATTTGGGGAGAGGGGGCGGTTCAAAGCAAACCGGTGGGGCAAGGGGGCAGCAACGCCTGAAAGCCTGATACTGCTGGACGTGGTGGTAGTGGTGGTGGTGGTGATGGTGGTGGTGGTGGTGATGATGGTGGTGGTGGTGATGGTGGTGGTGGTGGTGGTGGTGGTGCTTCACAATTCAGGTTGAGAGAGGGGTTCGCTTGTCTTTTCCACTCTCCCCCTCCCTTTCCTACACCCCCCACCGCCCCCACCGCCATGGTACCCACCCAAAGTCGGAAGTTCTTGGCCACCTCCCCCGCCGGGTCGTCCAGGCGCTCCAGGGGGGTGTACGGGAAGGCCGCTTGAATTCGGGAGATCAACTCGCGGTACGGCACCTGCAATACCCAAGAAGGGGTATAATAAGGCAAGGGGCGCAAAGGCAGGGGAAGGCCCCGCGAAGCCAGGTGGAACAAAGCGCACGGAATATACAAACCGAAAACCACGACATCGTCCCCATCGTCCCCGTCCTCATCCCAGGGTGCGCCCCCTCCACCACACTCACAGCACACAGCTCATCACAGCAATCCCCTAACTCCTCTGAGCCCACAGCGCAGTCTCTCTCTTGTAAATGACCTCACAAAACATCAACACAACAAACTGTCCATCCGAAGCACCGCGCACGCCCTTGCTGTAATCCCCGGTCCGCCCTCACTCCCTTTCCCCCAAACACACACCCACGACCGTACGACCCGGCCCGTGCCGCTGTCTCGACACCGCGCCCTTCATTCCCTGCCTCTCCCGCCCCTCCTCCTCCCCCTGCTGCTGAACTGACCATCTTGCTGTCCGACCACACATTGCCGTCGAAGGGCATGTACTCAATGAAGCGGACGTTGATGGGCTGATCCCGGGTGAGCGCGGCGAAGTCCGCCACCTCGTCATCATTGACCCCCCGCATCACCACCACGTTGACCTGGTCAACACAAGCCAACGAGGCGGTGTAGGTGGTGAGGGATGGGGAGATGTGCGTGCATGTGTATGTGTGTGAGAGAGATGGGGGCCCCCAAGGCAAGAATATGGGGGGTTGGAGAGTGCGGGGGTAGGGGTGGCTGGGAAACAGAAAGGCTGTTTCCAGGCTTTTACTTTCCAAGCAATCCGTCATCACACCGCACGCAACCCCCCCCCCCGGGCTCCCCCCGCTTCTACATGGCCAGCCGCACCCCCCCCCAGCCGCGATCCCCCGGACAGGTCGACTGCTACCCCTCAGAGGGGACCCCAACACCCCAACTTGGCGCTGTACTGACCCACCTTGACGGGGTCGTACCCCAAGCCCACTGCCGTACGGATGGACTCCAGCACCCGCTTGTGTCCGGGTCTCCTGGCGAGCTGTTCGAATCGCTCCCCCCGCAGGGTGTCCAGGGAGATGTTGACAGCGGTGAGACCTGACGGGAAGTGGTTGGGAAGTGGTTGGGACGTGACTGGTATTAGGTAGCTGGGTGGTGGTTGACAGGTGGCTGGGCCTCGTGCCTTGTTGCTTGCTCGCCTCCAAACATCCTTTCCCCTTCTTTCCGGTCTCTTCCCGCTTAGCCCCTTCCACTACCCCCCACCGCCCGCTGGCCCACCTCCTACTGGACGACCCTCCTCCCCGTCATACAACCCTAAGCCTGGACTGCCTACCCGCTGCTTGTCCCCGGGGCTCACCCGCCTCCTTGAGTTCGGGCAGCTGGCGGGCGAGTACGATACCGTTACTGGTGATAGCCACACTACGCAGACCCATGGGTCGTAGCGAGGACAGCTGCCGTATCAGGTCGGTGATGTCACGCCGCAAAGTGGGCTCCCCCCCCGTCAGCCGGATCTTGGTGACACCGGCCTCAACGAAGATGCGAGCCTGGAGGTGGTTGGGAGGTGTGGGGTAGGGTCAGGCATTGTCAGAGTTGGCAGGGGGAGGGGGAGGAGGAGGAGGGACACCCCGATGCTTTGGGTTTCATTCCCGTGAACCTATACTTTGCAACGTTGGTGTGCGGCCTGTACATGTCCTCTTTCCCCCTCCCAAGCCCGTACACGCCACCCACCAGCCGCATGATCTCCCGCGATGTGAGCAGCTGGGGGGTGGGGGTCAGCGCCACCCCCTCGTCCGGCATGCAGTACGTGCACCGCAGGTTGCATCGCTCAGTCAGGGAGATCCGCAGGTACGTGTGTATGCGACTGGCCGGGGGAACGGGCGAAAATGTGAGGGGGCCGGAGGGAGCGGGGTCCATTAACGCAAATCCGGGGTGTTGCAGCGAAGCAGATGGCACCACTTTCGCGCTCACCTCGCGGCGCACGATCTTCTTCGCGCCCTGGCGCAGGACAGTCCCTTCCCTGGCGGGGCCCTCGACCCCGGTCCCGGCTCCTTGGGGACTATAAAGAGCTCCACACCAATCACACCACACCACATCACGCAGTGGGACCACACAGCGCAGATCGAGTCCCGGCCTGTACGGAGACAACCCTTCACCCTCCCCCCTGTCTAAGACCTCTCATACCGTGACCAAGAGCCTATTTCCCAATTACAATACGTAAGATCAGCATGTAACCATATCTCCCCCTACACTGCCCCCGCCTCTCAGCCACACCTGCCGCACCCACCGCACCCCACCACCACCACCCGCTCCACCTGAATTTGTCCGTCAGCATCTCCGCCCCCGCCACCTGGCGACTGCCCAGCACCTGGCGAGCCCGCTGCAGCAGCCCCCGCCAGTCCACAGGGGTGGGAGAGGCGGGGTGGGGGGGAGCAGGAGGAGCGGGAAGAACGGGGGCAGCGGGAACGGGCTGTGGGAGGGCGGCGGAAACCTCGGACCTAGGGAGGGCGGCAGCGGCGGCGGCACCACCACAACCATTGGCGGGAGGCCCCGATGGGTTGCTGCTGTTGCTGCTGCAGCCGCCTATTCGTGCTGGTGTGAAGGCGGGGACGTTGCGCAGGGCGGCGCGGGCTCGGTCCCTAGCTGTGGCGGCGGCGGCGGTGGCCTGCAGGGCGGAGGAGGACGAGGAGGCCACCTCCGGCGGGCCCAGCCCCACCCGGGAAGAAGATTGTAGGGATGGAGGTGATAATGGTGATGCGGGGGAAATGCCTGGTGGTGGTGATGTTGTGGATGGTACGGGCGAGGTCGGCGATGCCGCTGCTGGCGACCCTGTCGATTCTGATGCTACTGCTGCTACAGCCGTAGCCACGTCCCCAACGAGAAAGCCCGTATTGTCTTGGGCTGGTATCGTGGCAGCAGCAGCAGGAGCGATGAAGGAATGGAATGGAGGTGGAGGGAGGGGGCGGTTCGGGCGTGGCGGCGGTGGAGGGGCAGGCGGATCGCGCCGAGCTGTCGGAAGGTCTTGAAGGGCACGTGAGGCATTCAGGAACTCCCGTAGCCGGCGGTCGTACTCGGCCGCCGATGCCGGGTCAAGGACCCAGTTTGCGGAGCTGTTCCCTTCCTGGCTCTGTGTTTGCGATGTGGCCGCAGCAGTAAGCGGCCATGAGCAGAACCCCCGAGCGCAGGAAGGACGACGAGCGACACTGTGGAAGCCCGTGGACTGAATTCCGTAAGCGTAGCTTGTGCTGGGCTCATGTCCTCCAGCGTGACAGCAAACATGATGGGTGCCAACGGCCCCTTGCGGAGGCCATGATGGGTTCAAAGGACCCTTTGCACAACTACAATCTATTGCATAGCGAGTTAATCGACTGACAAAGCTCCGCCGAGTCATACTTGGAGTTTACAAGGGGCGTGGTATGTCACGAGGCTGGCGTGGTTGGCGTTGAAACTACAATACAGTGCCCTGCAACGACAACGCATGAAGGACCTCTACAATTGCTATAAGGAATATGGTATGTGGTAGGAAAAATAGTAATTCAAGTTGACACCGATCGGCATCGAAGGTGCCTGATGTGTAAAAAGCGTTGCTCGTCCAGGCCCCAACCGAGCTAGGGGTCCTTGTTCTGAAGAAAGCCAGACCGGCAGCACATTTGGTTTCTGTCAGCAATTCGTTGCCCGGGAAATAATTAGCAGCGGTTTTCATCTTGTTCCGGTGGTTGGTTTACCGGTTTGGCGCCAATTTAAGCCACATCTTGTTCACACGAGAAATGCATTTTCGCCGGTAGTGATGCGTAAGGATTCGGGAAAGGCAACCAAGACAAGCTTTCACAGGTGCTCCGCACTATTTCCGTGAGATGTCGGTTTCGGCGTTTAGCGTGATTCCCTAAACAGAATCGCCCAAAGCCATTGCAGTTGCATTTGTCATCGTCTACACAACGGAACAGTCCCGACGGGATTTAGCAGAGTCCTGTGCTTTGTGGCTAGGGGTACGCATCGGCGATGGACGGTACGGCAAGGCTTTGCAGCGCTGCAGCTGCCTCCGCTCTGGGTTCAGAACCCGCTGCAAAAGCGCTCGGGCGGTACACTGGGCCCCGAATCCGGATCCGTACGGCGGCGGCCCCGCTGCCATTAGCACGTCGCCCCCCACTTCGGCTCTCAATGGTGACACCATCCCCATCTAGGGGAATGGAGGTTATTCGATCGGTTGTCTCAACATCTGCTACGACCACGGCTTGCTCCTCAATTTCTCCTGTACGACAGCAGAAGTGGCTCACATGGCATTACTTTCCAGCCAACGCAACCATGTGGCAAGGCCGTTGCACCGCCCCGTCAGCGTCAGCAAACGGCCCCGACACCGCACCCGGGAAACCCCCTGCCGCTGTCCGCCGCAATATCAGCGGTGACAACGGCGATTCCGAATCCGCTGGGGCTCTAGAGACAGCGTCAGAAGTAGCCACTGATTTCGATGCCACAGACATCACTGCACCGCTTGCGTCGAATCTGCCGCTGGCGCCGGCTCCAAAGCGGAAGGCAACTCGGAAGCGCGCCGCGGGTGCTGCCGGGCGAACCGGAAGCGGCGGCGACCCGCACGCCGCGGCGTCCTCCTCCACCTCCACCAATGGCGACGACCTCCCAGCAGCCACCGCCCCTACGGCCGCTGCGGGTGGGAGCGTTGATACCAAACGCAGACGGACCCAGCGCCGTAAGGCCCCTCCTGAAGGCGCCACTGCGGCCAGCGTGGATTCCGCCGCCTTGGAGGCGGCGGCCATGCCTTCTACGTACGACACTAACGACGAGGTCAGCGGCGACGCCTCCGGAAGGCGCCCGAGGCGCGTCCGTCGCAATCGCAAGGGCGGCGGCGAAGCCGCCACCGCTATTCCTCCCCCCGCTGCACCTCCCGAGCCCGACAGTGGCAGTGCCGGTGATGTCGCTCCTGCCGCGGTGGCGGAAGCGGAGGAGGTGGCGGAGGTTCCTGTGGTGAAGTTCAGCTCCAAAGTGCCTCGGGGGTCGCTGTGGTCATCTGTACGGCATTGGGTTGTGTTCACCGACCTGCACGTGCGGGAGAGCTCTCTGCCCACCTGTCTGGAGGTGCTCCGGGTGGTGGCGGCGGAGGCGCACAGGCGGCAGGGGGGAGTGCTGTTCCTGGGTAGGTGGGCGGGTGGGGGGGGCTTCTTGCGCTGGGGCGCTGATTATACACATGAATACCTGCAGTGGAGCAACGTGGGGGGCCCCGGCTTTCCCCCCCCTGGGTAAGGCTGCAATGCGGAGGGGCCGCACGTGACCCTGGGTGCCATTCTGCAGAGTCGGACCTACTATGTCCCAAAGGGAGGAAGGTTTCGCAGGGGGCGGTGTTGAGCCGTAGCAGGGATGTGTGAGTCTGTGTGTTTATGCACGCGGCCACATGCACATCGTTCCAACCCCCACCCCACCCCACCCCACCCCCACCCCACCCCGCTCGGGCTCTCAGGCGACTTTTGGGACCGGCGTGGGTCGCTGCCCGTGCAGCCCCTGAACCAGGTCCTGCAGGCAAGTGGGGACAGGGAAGGCTTTAGGAGAGGGAGGGAAGGCTATAGGAGAGAGAGGGGGGGGAGGGGAGGGGTGCATACTATGCAACCCACCAGCTAGCCAGCACCTGGACCGTTGCCTGACCCGCTTGGGCATCCTTCTGCCGCCTTCCACACCGCCCCCCACGTACACCTATACCTCCTGATACCGCCCGGCAGTACCCGGCAGCCTTCCCACCCCCTGCCCGCCGTGTCCCCGCGCCTCCCCCATAACCCAACTTCCCCCCCTCCTGTGCGGGTGTGCTGTTTTCCTTGCCTTTGCATATACTCGCCCCACCCTGGCTCCGCCCTGCCCCGCATTTTTACATCCACCCCCCCCCGGGCCCCCCCTCTCCCTCCCCCCCAGGAGATGTCCTCTTGGCGCTGTCCAGTGGTGATGTTAGTGGGGAATCACGACCAGGTGCGGGCTATGGGTCTGTGAGGGGAAAGGTACCGTGCATACGGAGCGACGCGGGGCAACCCGGGTGGTGTGAGGGGTAGTAAAGGGGGAATGCTGATCGTAACGGCGCGCAAAAAACACAACACAGCATGTCTTGGCCGGAAACGCCACGTCAGGGGTTTAGTGGGCACATCACAGCCGCCAAGCCAGGCCGCTTCATGTCGGACCCGTGGGGCTGCGTACTCCCTAGAGCAGTGTAGAAGATTCCGGCAGCGGAAACAGAGCAGCTGCACCCCCACCCCCACATGTACAACAGAAACCCGCCCCCCTGCATTCCCCTACCTCTCTCCCTCCTCCTAGTTCAACAATTCCCAAATATGCGGCAGAAGGTTATTGACATATTACTAGTTGCATGTTATAGGGTTCTACGTTTTTAGCTACTATACTATAGTAACCTCACATCCGTACCTGCTTCGTTTCCCTCGTTTTCTTCGTTCCCCCCACCCTGCCCTTCTTCTCCTACAGTATTGGTCTTACCTTGGAATATCCGTCTATGGTTTCTTCTTCTCGTCAATCTTCTGTCCTTCGTCGTAACCCCTCCTGCCCCCTCCTCCACATCCTTCCCCCCTCCACAGGTGGATCTAGGAGGCCTCCAGCACGGGCTCACCCCCCTGGAGCTGGCGTGCCCCCACGTACACGTGTTTGACGAACCCACACGGTGGTACGGGGCCTTGTGGTTGCCGTACAGGCGGGAAACATGGGTTCTGGAGCAGGCGATGCAGCAGGCGGTGGCGGAGGCGACGGCCGAGGAGGCTGGAGAGGGCCAGGAGGGGGGACCGCTGAATGCCATCTTCTTGCATGCCGATGTGGTAGGTGGGTGAGTGGGGGGGAGGGGACCAATTCGTGCATGGGATTGGCCGTACTGTGCAGTGTCGTTACAGGCTTGAGACTGCAAGGCCTCTTCCGGGACCCTA